TCATCATATGGATAATAGACAGGTTTAAGTAGTGACTACCCAGAGACAGTCCTGCCTTAGGTATTTGTTATTATACTGGACCCATTCCTACTCAGCATTTTCCTTAATAAAGCTGTAATCTAGATGGGGCTGTGTTTTCAGTATCAATTTACTTTATACATTTACCCACTGGACTGTGTACTCTGTGAGCATTAGTTTCACTTATACAGTATTTCGCATTATTTATTTACTCATTTTTTGTATTTATTATTTGATATATCTGGTCCTTAGTAGTCTTTATATCATCAGCCAGTTCATTAGTAGGACTACATAGCTATATTTAGATTTCCAGGTGATGCAGCAAGTCTCAGGGGTGTTTATGCACTGAGAACTTGCAGTATCTGCTCTCTTTGTTGTTACAGCAACAATCTTAGCAGAGCATCAGAGAAGATGGCTAATCCAGATCAGTGCTATCCCTAAAACCTTTAACAAATATAGGAATGATCGCATCAGTCAGTGAAAAATAAATAAATGAGCCCCTATGTCGCTAGAATCAGGGTTCTCCAAACTCTGGCCCTCCAGATGTTGCTAAACTACAATTCATCCTCCAGCTATGTAGTATCCTCGATCAATCCGGGAAAGCTCTGAGCACTCATATAAGAGGAGGTCACCTCCTCTAACAGTCCATTCTGAAAAAAAAAAAAAAAGTGCAGTGGCAGATGAAGGAGTGCAGAAATCTAGGTGCCTAACCTCGGAGTTGCAGTGGTGACTACAGGAAGCTCTGTTCCAGTGTGATGGCACAGTCTCGGGAGATTTTGAGCTGAATGTTAGGGACCAGATCAAAAGCAACTTTGGGAAGAGTACCTGAATCTCAAGGAGATTCAGGTACTCTGGAGAGAATCCCTTCCAACCCCATAACAGCAAAATCAGGATCAACTGGATCTGCGGTTACCTTTCCTGAGAGAGCAGCCCATAGAGTAATGGGTAGTTGAACTTGAGAAGCTGGTCTGGAGAGAATTGTGGGTAGACCAGGCTTTACATGGGTATGTCGTGCAGCAGTACCTGTGGCCACCCAGTGATGACCCTCCAGAGGATGAGATCTATGATAGCCCTGGCCTGTTGTGGGAGACCTTTGAGGAGAGGACTGGGTTTGGAAGCACTGTTGAGCTCCAATTCTTGGTCATCCAGGCACTTAGGAGAGACTTGCTGGATCTCGCTGAAGGGACAAACTTGGAACCAGATTTCTTCTCCCTGATGTGGAGGGAATCATATTCTTCACATCTGAATCACAGGGATGCTGGGTAGCTGGCCCATATCTCCAGCCCTCTAGCATGGGGACCGTGGTCACCGTGCTAGCTCCCCAACATCAGATCACGCTCTTGGGAGAGAAAATTGTTGGTCTCCCTCCTCAGCGGCAGATGGCAACTAAGCAAGAGGAGGCAGAGGTAGCCAGCCTCCCTCCTCAACAGCAGTCCGCTCTGTATTCTCTCCAGTGGCTGATAGGACTTAAGGGAGAAGTGACACTTCTCCCTACTGGTAGTTACATACTACGAGAGATTACGTGACAAGGTTGCCTGGGTGAGTGACTCTTTTAAAACTGTATTCTATCCTTAAAGGACCACTATAGGCACCCAGACCACTTCAGCTTAATGAGGTGGTCTGGGTGCCTGGTCCATCTAGGGTTAACCCTTTTTTCTATAAACATAGCAGGGTTAATCGATGAGACAGCCACTAGAGGGCTTCCGCGTTTCTCACTGTGAAAATCACAGTGAGAAGACGCCAGCGTCCATAGGAAAGCATTGTGAATGCTTTCCTATGGATTGGCTGAATGCGCACGCGGCTCCTGCAGCGCATGCACATTCAGACGAAGAGGAGGAGAGCTCCCCGCGCTGGAGAAAGAGGTAAGTTTAACCCCTTCCTCACCCTAGAGCCCGGCGGGAGCGGGACCCTGAGGGTGGGGGCACCCTCAGGGCACTATAGTGCCAGGAAAACAAGTATGTTTTCCTGGCACTATAGTGGTCCTTTAACATTGCTTTGGCCTTGGGCTTAACAAAATAAAAGTACTGACTAACCTGAGAGTTAACCTGTTCAGAGTCTTCTCCCAGGTTAGTCTCCATTGGAGGGGGAGATATGTGACAGTAGCTCCCATGCCATGGCCTTTTGGAGAGGCTAGAAGGTCAGCTTCTTGCCCACAGACTATGGATCTGGTCCCAGGAGCCCCTGAAAGGGGCTTGTAATGGTAGCTAATGAAATACAAAATATTCATTGTTACTTGATAACTCTTCAGCGCCCTCTACTGACTGAATGGAAGTGCATATATTTGCATAATGCTGGTATGCAAATTAGGGCAACCAAATACGTAGTTAAATGCATATACTGTTGTTTGTTTTTTTGTGTTTGAAAAGGTTACTTGTATTATATAGTTCATGAATTAATTATATTTGCTCATTCTCCAAAGTTCTATATATTTCTATTTTAAATGTTTGTCACCACATGTTCAACGACTGGTCCTTGTCCAAAACGGAAGAATTGTATGTTCATTGTTTTTGGAACTGGGTGTCCTGTGTCTAATTTGTTCATGGATCTCGGTCACAGAGTCTTTGGACCTGTTGGCTGACTGCATGGTCTCTGTAGCATGGGACAAAGTCAAAAGAGCTTGGTCTGAGAGCCACAAGTCCCTTTATAAAGGCACAAGCTAATCATATTACAAGCAGAGATGGGGATACCTGCCTGGAAAGAGAGCTGCATAAGGGACGTTACCTACCTGAATGGAGAGAACTGCAGCCTGGTCGGATGAAAGAGTTCTGGAGAGACCCCAGTCAAGCTTCAGCAACTGGGTCTGAAGTGTTCCAGAATTCCCTGTTGCACCAAGGAAGTGGACTCGGTGGAGGTACTCAGTTGGGGTATGGGAGGTCTGTCACATATATATATAAATACATAAAAATGTAAGATTGATTTTCTCACCCCTCCTGGATGGTATATTTATTCCTCATTCTCAGGTCATATATATCTATCTTGATAACTGTTAAGAGTTTATTGTGTATATCTGTATGTTAATGTGTATGCAGGGGCGTACCTAGAGCATTTGGCACCTGGGGCGGACCTTGAGTGTGGCACCCCCCCCCCGCCAACCCCCCATAATAAAAATGTAAGAAAACACCCACAATTTTTTCAATGTTTTCAATAACATTTATTTCACAAATTTGTAAACTGTATATCAACTTGAAAAAAATGGAACTATGAAAAATAAATTAACTTAGAAATAAGAAATATATTAAATTTAAATAATTAACATTTACTTAATACACCCCCCATAATTAATCCACCCCCCATAATTAATCCACTCCCCCATAATTAATACACTCCCCCATAATTAAACCTTCCTCCCATAATTAATCCACCCCATAAATACACCCCCATAATTAATACACCCCATAATTAATACACCCACATAATTAATACACCCTCCCATAATTAATCCACCCCCATAATTAATACACCCCCATAATTATTACACCCCATAATTAATACACCCCCATAACCATAATTACCTCCCCATAATTAATACACCCCCCATAATTAATACACCCCATAATTAATACACTCCCCATAATTAAACCTCCCTCCCATATTAATCCACCCCATATTTAATCCACCCCATAATTAATCCACCCCCATAATTAATCCTCCCTCCCATAATTACACCCCACATAATTAATACACCCTCCCATAATTAATCCACCCCCATAATTAATACACCCCCCCATAATTAATACACCGCCCATAATTAAACCTCCCTCCCCTTTAATTCTTTAATTATACACCCCCCATAATTATACACCCCCTTTTAATTAATTTAATAACATCACATAAATTACATAAACACATAAATGAATAACATCACATAAATTACTACTCAAGTTTTGATGATGCCTTCCCTCCGAGACCAACCACTGGATCCATGCGCTGAAGATCCGTGAAGGCGGACTGACGGCGGCGCTGCGTGCGGCGTCATCACTCTGCGTCCCGCAAGACTCCTCCCCCTTCTCAGCCTCCGCAAAGGTGCTGCCGCTGCGGCTGTGCGCAGCGTAATGATTGGTGCCAGGGGGGTGAAACATGACACTGGAAGTCATGGCACCCCCCTAGTCAGTGGCACCCGGGGCGGGCCGCCCCCCGCCCCTCCCCCTTAGTACGCCACTGTGTGTATGTATATATGTGTGAGTATGAATATTGGAGTGTATGTGCATCAGGGACGTATTAGCCGCGAGGCAAACAAGGCATTTGCCTTTGGCGTCATTTTTCGAGGGCGGCAAAAAACGCAGCCCCCAAATGCCCAGGGCAAATGCCTAGTTAGCCTCGCGGCTAACAGACATGCTGGGCTGGCGGGCGGTGCTGGCTTATGGTCGGGTGGGCGGCTGGCGAGGGAAGCTCTTCCTCTGAGCGGTCTGCTCAGCTTCCTCGCACGCATCACAGTGAGGCTGGGAGCCGATTTGATGACGTCATATTCCGGCTCCCAGCCTCACTCTGCGGCGCACGAGGGAGCTGAGCAGTCAGCTCAGGGGAAGTGCTCCCTCGCCAGCCGCCCATCAGCCCGACTGGCAGCCACTGGACCACCCGGGAGAAAGAGGAACCCCCCCTCCAGCATTCCCAAAGGTAAAATTAACAAAGGGGGTTAAATTAAAAAGGGCAGCACAAAACCAGGATATACCACTGATGTGCATACATCCCAGCAATCAATCAAATTATATATGTAATATATTTATTTTTATTAGATTGTGACTATCAAAGATATCAATTCCACAGTACAATAATCACAATACTAATAAAAACATACTATGCATCTAACTTCCTCTTCTTTTTTCGTGGTTCACTTATTACATTTCTACGGGGAAAGAAAAAAAATGCATGATGATAAAAAAGCCATTTTCTATTCTAGAGATGTCAAACAGCGAAATAGGTTTCAGTTCTGCACAGAGGAACCACAGGGAACCGCATCAAGCCTTTTAAAAATAACCCTTTTCCCTGTGCTTGTTAATTAGCCCACAGACCAGTCGCAAAGTGAAAAAAAAAAACACACTAAAAGGCAGAGGTGATAAAAAAAATGTGTACACATTTTATTTCTCCTTCGCTGCGATGCATTTCCATTCTAGAAGTATTTTAATGATGATACTTTGTTAATACCCTGCGTGGTATTAACCATAAGGGACCTCTTATTTGTTAAACCTTTATTTTTTGGGTGAGGGTTTCCTTCACTTGTAACCCCAAATCCCACCAAGCTACCACTTATTTGAGAATGTGGCAGGCTTAATGTTTGGAAGCATATGTGTTGGAGGGAGTCAAATTCAGCTTTTAAACCATGATTTTAACCTTATCTGCCAGGCCGTGGCGACTGAACAAAATACACATAAAAAGCGGCTTATTTATTGTAGGCACTGTATTTATAATAGTTTATATTTGTCTATACATTTAGGTAATTAAAGATGATGTCGCTCTTTTACCTTACCCCAAATTAATTCATTAAAGGATCACTATAGGGTCAGGAACACAAACATGTAGTGTTAAAACCACCATCTACCCCCATGGGCCCCTCATGCCTCCATAAATATAGTACAAATCTTACTGTATTCAAGCCTGAAGCTGTAACTCTGCATGCTGTTAGACTCAGAAAAACAAGCAGTCTGCTGACCTCATCAGAAGTGGTAGCCTGATCCAATAACAATGCTTCCCCATAGGATTGGCTGAGACTGACAAGGAGGCAGATCAGGGGCAGAGCCAGTATGATTCAAACACAGCCTTGGCCAATCAGCATCTCCCTATAGAGATGAATTGAATCAATGAATCTCTATGAGGAAAGTTCAGTGTCTGCATGCAGAGGGCGGAGATACTTAATGTTTGGATGCATTTTAGTCAGCCATGACCCAGGAAGGATCTCTGACAGCCATCTGAGGAGTGGCCAGTGAAGTTATCACTAGGCTGGAATGTAAACACTGCATTTTCTCTGAAAAAGGAAATGATTCTAATCACCAGAACAAATTTAATAAATAATATAATTTAATAAACTGTAGTTGTTCTGGTGACTATAGTGTCCCTTTAATTTCTAGTATAGTCGCTCTAAAAGCCATTCAATACGCTCTGAATTATATAGAATTGAAATCCGAATTGCAAAAGAAGTCGATTTGGTAATATTTTCCATCTCAGCTATAGTCATAGTTTGGCATTAATGTGTGCATTGTTATCAATTCATCGTGAATTTCAAATTCTAGGCGAAATTGGCCAAATTGGAAAAAAGTCTAGTTAGCGAGTTAGTTGTGGTTGTCTGGTCCCTTATATCAAGGCAGATCACTTTTTGATTAACTGGTTTCCATGTTAAAGTATATTAATGTTACATACAACATGGACATCTGGTGTTTAAAGGAATAGTAAAAAGTGTATGAAAAACCAGCCATCGCAAAACGTGTGAAATCTTTCATTTGTTAATTAAAATGTAAAGAAATACAAAAACGAAAGAAAGAAAAAAAGAAAGAACATAATTGTTTTGGATTTTTCTGGAATATAGCTTGCACATTGGGAGATGATGAGCGTGGCTTGTATAAGTTATTTTATGTAGGTAACATTTTATGATGCTAGGATGCTGTCATTTATTACAAAATATTAATAAAATACCTGCTCCCTTTACCAATTTTCTTGCAGCTTCCATGATACCAGTAGCTATATCTCCAAGTTATTGCTGCTTGTCTGATTTTCAGATCGGCACTATTTAGTTAGCCTGTCAGGATGCGTCTCCCGTATCGCTCTGACATGCTGACAATCCCATCATAAAGGCATATGAACGAAATTGATAACGACAGATGGGGGAGGTTAATTTTTTTTTTTATCTATAGGTTTGTTCCCAGTTCTGCTGGTGAAAAAAACTAATAGAATCTCTAGAAAATGCATCTAATGAATATGGAATCTGTATTTTAAATGGTCATTCCCACAGATCCATCCTCCACAAATCTCCAAGGGTTTTGAATCAATGATGGGCAGGGCCGCCATCAGAAATTTTGGGGCCCCTAACTCAGCTCAGGGTGTGGGCCCCCGGGGGCCCATCACCAAGCTCGCCCACAGGGACTGCTTCCAAATCCCGCCCACAGGAATACACACACAGACACAAACACACGCACTGATACAAAAGGACAAAGATATACACACACACATACATACATACATGCACAGACACTGAAACAGACAGACACATACTAACATACATACACACGCGCATAAGGACATACAGGCACGCACACACATACAGACAGACATTCATACATACATCTCATTTTTCAGTCACCCTCCTGTTTCTTACCTTTTCCTTGCGGCTCTCCCTCTTCAAGGCCTCCATGCAGTCACTCCTCCCACGCGGAGTTAGCCATTACTACAGAATAGGGCACAGTTCCTCAAAGTATCATAAAAATTGCATCTTTTTGTACTGGATCTGATGCGCAGTGTAATCCTCTAATGTAGCTTTATAGCCAACAGGCTGCAGGTCTAGCAGATGGTGCCTGTGTGTCAGGTGCTTCAGGCACTTTACTTTCAAACATTTTATTGCCATTTAGCAGTGATATTCATAAGCAAGGTAGTCATAATTATTGTATTACACATAGCAAGTTTGGTAGTGTAGGTATTACATTTTGCAAGACGTTTATATGAATACCGTATATAATACATGTAAGGAAATAAAATAAGACAAACAATTCTGCTGTTATGTTGTCAACAACGGAGAAGTCTGAAATGATGTACTGTACCTAGTTATTGTGTTATACAATTGTCCACTTGCTCCCAGAATACCTTAATCTTTGTGCATCTCGAAAAACAATGATTATAGGCCTGCTCCCTTTGTCCAACATTTTTGGCAGCTAGCCGAGAAATATGCATGGCCAGATCTCTAAGAGCATTTTCTGATAAGAAGCTGTTAGACACAGTTTAGCAACTCGATGGTTGGTTTTAGGAGTATATGATAGGTCAGTGATGGAAAGTGTGTTAGTGTGTTATCCATCTTCGCAATTCTGATTGTGTAGTTGTGTGTTTCAAGTTAGGTCTGATTTGGGAACAAAGTGAACTAATTGAGTAGGATGAAGTCGCTGGTTGTGTAGGTGGGAAAGAATGCAGTTAGTGGGGTGAATATTTGGTCTTTTAAAGTTTTATAATAATAAATTGTAAACGCATCAGGTTCCGAGTGCTTTTTCTGCCTTTCCCATTTTTGCCTAAGACACTTTATTGTAAGGTTCCAGTAAAGGCTCAGAAGAGGTTTTACTTTAATGGTCAGAAACTTAAACTGGGTTACATAAAAACTAAACTTTGGTTTTATTTTCTGCATACTATGTATAACACTACATTATGCTTAAGGATTATATACTACATGGGGAGATGTACTCTTATTAATCAAGAAGTGGTGTTTAAGGAGCAGTTGGACTTAAGGAAATTATATTGTGTTATGAATATTGGCATGAAGTGACTTAGGAGACTGTACCAGCACTGGAATAAAAGGTAAGCTTAATGGCGAATTTTAATAAAAATTTTTAAAGGTGTTCCAGTAATCTAATTTAAAGGGACTCTCCAGTGCCAGGAAAACAATCTGTTTTCCTGGCACTGCGGGTCCCCTCTCCCTCCCACCACCCATCCCCGGTTGCTGAAGGGGTGAAAACCCCTTCAGTGACTTACCTGAGACCCCCGCTGATGTCCCTCGGCGGTGGTTTCGGGTTGCCGCCGCTCCTCCCATCATCTGACATCTCTCAGCCATTATGCGGCATCCCTGTCCGGCGAGACTCTGCGTTTACCAAAACTGAAATTTCAGAAGCCCCTTGCCTCCTGGGGGGAGTTGAGATTGGCACTGGAGGCCACTTTGGGGTAGAACTGTTCGAGAACGGTTTAATCCTTTGAGGTAAGAGTGCTTATTGGCATCCTGGCACCATAACTTTATTTAGATAAGGTTATAGTGCCTAAACTGTCCCTTTAAAAAGACAATTATAACCCATAAATCATACAATCACAGAGTAGGATGTGCTTAACCATTAATGAGCATGTAGAAACTATAGCATATTCAGGGAAACTTAAAGCTCTCCACATTTTTGCATTACAACTCCCACCTGTCTCAACAGATGAGCTGTTACTTTTGCTCCAAACTTGGATTGATGCAATGTTGGTTTATTTATTTCCTTGAATAAAACTCACACTGCATGAATTCAGCTGTATTTATCGCTTTCATAACAAAAGCAGTGTGCATGTCAAATGCTACATTTCACTCAGTAACAAGAGCAAGCAATGCAAAGCATCCCCTCTGATGGACTGCACAAAACAACCTTCGTGTGTCCTTTGACACAAAAACAACCATGGCTAGAATGCTTTCTATACTTATGGAAAATGCTTTGTAAACCTCATAGACTTGTAAAGTTTATATGATTATGAAACTACTTGCACTTCATTAAACTACACAGCAGTAGGCCACTTTAGTAAGGGCTCAGCAATCTGTGTAGCACTGGGTAATCAGAACACATGGCTATATCAGAACAGCTGATGTACATTATGTTTCGGGCTCTACGTGTGTTTATTTCATGGTGTTGTAAGATACAGGTAAATAAAATGACTTGAGGTATCTATGTAAAAGCCGCTTGGGAGGACAGGATCCATAACCCTTCACTGATCTTGAAGTATGGGACTGGATTCCAACACGTAAGTCCATGACACATTTTCAGATTTAAGACACCCACCCCTCCCCCCTCAAGCTGCCAGGATATAGTGGCGTAATAGTTTGTATAGCTGCTTAGCATTCAAGCCCTAAATTAGCCAACAGATTCTCTAAGGCCTCAAGTCTCTGGTTAGCCTCCTCTATGGCGCTGTAGGTTTGCACGTTGCTTGTTATATGGAAGCGGATGTCATCAATCAGTGGGATGGAGTCAGTCTCTTGACGTTTTTCAACAGCTTGTGCATCTTCTTGGACTGCACCTGCAAATTCCTCAGAATCAACCAACTGTGAAATGAGAGAGAGAGAGAGAGAGAGAGACTAAGTGACCTAGGAACAAAACATTACAATAAAAAGGTAACTACAATGGGTCATCCTCCTTGGACACATAACTTTGCACTTTATATACAATGCATATTGCATTACACTTCTTGCAAATAGATTATAAGAATGTAATTAGTATTGCATATAAACTGAGGGACTATTTGGTCACTATCCAAAACATCTAGAATGGTCTCCTTACCTTCTCTATTACACGGGCCATGTACTCAGTGCTTTGATCCTCCAGTCGTGTCAATTGGAAGAGCTTTGCCACCTTCCAGATGCCAATAACACTGTCTTCATCCAACATCTGTGCTAAAGTCTTCCCGCAGAGGCGTTTTAAGCCAGGCAGTAGGTACATGTCAGCCACACAAAGCACATCATACACATTCTCTGGGGATAGCTAAGGCACAAGATCGGCATTTAAATGTATTTACTTGGGAAAGCATTAGAAAATTATATTTCATCAGCAAGAGAAAATCATGTCAGAATATAAAGTCATAGATGTTTATTCAAGACAAAGAAATCATGTAAAAGGATAGTAAAGAGTTAGGTCTTTCACCCACCATTGGATGTTTGTAGATTTAACTACTTAATCATAAGTGCCAACACGGATCTCTGGTAATTTACAGAAATAAAAAATAAATTAAAAAAAGCAAGAGAATACTGAGAACAGAAAACAGCTCAAGTAGCTTTCCCTTCTTTGGGTCCCCCAGATCTCAGGCTATTGAGAACCTAGGTAATTAGTATATCAGACTGATCCCACCCAAAAGCGTGGCCAAGATATGAAACACAGACCATCTCTCTCTGCACGAGAGATACAGCAACCACAGACAATCATTTCGCTCTCATTAGGCCCCGTCATTGAGTTATAGCCGATATTCCTCTATGCGCCATGAGCAGGTTATTTGAACTGTTGTCCATTCTCACTATTCTCTTGCACCCTGTTCTATTGGCGTTTCCCAAGTTTAAAGGAAATGCAGACATGGACCCCTTGCTCACTATGCTATATCTCACTGAAGAGGCCTAATAATGCAAAAACAATCACCTTGTTTTGCTGTATCTCTCGCGCAGTAAGAGCCAGCCTGCATTTTTTTTTTCTCTGGACCATCCTTTTGGTTGGGATCTGTGTAATATGCGAATGAGCAAGACTTCGCTTTGTAATGACACAAGATGAGCTAAGAACAGCTCCAGATCTGAGCAGGGACCCAAGGAAGAGCAAGTTATTTGAGCGGTTGTCCATTTTCAGTAGTTCAATGTTATCAAAAAAAGGTCTCATAGTCAAGAGCTTAGCCCCTAAATCTCTATGTACGGCACACAGACGTTCGATGGTTGGTATGTGACAATGAAGGATTGTAGTGCCTATCTCTGGGACACTGTCAAAGGAGACAATCAAAGCACCCACTAGAAGGGGAGAGTAGGTTCCATCACAAAGACATAGAAAAAGGCTACAGAAGCAGGAACTGCAAAATACATTTTAGTTAAATCTCCACATCTGTCCCTTATTATAGAGTTCCACATCTGAAAACCGTAAATAATAATGGTATGAGAGGCCATTCACTTTTCTTTTTCTTAAGGGTGCAATGACTCTGGCTCCACCATTCCGGATAAGTATCAAATATTAAAAAAAAAAAAAAAAAAGAGGTCAAGCACTCCTTATTGTGAAAAGATGTGTGTGTCTTTAACAAGCAATGTGATAAAGACACACAGTCATAATGTTGCTGTTTTGTCAATAAAGGGATATCATCTATTCACAATAAGGAGTACTGGACATTTATTTTGTTTATTCTTTGATACATCTGAAAACTGTGACAGAAGTTTCTCCCACTGTATACATCAGCTGTTATATTCTATATGCTCCTTTCTTTATAGACTATTTTGTTTTTTAATTCTCACCAAACTACAAAACAAATAGGTATATCCCTTTTGATTTCCACATTTGCTCCGAACTAACTCAACCAAAAAAAAAAATTAGCATTAGAACAAAAAGGTCCACCTGCAATGTTCCTTGGAATGAAACTATAGTTAGAGCTTGGACCCATCCAAATCTCTAGTATAACTTCCTACTGCCACCTGCTGGCTGATGCTTATAACCAATAGGTGGATCATATTACTCAGCCACGCTTTATGTTTTAGTACAGGAGGACCTAGAGGTTGCATATGACTTACCTTTCAGGTTTAAAGAACAGAGACATAGGATAAGTGTTTTGTTTTTAAAATTCTGCGTTTTGTTTTTAAAATTACAATTAATAGTCTAAAAATGTTTTGTTTTATTTGAATCTGAAAATTTATGAACTTTAGATTTATATATGCCTTCTGCTCCCTGCAAACAAACAGAACTCAAATGTTTTGTCATGCTACAATATATCAACTGTGAACAAATGTAACCTCTCTGGATTAAATGTAAACCTGCTTACATAATAAGATATCTAATCTTTCAGTATTTCAAAATATGATCTGAAATAAGTGTAATAGCAGAGATTCCATTTTGTATATCCACACACAGAAGGTAGGGCAAAGATTGATTCAAAACGGTCATTTATTATTTCATGGTATACAAATTGTTTCCACACTCCTTTATTCAGCTTGTTGCCACAAGACATTAAAATGAAAGTTCAACTGATCAATTGGTGCCAGGTCTTCCTTTACCAACGTTTTGCTCTAGAGTACTAGCTTGAAAGGGACACCGTAGGTACTATAGCCAGTTCATCTCATTAAATTGGTTATAGTGCATAGAGTCCCTGACACTGACTGACCACCCACAGCCCAGCGCCCACTGGAGGTATGGCTAATGCAGAGATTAAATAAAACCTTGGTAATACCAATTCATACCAGCTGTGATAGGCTGAAAAAGGCCAGCCAAAACTTGTAGCCAATAGCCAAGAAGAGTCTGCTGGGGACTCTTGTTTCACATTATATGGTGCAACATTGAACAGAAGAACTGGAGATAATACAGCTACTTCAATCACATGGACCAATTACAGTGCCCTTTAAACAACTTGAGAACAAAAGCAGAATGTATGCAAGTGTGAGGCTGTACTTAATAGAAATGCTCACCTCAGTGTCATCGCTATAAATATAATACAAGATGCGCAGAAAGGTCTCCTCGGTGATGTTGTGAAGGGTGAGTACTGGGATGCTTGGTTCGGCTTGCAGCTCCTGGCTCTCGCAGAAATGATCTTCCAGCAGTGCCTTGAAATAGTCGCTCCGGCCACAGAAAAAAGACTGTAAACAGGTGCAAGAGTTAAAAGAGAATTGGCAGAATATGGGGGGGGGAGGGGGAACTAAAGAGAATAACAGAACTACAGGCAGGGAGAACAAAATATTACACCATTGCATGTATATTATTTATATCATTGAAAACATTGGACTGAGCTGGAGTGCACAGGTTTATTCCATATTGTACCTTGTGACACAAGAAATTGTAATTTTCAATCTGGAAGCACACATCTGGGTAACTGCTGAAGTTATCAGTGCTGTCAAACGGCAGCTCCCCAAATCCAACCTGCCAACACAAGGAAAAAGAACAGGGACACTCATTATTTAGGGGAAATCATGATAATAATAATGAAAACATTTTATATTATATGTAAAGAGCTAAAAAAGAACAGTGCTCCTTGCCTTCAGGCTTATAAAAAGCCAATAAAAACTGGGAGGGAGATTTATAAAGTCAAAACCAGGTGCTATTCTTGGGCAGATTGCTAAATAAGGAATAATGTGGTCTGTTGGAAATTAAACATACAGCCACCATACAAAATCTGTAATAAAAAGACAAACAATCATGAGAAATTACATTTCATATCTTTAGCAGATGGCGATATATGCTACTTTGCAAACTTGTAATTACCATAGCCTTTTCTTGTAATGAATATATCTTTATTCTTGTTTCTGCTTAATTTATTTCCTTCAGTGTGAGCCGCTGTTTCCCTTGTATTTTATGGATAGCAGTTGGCCTGCTTGTTTGGAGCACTAGTTAAATATAAGCGGCTGCACACTTATGCTAATGACCTATTTGAATAATATTTTATGTCTAAAAAATAAAGACATTGTATTATTCCCTACTTTATCATAAAATAACTAAAACCAACGAGAAATTAAGGGACAAAAAAAGGAAAAAAAAAGAAGAATTAATTTAAAAGCAAAAACTGCAAAAGTAACAGAACCCCTTTAAATCACTGGGCAGACACAGGCTGTGTATGTTATACATATACACAAAAGGTATTTAGTTCCAAATCCCTAATACCATTGCACCCATCCCCCTCCACACCATCGCCCACCCCCCCTCACACACAAACAGTATCACCCCTTCCATACACAATAACCCCGCTCACACACAGGATCACCCCTTTCACACACACTGTAACCCTCAACTATGTCATGTCAGCCCCCCAGACACACTGTTAGCATCCCCTCACACTGTCACCCCCTTCTCTCAGAATATCACCCTGCTCCCATACAGAATCCCCCCCCCATCCCATACAGAATTGCCCCTCACACACAGGATCACCCCCCACACATGCAATGTCACCCCCTACACACACTGCCATGCCCCCCACACTCTATCATCCACAACAATGTTGTGTCAACCATACTCCCACACAGTCGGCCTCCCCAGACACACTGTTAGCATCCCCTCACACTGTCACCCCTCCCTACACGGTCATCACTCCCAACCTGCCCCCACCCACACTGTTAGCCTCTTCATGCATCCAAACTCACATTAACCACTCCTAATCCTCTTAATCTCACTCCCTCCAAACTCACCTGCCCTCACTCTGCCACACTCACCCTGTCAAATTAACCACCTTAATTCTGTCACACTCACCTTCTCTCACTCTACCCCCAACCCTGCCAACACTTATCCGATCACATTAATGCCTCTAACCCCCCCCATAAGACAGTCACACTCGTCCCTCCTACCATGCCAAAAATTGCCCTGACACACTCCCTTATCAAACCATGTCATACTCCCTCTCCCTAATTCTCTCTCACAACCCCCCCACTGTGGCCCATTTACCCCCTTCACCCTGACACGCCCTCCCTGCCACTGGTATCCCTTTACTCACCTTTTCACAGTCACCAGCTGAAGACATTCATCATACACAGTCAGGAAACATAGCTTTGCCATAAACACAATGCACAACAGCCATAGGCAGACCCCCATACACACAACACACTTCAAGCAGCTACCCATACACGTACAGTCCCAGACAAAAACGCAAACATGCTCACAGAGACATACATTCATACACACAAGGATACTTTCTGTCAGACAGTGCATCAATGTGTATATGTGTGCATGTATTGCAACTCCATTTTTTCACTTTATTGTTAGTGGGGCCTCATGTTTGAGTCTTGCCCAAGGCCTCATAAAACCTAGAGCCGCCTCTGAATGAAACCATAGAGATTCAAAAAGATAGTTTATGTAGGGCTCTACCTGCTAAATTCACAGCATATGATTTTTCAACCCCCCCCCCCCAAACCCATTGTAAAGCCTGAAGATCATGGAGAAGCATTTACCTCAATGAGAATTTAAATTCATCTCTAGGATTTAGTTTTGTGTCTTTAAATTATAAAGAAATCACTTGCACACTTTCCCCTGCACCTGGGATTAACAGCCACATGGACCTCGTCCTACACAATTCTCCAAGAGGGATCTTCTTGCCAGTTCTAACAGCCAAGAGAAAAGCCCTACACAAACACGTTCTGTTCTAAATGGACAAGCAGGCACGTTATATTTAGCAGTGTCCATGAGTCAGTGGGCAGCAGAGGCATATTAAGCCATTAGTAGCTCCTACAGACCAGTTTCATGTGGAGAAGAAAAGAGTTTTTTTTTCCTGTAACTGTAAGAATCCCCTGTGGAAAGCCAAGTACAAGTATTATTTTGTTTCTAGATTACCCTGAAATGTCATTAAACACCATTGTTTACTGCGTACTGGACAGAAACGGCTGGCAGCTTGAAATGCTGGCTCACAGCTGTCACCAATGGTGCCAGCCTCCTACACACACAGCCAGAGCTGCTCTGTTTGCCACAATGCTCTGTTACGGCATGCTGCTCTGACACTGGACATTTAAACACACACATAAAATGTCTCCGCTTGGCATGGTGAAAGCTTGTTTGATTTAAGCCAAATGTTTTTTACAGTACACAAAATTACAGTGCAATTTTACTCCATATAACTTAAAAATGGAAGTGGCTTTTTGTTATCTGAAGAGACCTATAAATTCTACCTCTTACCCCTGAAAGAATCAGTGAGAGCACTAAGAAATAATTTCAGCTAGTGAAACACTTTAGTTTAACAGTTTACCTTATACACGTGTTACTAACTATTTTATGCCAGGACTCGTGCATACACCCATACCCTGGAATCATGTGTGCACGATTTTTAATGCAAAGAAATTGCATGGGAGGCTGGATACAGTGTCGTGTGTGGGAGTCCAAGCGCACGGATGGGAGGCTCTTCAGGTGAACACACATATTGGTTCCGATACGTTCCACTGAGAGATCACACGCCACGAGCATGTACAGTGCTAGCTCGGCTCTTTGGCACCAAATTCAAACAGGAAGGCCTTAGAGACTTTATATACCCAGACACAATTACCTGGCAGCCAGGTGCTGTTCAGCTCTTTCTCAGCAGCCCTTCAGGTCTAACAAGGAAAGACTTCTTACCATTACTTTTATTTAGGCCTCTTGTCCCCTGTTTAGTTTAGTTGGGCAATTTTTTCCCCCCTTTTCTTTTCTAGTATGTCCAATCCTGAAACCTCTGAGAAACCTGTAGAAAAAGGAAAATGTCTCCACAAATCCAGATACATTATCTGTAGATCCTGCAGTCAGACAAAGCCTGATGGGTATAAAAAGAAAATCTGTAATATTTGTTTGAAAGAGGCAGCAAAAAATCCAAGAAAGGTTTCCTCTTCCTCAGTCCAGTCTCCAACAAACCTGAGATAAAGGAATAATCAAGTGGCTCAGTCTTCTGTAAGCACTGTACGGGGGTTTACAGACCCCGAGAGGGGCAAAGAACCTCTCAAAAATAAAAAGCATAAACAGGAAGAGTCTTTAGACTTAAGTTCCGATTCCTCAGATAAGTCTTCTGATGATTCTGTTGCTTCATCTGATGAGGATTTTGCATTTCCCGATGAATTATTACATAAATTCATTAAAGAAGTTTCATTGTGTATGGAAGATAAATCAGACCTGAACAATTATAAGAAAATGAAATCCTCCTTGTTCCACCCGAAGCTTAAAGATCTCATGCTTCAAGAGTGGAGATATCCTTACAAGAAGGCTTATATTATCAAACACTTTAAAACTGTATTCTCTCTTAAAAAGACAACAAGAAATTGGAAGGACTCCTGAAAGTTAGGCAAGACGACCACTCAGCCTATTGGAGACTTAAGGGTGCCATGGACAGTCACAGACTTACCTGCATCTGGTGCCGCGTAGCTTCCCTCCTCGATCCACATGAGCAAAACGCACCATGTGGGCACACTGTTCCTATCCTCAGGCTGCGGGGAGCGTTCTCAATAGGGAATAAAGTAGACTTACCTTTGGTCCTGCGAACGCCTTCCTCTGTTGGTCCAACACTGCTCGTTGTACAGGCACGTCCGTAAATAAATTTGAAGTTGATATCACGCCCACCCTTAAAGAGACCACGTCATCTAGGCGATCCTATGCTGTTTGGTGATGCAGAGATGACGCGGACCAATTAGAACATGTGAACCTATTTAAAGACTGTTCAGACCCTTCCTTATTGCCCTATTGTTGTTTCTGTTTAAAAACATGTTTAGTGCTTCTGCGACTCTCTTGTGATTTCCTGTTGTTAACCTTGGCTTAGTTTTGACTCCGTTAACCTCTAGTATCCTGACCCGGCTTGTATATTGACGTGTGTATTTCTATTACCCTGACCTGGCTTGTTTTTGTGTGTACCCTTATCTCTGTATTCCTGACTTTGTAATATGTTATGTCCGGTCACTCTAAGGCCCGGTAACACAGCTCTTTGGACCCTCACTTTGTGGGTATCATTTTTCCGGAGTGTAAAGAAACTGCTTTAAGAATGGTTTTCTAACCAATGCTGCACAGAGTAAGGTCTTGCTTATAGGATCTTCCATAGTTAAGGCACAATGTGCCTGGTTAGACTCACTGGGGGAAATAAAAAAAAAAAAAAATAGGATCCAGTCAAACTTTTGCAAAATATCCAAATAGCGTCTGATTTTTTTGGCAGACTACTTCACAAGTTCTTAAATTTGCAGTCAAATCCACTTTGACAGTAGCAGGATGGCAGTCTGGCTGAGAGAATAGTCTGTGGACTCTACATCAAAACACTCCTTATGCGATATGCCATTCGAACAGGGAAGACCGTTTGTTCCCAAGGAGATGGTCATCTAAAACAGATGGCAGAAGGGAAAAAGAACGATCATTGGAACAAGAGATTCTACTGTAAGAACAGATCACCTTACAGATATCCTTTCACAGGACTAGTTCTGCCTTTTCATTACAAGAACAAAGATAAAGGCAGGTTCATGGGAAAGCAAAAGGAGTGAAAATTCTGATGCCAAGGCAATAATGGGAAGACTACTGGAGTTTTTCGAAGAATGGCACGATATTACAACAGGCGAATAGGTCCTATCAGTTATAAAAAGAGGTTATTACATAGAATTCACCAGTTCTCCTCAAATATTCCCATTGCAAAGGAAAGCAAAACATTTTTAAGAATTTGTATTTCGGCAAAAAACAATATCATTGCTTTTTTCCACTGTTCATTCAACAAAACGTCTTCAAGATTTCAAAAAGCTACAATGTGCCTAGAAAAACATGTCTGGATTCTAAATCCTCAAAAATCTAAAATTAGTTACCACAATTAGAATTCAGTTTCTAGGTCTGATTATAGATTACGCTCTCATGAAGATTTTTCTTTCTACAGAAAAAAAATAAAATAAAACGAGAAGGGTGGTATTATCCACTCTAAGGGAAAAAAACAAAATGACAACCTGTACTATAAGAGACGCATTGAGTGTCCTGTGTCTCTTTACAGAAGCCATTCCAGCGGTCAACTGGGCAAAGGTCAGAATGTGACCATTACAGAGAAACATTTTAGAAACCTGCAATAGAGAGCATCGTCACTAGATCAACTTTTGGCCAGACACAATGAAAAGTTTCACTTGGTGGGAACATTCCTGAAAATATCAATATATTGTTACTATAGATGCTTCAGCAGACGGCTGATGAGAATACATCGGAAACGTCTGCAAAAGGCCAGTGGACAACTTGGGATTCCACAAGATTTTCAAACTTCAGGGAATAAAAAAGCAGTATGGATGTCTCTAAAGTTTTAAACATCTCATTCTGCATGAACATGTTCAGATTCACTCGGACAATGCCACTACAGTGGCCTATATCAACAAGCAAGGAGATTCCTCCTCTCTGGGGAATCTCTGTGCAAATATAATGCTGCTGGCGGAATTCCATTTTTACTCTATGAAGGAAGTCCATATCAAAGAGAAGATTAACATCCTTGCAGATGCACGAAGCAGGAATATTAAAAAGGGAGATTTGGTCACTCACACCTAAGACGATTCTGAAAATTGTTCATCGATTTGGCAAACCAGACATAGATCTTATGACCTACAGAATCAACAGAAAAGTCAAGAAATATGCCTTAGTCAATAATTTAGGCAATCCAGATTTCAGATGCTTTATCAACTCCTTGGGATTTTCAACTGGCATATGTATTCTCTCCAAATCCCTTAATTTCAAGAGTTCTAAAGAAAATCTGTGAGAAGGCAAAAAGTAATCGCAATAATACCTGATTGGCAAAGGAGAAGTTGTTTTTTTCTTCAACTATTTAAACGGACATTCTGGTGCCGTTCTTTGTCAGAACACATCTTAGAATACGGCCTAGTGAATCTGAAGAAACTGAAAACATTCACGCACACCATGGTCTCTGAACAAAGGCTTAAGTCCTGAGGTCATATATATTTGGATTTCAGCCAAAAAAGAATCAACTGGTAAAATAAACCCCTGAATTTGGAAAACATGTTTTACTTTTTTTACTGTTGCTTTGCTGTCAAGATACAGCTCCTATGCCTTACATCAAGCATATCATACTCAAAGGCTAAAATGGGCCAAATAAACAAGGTTTAAGTTTATGTGGGCCGCAAAAAAACAAAAACTTCACTTTTCATAGAAACGTAGGTTTATTTAGAAAAGTACAGTATACAAAAAGTTGCCTAACTGACACAGGATGTCCTCATGCTGGTAGGGCTTCAAAGTAAACAAGAGAGTGAATTTATTTTAAGGAGACGTGCATTTGCATATAACCAATGTTTCAGTCCAACTACCTTGATATTAAGAAAAGTTTGGTAATGGGACTGTAATGGTGAATGTATGCTGTTGCACAGCTGTAAAAAAATGTTTACAAAAATTGTGTTATCTTGTTGATCTTTATGAGGGTGTTCTTCACTTGATTATCTCAGCCAATCCACTGCTTTACCTTAAAAAAGCATTGGGAGGCTATTGTGCATGTGTGGCAAAAAGCTGCAAGGCCAATCAGCATTTCCATGGGAAACGTTCAGCGCCTTCATGTAGACCCAATCTAATACAATGCCCACTTCCCCCAATTACAATACACTGCCCACAAATCCAATACATTGTCCTCTCCCCACCCAATCTAATACACTGCCCTCCTCCCACTGTAACACACTGCCCCAAGTCCCACCACTCTAATACACTGCCCCCCTCCTTCACCCGAATTAAAACACTGCCCTCCCCCCCCTCAAATTATCACACTACACAAGAAGGTCCCCCAAGCCACTCTTCCTTAAGATGAGCCGCCCGTCCTCCAGTTCCAGCCCTGCTCTTCTATGCTCAAGCACGCCAGACACTCCTCTGGCACTGTGAGCAGGAGGGAAGGGGTAGTGGTTGGCCTACTCTGCAGACAGACAGCAACTTTGCGCTCTTGCAGCCGCGGAAGCATGAGATAGGCAGTTGGAGGAAGGACAAGAATCTGTTGCAACCACAAGACAACAAGGTCACAGGGCAGGTGGGCCACAAAAATAATCATTGTGCGCCACATGCAGCCCATGGAAGATCGTATTTCTGATTGCTATTAAATTAGCTTAGCGTCTAGGGGAACTGCAATCTCTATCTGCTCACCCATCTTATCACACGTTCCATTTGGATAAGGTGGTGTTAAAGCTACACCCTTCCTTTCATACTAAAATAGCTTTAATGAACAACATTGTCTAAGAAATCTTGGCTACCATTTGTCCAAATGCACAAAATGAAAAGAAAAAAAAATTCCACTCTCTGGACATTAAAAGAACTCTTCTCACTTACTTGGAAATAACTAGGAAATTCAGAAACTCTGAACATTGATAGCATTCAAATGATCCCTTTTTTCATACAGTACGATATACAGTGTGAGATTATATACATGTAAAATCTCAATGCTAGCTGTTGAATTTTTATTACGTCTGTATATATGGTGTGTGTGTTCGAAAATAAAATAAAACTTAGAGAGATTATATATATATATATATATATATATATATATATATATATATATATATATATATATATATATATATAATCTCTCTAAGTTTTATTTTATTTTTTTATATATATATATATATATTTTATAATATATATATATATATATATATAATCTCTCTAAGTTTTATTTTATTTTCGCACACACACACCATATATACAGACGTAATAAAAATTCCACAGCTAGCATTGAGATTTTACATGCCCCATAATTTTTATTTCATATAGTAGCAATTGTCATATGTGCCTTTATGTTGTGTCTTTTCTTTTTATTCTTAGACACAGTAAGCTGAAAAATAGTCAGCAAAGCCGTATGTAGCTCAGGTTTATGCAAAATACCTTTGAGAGCAATTACAAAGAACAGTTTTAGGAATTCAGTGTTTTTCAACAAATGTCCTCTAGGACACACTAAGAGGATGCAATTTTAGAACATGTGGAGCGCAGTGCTAATTAATTGTTCAGGGATTTCGACTACTTACTCTCAAAGGGTGATGCTTAAAATCTGACCAGGTGCATGCCCTCAAAAGGTTTGAGCAAGCAAACGCCTATCAAACAAATACCTCCAACTACTCTCTGTTGTGTCTTCCAACTAAAAGACAGATATCTAGGGGTATTAAAGCAATGCCTACAAGTGATTTAGAAAAAATTTATAATAACAAAGGGGGGCTCCAACTCTGCCTATTCCCTTGCCATTCCCATGTCAAATCTACACCATCACAAGTCTAGTGGATCACTATTACATATATAACAGGATGCCTATAGAGAAGATACTATCTTTAATATGAAAACACAGCTGGAGCCCTTAAAAAGACAGGCCTTTAAAACAATAAAAATGTTCATTATTTCGCCTTCATACAACTCCTCCCTTCTGTCTGTGCTGAAATGTATTGGATATCCATACATTACATTTTCATTTGGTGCAATTATAAATACTTTAAAATGTTTAATATCTACAGTCATTTTCAATCTTTCATATATTTCTGAGACCTGTTGTCCTGTATGTAGAAACGCAAAACAGATTGTATCATCCAAAAACTGATAAAGAGTTCAAGATTGAAAGATGTATACATAAACTCCCTTTAGCGTGAGCAGAATTATTTATCTTTATCATAGAATACGAGGATTTGATATACTTCACTATTTTTATCGATATAAGTGATTTTCTTTAAGTTATTTGTGCTTGATTTTTACAGTAAAACTGATATAGCAATATATTTCGGTCAGCATTTGGATTAGGATACTTTTGGAAATGCATATGTACAGCTGGATTTGTCAAAGTCGAGAGGATGCTGGATTGCTATAAAGTGAACATTTATATTTAGAGAGAGGCAATAAATCACTTCAGAATGGAGGTGTGTGCAGACAGCATAAGTTAATGCATGAAAACATTAACGTCTCATTGAGAAAAAAAAATATGTAAAAATTCCACGGATAACTAGGAGGAATAAAAAACTTTTAAATGTATTTCATTAAAAAAAAACAGAAAAAGTTTAATTTAAAGAAATGTTAGTTATTTACGGATAATTTCTAGCTAATCTCTTTGCGTGGCAATAAACCAATGAAAGTGTCTCTCTCTCTATAATTTATAGAAAACAAATGGCAAGGAAGTATGTGGGTGCATTTAGGGAAATGCTTAGAATGATCAATATTTGAAAAGGACCAAAAACATATGAACCGATGGAATTGGGTACCCAATATAGTTTCAAATTTGTACAATTCCACTGTAATAGACAAAGCTCAAAAGGCTTACCCTAAGCTCAGAAGGCATGGCACAGTCAGCTAACATAGCTAGATCATCCTGCAAGCGACAGTTTCCAGTCGGTTCCACCGTCAGAACTTTTACACATGTTCCAGGCTTGGAGGATACTGCGATATGAACACACACATTATACTTTAACCCATTGGCTACCTATTCAACCTGGCTCTAGCCTATTGCTGCTATGCTGTTGGTTATACATTTACCAAGTCCCTCCCTGCGTTAGAAGACAAAAAAGGCTCAAACATGGGTTTTACAGATTTTCCATTGTTATTTACCAAGCCAGGAACTGTTGATATTTGAACACAGACTTTAAAAAAAACTTTATTACAAACTAGCTGGACTAGAAAAATGGACGAGTTGGAGAATTTTGGATAGGTTTCCTTAAAGTTGCTCACTCCCAGCGCTGCCTGCACAAAAGAAGTTCATCAAGTCTGTTGCCTACATGCTGACGGATATACCTTTTGCACAGAATTCACATAAGGCAGCTAGAAACAGAGCAAGGCTGACCAAATCACATATGCCAGGAAGGTGTGGGTGGATAAAATTACCTTTTTTAAGCAGATGTAAGGGGGGCCAGGGGCCTAAATATTTATTTTAGATACACATGTTTGTATTCCTGACACTATAGTATTCCTTTAAAAATTTTAAACTGACATATTTAGTAATTTATAACAAATTCTTTGCAAACGTGAACATACCAAACTCATACACCTTTTTACACTTTTCTTCTAGCTCATCAATGAGATCTTGCAGCTGGCACTGTTTTGCCAGTCTCTTACAGTCCTCTACGTGCTCGACGTCAATGTCCATACGGCCTAGACAGGAAGAGAAGGCATGGTCATAAAAAAAATAAACGGCAGCCAAATAAATAGGATGAGCTAAACTTAATAATCAGCCCTGTGATACAAAGCTACAGCTAGTGTAACAACTGTAAGCATACGCATGGGTTTGCATACCTAAATGCCATATTTTCATTATGGCATAGTGGGCAACAAGGAAAGCTGTGGTGCGTGTGGCATTACTCCCCTCCTTTGCTCCCCCCTCTACATGGATTAAGAGGGAAGGTGTACAGCATCTAGACTGGGTCAAGTCACAGATTATATTTAGAAAACAATTGTACTTTAATTACAGTAAACAGACGTAACAACCTGGGATTATATTGGAACATGTTACAAATATAAATGTATCAAACAGTTGTTATAGCATATAGGCAATTAAGATAGAAATTAAAATCAATAACTTAAAGGAACATTTCAAACACAATGAGCTCAACAGCCCACTGTAGTAGTTATGGTGCCATGAGAGCTCTGGTGCTCACATGTGTAAGTAGTCAAACCATTTTCAAATGGTTTGACTACTTACCTGGGGTCCACCATTCGCCTTTTCTTCTGCAACACTTGACTAAGCGAGGTAGTGCAGTGCTTAGCTCATTAGCTGGAAAGTGCTCAACGAATGCTCTCAGCCAATGGGCTGGCACATCACAGCAGGACTTGCATTCCACTGTAGGAGGTGACTGTCACCCAACCGGCCCCAATTTAAGAACCTTTCACTGACTGTTTGACTATATACCCTAGGAAGGCGCCAGTGCACTATAACCACTATATATAATGTGCTGCAGTGGATATGGAGCTTGCACTACTCCTTTAAACAAGCATAAAACTGGTCAGATCAGTAACATTCAGTGTATGTAATAGCACCATCTAGTGGACTAGATCTGGAAATAGAGACTAATAATAATCCTTCGTGGTTTTTTTTTTTTTTTTTGAACCCTTAAATGCAGTTGTGGCATTCTCTGCCATCCTACATAAAGCAGGATTTAAAGCCAGAAGGCAGGAATAGAATGCCCTGCATATTTGCTGTGTGCAGGGATAAATCCCTGCTTTTACTATGGAACCCCAGCTATCAATGGATAACTGGGCTCCCCTCTTTCTGCTGGGAGCATTTTTGGCAGCCCAATACTTTTAGATGAGTGTTTGCAGAGCTGGAAGCCAGCGCTGCAAACAGTTCTTTAAATAGGCATTTAAAAGACTGTTAAAAGATTGCTGTGTGAGCAGGGTGAATTCCCTGCTCACACCACTAGCCCCAGGTATCTATGGATAACTGGGGTTTCCCTTAATGTGCTGGGGCCAATTTTTTTTGATGAGTTGCGGACAGCGCTGCAAGTGACGCTTTAAATAGGTACTTAAATGCCTACTTAAGAGATGACGGCGTAAGCGGGGTTAAATGGATAGCTGGGGCTTCTGTAAGTCAGCTGGGGCCATTTTAAGAGGCACTGACCAATGACTTCTGTGCAGTGCTGTAAGTAAGATGTGCACAGAGCCCTTTAAATCAATCACAAAAACAAAAAAATTGTGGTCTTTAGGTAGTTTTGGGGAGACTCTGGCAGTGTCTCCAGGCCTGTCCCTTGCTAGTATGGACTGGTGCTGGGCTTTGCCAGCTTCCCAGCACCGATCTCTATATAATTGGCTGTGAGCCAGGCTCACTCAGAATTAAACGTAATGTAAAGGAGTAAAATGGAATAGTCAAGAATAGAGAGAACTACAAATGTTGGAACATTCTTTCAGTGTGTCTGTTTTGGTCTAACACCAACTAACTTCGAAATGTGGCTAACATGCCTTAAAATGTACAACTATGATGCCAATTTCAGGTTTAGTAAAAGTAGATTGAGAAAACGTGTTGCCAACAGAAACAGAAGGAAACACTATAAAAGTGGAATAGTCACCAACAAAACCAATGAAGAACTCTGCTAACTATTTAGGTTTACATGGTCAATGTTCTACTTTTGGAATGTTTCCCCGCATTCCTTTTGGAAACAATTGAGTAAAGAGGTCCAAATGTGTTGCATATCGGGGCGGGGCCGGGCCGCCGGGCCGACTGGACGCCATCTACATGAGCTCCAGCAACAAAAGGCATGAAACAGCACCAATACAACTAAAAGCCGCACAAAACAAGCAAAACCAGCCGCACCTGACAGGGGGAAAACCCTGACTTTCAATCGGTGCCTACACGAAGTTGACCGCGGGACGGGCGGGCAGCGAGGACTGAGTCAGGCCTACACGCGGCCTCTGAGCACCGGCTGCCACTAACAGGCGCAGCATAGAACCAGCCCGTTACAAGGCAAGCATTCCCGGCATGGGGAGACCCTCGGCCCGGGGCACGGCCCCGTCTCCCCCCCCCGGCCGGCGGGGGTTATCCTGGCCACATGGCAGCGACAGGTACCACGAAGGGAGCCCCCGCGTGGACACTATGCCGACTGCCTAAACTGGCAATGGCAAAGAGACGGCCAGCCAGCTGTACTGGACATCTACACCGAGGGGAAATACTTTTAGTGATGAAAACACCCTGGCAGGGACAGAGAAGACACAGAAGCTCAGGAGGTTGGGGATCCGACGCAGCTGAGCCAAACTACTGAAATGGCTTCCCCTCAAAGGCACCATTGAAAGAGGAGTGCAGAGTCACCAAAGGAGATAACTTACCGAGGGGAGACGACCTGGAAGGCAGGGGTGGACTCCGGTGCCGCCGGGCCCCTGAGGGACCCCACGCGATGCCGGCCAGCCTGCAGGAAAAGTGAGTGTCCGGGCCTCTGGGTCTGGGAGGTCCCCAGAGAGCCGTGTCCCTGAAGCTGAGAGCCCTGTGGGGTGGGTTTGCGCAGCCCCCCCCGGCAGACCGGTAGCCGGGAGCGGCGTGCACCGGTCCCAAGTGTGAGGCCGGCACCAGGAGAGACAATGGGACACAATCTTCACTGGGTCTGAGGCGGTGCTGAGGAGGTGCAGGGAACGGGAGACCCGCGGATTCTAGGTGTGGGGGTCCAGCGGATAATTTCTGCCCCCGAGTGCCCACAGCATCGCGGAGGACTCAGGTGCTGGGCTGGAACTATCGCGGGGGGAGACTGACGGAGTCTTGGCGCCCCGGGAGACGCGCCACGGCCATGCCATGGTGGGCCCTTATCGGACTAACACTACGAACAGCTCTGCTCTTATACTGTTATAGTTATTATGGTTATACTAGAAGTTATGAGGTGTACCTTTGAGCCTTAACCTGATGGGTCTAGCCTAAACGACACATGCACCTGCATATAACAACTAAGATGTTTATTATCTGGCTCACGTGACTAGATAACAAATACGTTTAAGGGGCACATAATCTGGGCATTGCTGTTAGTCAAAATACTACAAAGCTGCACTGGGCTCTACATCAGGATAAGTTAAACATATGCACGTTGTACATTTTAGCCCTCATTATGCTTACATTATGTGATTGCTCAGTTACTGTCATAATTTTGCAAGGAATTACTGATAATTTAGCACTAGACTATACGATGTGACTTATACACATCAGCTTCAGAATGGATATGTGATGTTGTAGTGCCCCCACGGGCAAAAGCTTGACGCCACACATTAATGCCTACTTGAATAGCCAGAATGTTGTATTATACGATGTATATTAATATGCCTATATCTTAACACAGAAATGACCGCGCTCATCTAGTCACATATATCATGTGTTAACTCTGTCATTCTGAGAAGACGCTCAAGGAACAGGCTCACATATAGACACCCTAGTTTATTTCTTTTAACACTGCATTAGTTTGCCTATATACTACATTACATGTATTGCATGATCAGCTACAGTTTACCTCAGATAGACGCATTATAGGATGTTGTTACCTTTTATGCTGTAATGCTTAGAAATGTATTCCTGCAAAGTTCAAGTACGCCTATATGTTCTGATCATTACGCCTCTGCGCAGGCGATAATCTGCATCTATTCCTATGTGCTAACATTTAAGCCTCTACGTAGGCGACCGTTCACCTCAATGAATGCTATAACTTACTGCTTAAGCCCCTGCGTGGGCAACCTCTGACTTTATTACGAACCAGTTCGCAATATGCACTTATATTGTGAAAACAATAAAAATATTTAAAACAAATGTGTTGCATATCTACCAACTGCTACAACCTCCCTACAGGAACACTGAACACTCAAGTCAGGTATAGACCAACTTATGTTATACGCCAATGCCACGTTTACAAACATTTTGTCACAGGAGAGGAGTTGAAGCTTATTTCTGCATTACTAAGCAGGACAGGCAACCATTAAAAATTTTGCAATATTTTAACATATAGAAAATAACTGCCAGAGTGCTCAACTCTTAGGAATCGTAATACAAAATATGGGGCCTTTGAACATGCCATCGACCAGGCATAGACCCTGAATAAGGTAAGGCGTACTCCCATTTATTCTCACCCCTTCTATTCCCAAACTCTTACTTAAAGGTGTTCTGAGCAATTGCTACCTCCTGAGTTTAGCGCCACTGAGCACACAAAACCAGGAATAACATTACCTGTTTGGTTGAAAGGCGGGGGGGGGGTGGAAACAGGTTAATTTATAAAAGTATAAATTCTAATAGAAATCTGCACTTTTTCCACACAGTTTTTTTAGCAAGCTAGAATCCTTTAGGGGTCTATCCTTTTAAAGGACCACTATAGTGCCAGGAAAACAAACATACTCGTTTTCCTGGCACTATAGTGCCCTGAGGGTGCCCCCACCCTCAGGGCCCCCCTCCCGCCGGGCTCTATGGGGTGGAAGGGGTTAAACTTACCTCTTTCTCCAGCGCCGTGCGAGGAGCTCTCCTCCCTCTTCTTCCGTCACCGGCTGAATCACCGGCTGAATTATCAATGCTTTCCTATGGACGCTGGCGTCTTCCGCGGAAGCCCTCTAGCGGCTGTCAATAAGACAGCCACTAGAGGCTGGCTTAACCCATAGGTAAACATAGCAGTTTCTCTGAAACTGCTATGTTTACAGAAAAGAGGGTTAATCCTAGCTGGACCAGGCACCCAGACCACTTCATTAAGCTGAAGTGGTCTGGGTGCCTATAGTGGTCCTTTAATATTTATTTCTGCGTTTTCTGTACCAATTTATAAACTGGGACAAATTGTATTTTACTGGCAAATGAAAGTGAGTTACATATTGCCCGTATTTGTCCATCATAGTGACCATTGTAAGTTCTCATTTTCTCCATTATTGGACTAGTTTAATAAATTTACATTAAAGGGAGAAATGTAATTCATAGATCCTCTCACCGTGGGTGTGTTTATTATATATTTGTTCAAGGTACAAACTAAATTTTTACTCCAATGGCTATTGTTTGCCCCTGCTCTTCCTGAAATAACTTACCTGTATAAAGATACTGTAGAATGGAGCCAAATGCAGCTGGGTTAATCTGCAAGAAATACAAGTGGGTTACTAAAATAAATACAAAACAAAAAAACAAAGGATGCATGGCAGGAACCAAATGCACGGTGTGCTTTTATGGAATCAGTTTGCAGATTATTTGAATAATTTAGGCGGAAAAATGCACTGTATATTGGGAGTTTATCAGGAAGTTAAAATAATTTCCAACTGATATTCCGTGACTTATCTCACCCTAGACAAAACATGTACTAGATATTCCATTCTAAGATTTATTAATATCAGAAACTACAATATGTACAGACATACACACAAAGAAAAATACTTACTGGTGAAAGGGTACACATGCATACTGCCAACTGGTCTACAATCCCACAATGCAATGCTTTCTTGGACTGCAGACACTCATCTAACTTACAAAAAAAAGTCCTGTGCTCAAACTCCCATTACTCCTGGGTGGAGTACTTCTAATTGATTAATTTTATATTACTCATTTACTGTCTTTATTCCAGAATATACTAGATTTACTATCCACGGATTGTTTATATATCTATTCCCGGTGTACGCTTTGGGTGTATTTTTTCCTGCACATTCTTAGGTTTCTTATTACAAGTTCAGGGTGGTAACTGTTACTTTTTGACACCGGTTGAACCAATAGTTTATATACTTATTTCATATTTATATCTATATTTCTACTATCTACTTCTTGATCACCTTAAAATGTTCCCTCACACTTTTGTGAAGCAGTTTGGAAAACCAGATCTGTGATAGACTGGTTCTCTCCCAACTGTTTTTCTATGTTTCTAGTTTATCTACACTATATTGTCAAAACATAGCTTTTGCAGGTTGTTGATTTATTTTTCCATACCGTACCAGCGGGTGCTTCAGTTCAATAACCTTCTTGCCCTTCCACTTGGTCTCAAACATTTCTGCAAAATACGGGCTGCGTGCACTGAGAATGCAACGATGAGTACAAAAGGACTCCCTGTGTACAATGAACATGGTGTCACTGTAAGATCCTTGCTCCAGGAGTCTGCAAGAAAAAAAGAAAAAAAAAAAGAAAACTAAATTAGATGAGTTTCCTATTCAACACGAAGGATGGTCCGCTAGTAATCTAGAACCAAATAACAATAATACCACTAAGGAACTCAATAGGCTCATCACACCTTCCTTAAGAGACCCTGGCACTGAAAAGCAGACAGCCAGGCACCTGGCGGGCCATTCCCCAGACAGCAACCCTGATAGAAAGGTCCAGTGACAGCCAGGCATGCAACATGCTCAACACACTAGTCCACACCCCCCCAAAAAAAAAAAAAAATGCACCCTACGGCTCTACTACAAAGACAGGTATCAAAAAGGTCTATAAACTCCAGGCACCTTAAAAGCTCTAAACACACTGCTCAAAAGAGAGCCAGGCAGCCTTCAGTTCAAACTGCTCCAAAGACAGGCATACTATTTTCCATTTTTAGATGCCATGTAACTAAAGTACAAAACAATTAGGAAAGCCAAAAACACATTGGCTCAAAAATCCTTCAGCTTTCACAATCTTTATAATGGAAATACCTTTGTAAGAAGTCATCATAGTAATCACGCTGCATGCACTTTGCTGTAATTTGCTTGTATTCTTTAAGCACCCTGCGGATAGTGTCATTTAGTGCGCCATACGAACAGCGCTCACCGTCAAATGTGTTCACCTCACACTTCGCACCTGAGGCAGGAGAGGGAAAGTGTAATTACCACAATAAAACCTTGTTCTATAAAAATCTGTATCTATTGTTGCAATAATGCAGACAAAAAAAAGGATTATTCATTAAAGTGTGAATTATGAGAAATTCTAAATTAATATACATCTTTAGGTGAAAGTAGTCAAATTGGAAGTTTCTCAGAGTCCGCTATGATTTCAGCTCAGCTATCCTGGCAAGTTGGAAAGTTTCTTGAAATTGATTTGCCAGTACTCCACAATCCTTACTTGTACCAGAGAGATCCAGGTATCAAATAGATATGTGGGGGCTTTCATCTGTTCTCTGGGTTCATATTTAGTAAGTGTTGTATACAGTCCTTTAAATCACTGAACAACATTGATTTGGCCTCCCAAGTGACAGATTGGCACTGGATCTGCAGTGGAACCAGGCCAATTCCTATCTGCAGGGAGTGCTGGGAGGAAATGAGAGCTGGTCACTACCTCCCAGCATACAGACCCAGCAGCGTGGAATGAGGAGGATGGGTAGAGGAGCAAGTCTCTCACTCCCAACAGTCCCACCCAGTGTTTTTCAGTGTCTGTATTTGTATGTGTGTCAGTATGTGTGTATGTGTACGCCTGGGGCAGAGAAAAGGCAGGGGAGCCTGGCGCAGAGAAAAAGTTTACATTTTAAATTACAGCAACTATATTAATTTCAAACATTTCACTAATACGAAGGGTACAATTTATGGAAATGGGCTGCCAAGAGGTACACAAGTGAAAAAAGGTAAGGAACCACTGTCTTAAAAGGGTCCCTCTTTCGTTATTATGGTGCCAGAAATCCATGGTGCTGTGCAAAGGGCCCCTCTTTCGTTATTATGGTGCCAGAAATCCATGGTGCTGTGCCACTGTTAGAAAGTCAAACCTGCAGCCTGGCCACTCAATTCCATATTTGGATTGAGTTCACTAGAGCAGAAAGTCAGCCAATTAATTCCATTCAAATAAGAACAAAATTAATATATCCAATAATAAAGTGGAACTTCCACTTTAATAATAATGAAGAGTAGCTGCTGATGGCTCTCAACCAATGAATAGGATCCAATGAGTTGGTATGATAATATGGAAGAATAAACTTTCACCTTATCATAGCAACTAAGACTGGGAGGTTAACAAGCACACAATAAAAGTATCAAACAGTTTGACAGATTATTGCTCATCAGGACTATAGCACCCTGTAGTAGACATGGTTCTTACGGGATGACTTTAAAACACCCTAATGAAATAACAAGATGGGTAATGGAAGAGAATTATGGACAGCAGTAGACAATAGTCTAGGAAAGTGCCCGTCATTAGTGGTTTCTCCAGGGATCTGCAAGTGATGAGTGGGCTAATAGCAGTAGCTGTAAATTTGTGATTTGCTGCAGTTTTGGGCAAATAAGTGCTAGAACACAGGGATTGCTCCATAACCTGTGAAAAGGATGTTGGTTATTATGGTGCCGCCCTACGTTATGGAATTCTAACCCCATGTGTATGCTATGTTTGTATATAAACAACAGGAAAAAAACATCTTATAAAATTATGTGGTTTTATTTTATTACATTTTTCTCTTACCACTGGCTAAAAGGTAACGGACAAGTTCTTCATGTCCACAAAGACAGGCATAGTATCTATACGGGGGGAAAAGGCAATATTGAGAGCAGGCAAGAAATTAGTATGCATCAAAATCTCACTGAGCAAAGAGGACTGCAAACACAAGACACATTAGAAAGATTGAACTATATGACAAGAAAACATGTAGGATGTAGAGATTTTAACTCTCCCCATACCCCCTAAACAAAGTCTATCCTATCACCATAGACTAGTATATATCTCCCAGGCACCACTTTCGAAGAAACTATTATCACCCACATGAACTCTCTTCCTACTGTGCTTCCTGGCTAAGGGCACCTAACCAGTGACTCTGTGAGCCCCAGGGACCTGCAGTAAACTTGCCGTGCCCAACCACAAGCTATCCAAGAATCACCTGTAACTGTAGATTGGATTGCAAGGTCACCATGATCTCATCAAAATTCCTCAAGATAGCTCTTGGCCCCAGGACAACCAACCAAGGCACTATTTAGAAGAGTGAACAAGGAGGTGGTGAAGCATCCAAAAACACCCAAGACTTGTGGGAGCACCATGTACCAGTTTCGTGCACAGAATTCAAAAGTGACAGTGACTTTCTACCCAACGCTCTGGACTCAAAGCTGGATCGGATGATGCTCGTGGCCCGGTCAAAATCTAACCTCCAGCCTACTCACCTAGACAAATTCGATCCACGTGCTTTTTGGACTGAGTACCCTTCGAGGGGAGGGCTTTCCGGTGGAAGCACCAGTTTATGGTTAGGGGCATGGAAACCCTATTGTTAGGCACCAGGATTGCGAAATGTATTGTGCAACACAATTGTTTTGCTGTCCCCCTTGGGTATAAAAAGGTGACAGTCACTCAATAAAAAGTGTTCATGTTGTACCCTTACATCAAACCTCGGTTGATAAGGGGGAGCACTAATCACTCTGGGGGCTTTCACTAATGGGGAGGAGGAGAGACAACACGATCCAAGTTGTATGTGCAGCACACACAAGCACGTTAGACGAAGGAAAATAATCTTTAAAATGAAAGGCTGCAACTCCCTTAGGCAACAACTGAAGTGGTTTGGGTCCTTATAGCGACCCTTTAAGACTTGTTTAAATGAACACCACATTAAGTAATACATTGATTTACTCATTTGTAAAGTTTCTGAATAGCATATCACTGGAAGCTGGTGTTAGCAACAATGGCTCATGATCCCCTGTATTCTAACCTCCCTACTACCTAAATGCTAATGGCCAGGTAGACAATTTTTCTTCCAACCATGATGATTTTTGTATTGCATCCACACAAGGGTGGAATATAGCACACCTAATTGTAACATTTCTGACCTGAGCTCTGTATCTCTAGAGGCATCACGGAATCCTTGTAGATACCTGAAACTGAAAAATGCCATACTCACAGGTGCCTGGACTGAGATATTTGTTCTCTCTTCTCTATATTTCACATTCATTTTCTCTCAATAAGCTTTGCATGCTGAAAGGCTTGTACAGTGCAACAGTTTTCATATACTGTCCAATAGCACAGTGAAGAGAATAATGGCAAAAATAATATGGTGTTTTCAGCAAAGAAAACAGAATAAATGCTCTATTCTGAGCCAGAATATTCTGTACAAATTATGCATTGTTCAGAAGCCAAATACAATAACCAAAAAGTGGACAGCACTAAAATAAATCTGCACAAATTCCAATATATGTGTCTAACCACTCCACTTGCAATCACCCACACAGTGAATAAATTCCAAAGCCAGAAAACAGTGTTGCGCCTACAAGAAAAAAATATAATAAACACATAGTGCAGACCATCTGATATAATTTAAGTAAGGGGCATACACTTAAATACACATCTGTTGAATACACTCACATGTTCCAGAGCCTTAACCCTGGCTCCGGGTAACTGAGGCTTCTTTGAGAGGGAAGAGATCCCACAAATAGATATCCAAAGTGGCACGTAAATCTTCTTACCAAGAATGCACTATATAGGAGACACAAGCAGGCACAGATACTCCCAATGACACAGTACAACAAATATTTTATTTGCCAACATATAAAATTATGCTTACTTGCATAAAAGTGGGTATGCACAGCAGAAAACCTGATGAAGCCTGCAATGGATGGGTGAAACGCGTAATGAGGGGCGGAGTCAGGAACCAGAGTTATTGGAATACAGGAAGCACTAGCTGTTTATCTGCGTTTTAACCCTTTTGCATTTATGTGGGTTTTCTGCTGTGCATACCCACTTTTATGCAAGCATGCATAATTGTATCTGTGTGCAAATAAAATGTTTGTTATACTGTGCCATAGGGGGGTCATGTGCCTGCTTGTGTTTCCTATACAAAGAATTAAGAAGATTTAAGTGCCACTTTGGATATCTATGTGTGGAATCTGTTCCCTCTCCAAGAAGCCTCAGTCACCCAGAGACTCTAGGATATGTAAGTGTATTCCCCTTACTTAAATTATATCAGATGGTCTGCACTATGTGTTTTTATATTTTTTCTTGTATGCATTTTTATTCTGGAATTTTGCTCTACATTGTTCAGAAGACAATTAGCCCATTTTAGAGGCCTGAGTAAATTTGGTCACTAGGTCTGCATTACTTTGAGATGAAAAAAATAGAACTTTAGGTGTCATGACCTTTATAGACTTTTTTTGCCTTTGCTAGGTCTATAAACATTTTATGGACAAAGAAAACTAAATTATTTAGTGTCACTTACAAGGGAGTACTGTCCCATTTGTCACGAACATTCAGTTCCACGTCTCTCTGCTCCACAAGGTATCTGCAAATACAGAAATAACAGATTATATAGATTTGCAAACTCTGCATAAATCTCTGCCTCTGCAGAGATGTGACATAAGCCAAGCAAGAGAATGTTTTCCCATACACCAAGGTATGTACAGTATCCCCTTTCTCCAGACAGCAGATATGAGCCTGGCAAGACTCCAAGTTAGGCTAAACCACATGGAAAGCCAGGTTGCGTTGTCAACATAGGCTTATAACCAAGTGACATTCAACCTACACGACTAGGACATGTAGACCCAGAAGGATGCACTTAGCATAACATGAAAGATAAAAAAAGAAAGAAATAGTCCAATATTAGCTACTTCAGCCCATTTTATTTTCATTGCAATTGTTTAGTAAATATACCAGAGGTAGGCAACCTATTAGTAGTATAGTGCCAAAACTAAATCTAGAAGGCCCTTGGTGTGCTGATCCTTTTTTTTTATTTTTTTTATTAAAAAATTGTGTGTGTTATTTATGGGTGCTGCAGTTGTTTTGTATTGTTGTATTTGAGTGTATGTGACTATGTGGGTAGTTGTATTGTATATCTTTGGTATTGTGTATGATACCGTCGATTGTGGGCTGTGTATGGGAGCTGCTTGTGGAAATGTGTGTCTGGATGATATGTCACATTGTGCGTTTGGTGGAGTGTGTGGCATTGCATGTGAGAGGCTGCGTGTGGGGTTGTGTGCGTGTATGTGGATTGTCCGTAATCACCCGCAATCATAGCTCAATTTGCAAAAGCAGATATCTGAAGTACCACTGGAACTCCTGAGAGGCCAGAGCCTATGTAGCTCTGGCAGCCTTGAGAACTGTGCAAATGCACCTCGTGTGCAATGGATGGTACGTGTGCCATAGGTTGCTTACCCCAGGAATGGACTAACCATACTAAATGGTTTGCCCCACCCATCAAGATTATTTCAGACATTGTGGATATATAAAGGCCTTTCATTCCATATCAAATGAGTGGCAACTGTATGGCGCCACAAAGCCTTAATCAAGTCTTGAGGCAATGAGCAAGTTTAACACCTCCTTCAGCTGACATGCATTGTATTTGTAGATACCTCTATATTGTTGCATTTTTACTTGCGCCTCTGTAGTAATAGGTCTGCCCTTAATTCATCTTTGTGCTAGTATATTCATCTTTTTCACATGCTGTTTTCAGAGTTGCTTTGGGTTCAAAATATTGGCACTATTAACGCATTAAAAGAGGCACAAACTGTTTTGATAAAATGTTGTGTACACTCTGCTGACATTTTATATTAACATCAAATGTACTTTTACCAATTCATGGCAATATAAATGTATAGATCATATATTAGATAATGACAAAAAATGGGAAAAACAATCCTATTTTCTTTTGCAGTAAGCTACTGTATAACATACCATGTGCCAAACTTGTAAACCGAGGCACTGTTAATACATATCTTTCCAAGCATTTTTCAAGTCACTACATCCTAAAAATCTTGTTCATGACAGGGTTTAAAAACAGAGCTGCCCCAGTTCACCCAATGATAATGTGTTTACAAACTGGATAAAGCACTTTCTATTTTTATCATGAACTGGAGATCAGCCAGCTGTATTTAAAAAGAAAACCTGAACTGTGTACATAATATTCCCTTGAGAGACACATGCTTAATAAACACACATGGAATGAGTTATGACTGGAGGGATATATTTAGAGTAATAAATCATATATAGCAAATCATATGGTCTACAACTCCCATCATCCTAAGCAGACTTTTATTATGGAGAGCATGAAAAAAAATTAGTCCACTGCAACGGGTCGGCCTATCTTATTATTCAATTTGAGGATAGTGTACCCTCACTTTAACAAAGTATTGGTGAGTACAGGTCAAAGATTGATAACAAATTGAGTTTTACCTGGTCAGAAACCTTTAAAATCCGCCTCTCCCTCTCCAATTTGATGGGTAACAAGTTATTGCGTGTCACAGTGAGCTTGTCTTAAAGGACACATGTCAAATTTCCACATATCATTTCTTAAATTTGTATTACATTTTATAACATTTAATGAAAAGTAATGATTTTTATTTAACCCCTTAAGGACACATGACATGTGTGACATGTCATGATTCCCTTTTATTCCAGAAGTGTGGTCCTTAAGGGGTTAAAATTATATATATTGATTTTGGTTCTTGTTCAATTCCCCATTACTCTGGTTGAGCAAACATGCTGGGTCAGACTGTATGGTACCTGCCCAACTGCTGCTCAATCTAACTTGCCTTTTGCTGTGATTGCTTTGTGTGAAACTGCAGCAGTTGGTCAGATAACAGTAGTGCCCAACCCAACATGGCTACTAAGCCAGATTTAAAAAAATAAAAAAGTTACACTTAAAAAAATAAATAAATATATATATATATATATATATATATATATATATATATATATATATATATACACACACACACACACACACACACACACAATTTAAAAAAACATCACATTTCAAAAAAAACTTTTCAAAACATCAGAAGTGAAATTTGATGACAGTTGTCCTTTAAGTAGGACTCTGTGCGTGACCTTTTTAGCCCCGCATCTGTACTGTTCTACTATATCTCAACATGGCTCCAATAACAGGGGTAAGAACCACACTGCAGAGAGTCATGTTGAGAGAATGTTCAGATTTGGAGAGAAGCCTGATTGATTTATGTACGTTACAATACATAATATCTATACCTCCCCTAATCATTATAGAAGTGGTGTGGGTAAAATGGCTTACTTTGGTAGTGCTGTGCTCCCCCTTGTCTCCCTCATAATAGAATTGGAGCAAGCAGTAGAGGCACATTTGATAAGTAAACTCCCCCTCCATTTTAGGTTTATAAATTGGTTCTCGGCAAGTAATTGACTTTAAGGGGCATTTTCCTCCAGCATCTAACCTAGAAACCATCAGCAGGTCTGAGCACTCTCCAAGTAGTTGTGGTAGTTGTTGTAGCCCAGGGTTTCTGTGAGTGTAATACTCATGGTTTCCCATTCTGAGTTAGAGGATGACCTTGACAATGGGTGGGTCCCAGAGCACCAAATTACGGTTTCTCTCAGAAGGTATGAGATTGTTATGAATAGGTCTCGGTGAGTGACTTACAAGATGATGCTTTCCTGATGGAGTGAATGTTACGTTACCTTCCCCAGTGAGTGATCCTCACAATAACCAATCTCCAGACTCATTTAGTGTGTGTGTCTCTTTGAGTGGCAGTATAAGTACACTGAGTGTGTGTGTGTACTTGTCAAATATCTATGTATTTCACCATTCATTTCCCAGGAGATACGAGTGAATGTACAGTTAAATGGCTCGTACAAGTTCCCTTGTCCAATACTTACTACCGGACTATCAGGCTTATTTACTAAAGTGAGAATTGTTGGGAATTCAAAGTGATTTTAAATTTTAAGGCCAAATAGCCAAACTGGAAACATTTTTCAAGTCAGCTATGCTTCCAATGTGGCTACTTTGACCTTAAATGTTAGATTCACTTTGAATTCACTTACTTCAGTGAATAACTGTGGATTTTGCTTGTTTGCTCCTCAGTGTGAGAGCTCAATGAGAGACAGTTACAGCATCCCTACTCCTGCTCAATATCCCTCTCTCAGTCAAGGCCCTTTACAATATATCTCCCTTTCCCAGATAGTGTGAGTGCTTGCTCTCTCTGTTACAGGACACTCTCAGCACACTGAGATTGTCTCCCATCTCTGTGAGACATACAGATCCAGAGAATAAGGGTTACTTAGTGTTTGGTATATGAATGCATACTAGTACAGGAAGGGCATGCTTAGTGAGTGCTCGGTATATGAAAGTGCATGCTCAGTATAGGTGAATGCATACTGAGTGACCAGTAAGGGTTAGTGTATGGTATATGTGAGTAAAGTTAGGACATGCTCAGCAAGCACTCACACTATCTGGGAAAGGGAGAGTGCATGCTCAGTGAGTGCCATGTAAAGGAGAGTGCCTGCTCACTATAGGTGAATGCATGCTTAGTATAGGTGAGTGCTCAGTGAGTGTCCTGTAAAGGTGAGTGCATATTTAGTATAGGTGGGTGAGTGCCTGCTCAGTATATGTCAGTGAGTGTCCAGTATAGGTGAGTGCCTGCTCATTGAGTGCCCACTCACCGTACTCTGAAGAGGTCTCCCTTCCTGCAGCTGCTGAACAGGTCGTTGGTGTCCATCGGCCCGGGCCCGGCGCTGGGCGCACAGAGCGGCTCATTGACCCGGCGGGAGCGGGCACAGCAGGCGGAAGCTCGGTACGGAGAGCGGGCGGGGGCCTGGCAGGGAGTGGGGCCCCGGACGGTGAGAGCTGGCCCTGGGTCACAGTGATCGGAGCTTCCGGGAGAAACAGCTGAGAGACGGACTGTCACACCGGGGGCGGACTGGGGAGAGTGACGTCACTGCGGTCACGTGGTGCAGGAAGCGGTGAGCTGGGGGGGGGGTAATGTAACTTGTGCAATGTACCTTGCCTTACCCCCCACCCCACCCCCCCACAGGGTTTGACAGTCAGAGCCACTTCAAATGAACACTGCAAGCACCATAACCACCTCAGCGGCAGCAGTGGTTATGGTGCTGTGCCATAGTATGATTTATCAGCTCACCCTGGGTCCTAATAGTGACATTCACAAAGCACAACATAAGGTGCTTAACGGGCTCTCAATGTCCCCTGCAGCAAGATTCATATAGAAAGACTTTTACTATGTAGGAAATGCCATCAACATATAACACAACGGGAAACCTACTGGAGTAATACTGTACAAACCTTTCAACCAGGGGGACTGAATGTGGATATAATAATAATCATCATCATAATAATAATAATAACAAAGTATTTAACCAGGAAAGGTACATTCAGATTACTCTGGTTTCCACGTACGTCCTGGGGATGTTACCTTAGCCCAGCATCCAGGGGATGTTACTATTACCCAATTTAATGGTACGATTTGTGGTGTTTCTTTAGTTTTTTCTCTACTTACCATAATTTATTTTTCACTATCACTACTTGTTTTTACCTTGCTAAAATGTTTATAATTCCATAGGATAATCTGGTGTAAGAGTAATAACTACCTGGTTTATGCAGCTCTACTGGACTATTTTATATTTTTTATATGTTGGAAGGCCATTTGGCCTGAATTTGTGGGAGGAGTTATGATCCAAATCCTATATACACCCTACCCCCCCCTACTTACCTTTGTTGTGCAAGCTGTTTGTCTCCATAGTTACCTGCACTTCCGGTCGTTGTTCCCGCCAGTCCTGCCTCGAACAAACACTCTGTCTTCAGCATAGGCGTGCGCAAGGGGTGTGCCAGGTGTGCCTGGACACACCCTAATCACCGCGGCACACCTATGTATTGAGACCGGCAGGGGAGATCTCAGGATCTCCCCTATCAGCTCATGCAGAGCTGCTCTCAGCCTCCCTCCCCACCGACCCACAGGCAGGGAGGGAGGCAGGAGAGGACCCGGAGAGCTCTTGCCAGCGGCTCCGCCGGGTTCCTCTTGCGAGATCTGAAACGCTCAGATCTCGCGAGAGTGAACTCGAGCCCCGCAGGCTAGAGTTCACTCTCACCACTAGGACCACCAGGGAAGGCAGAAAGGATCTCCCTCCCTGGCACAAGGTAACAAGGGAGGGGGGATATTACATAATCTGCCCCCACCACCAGGGAAGGCAGCAGCACGGTCCCCCTCCGTACATAAGGTAAGAAGGGAGGGGGGATATTTATTAACTAATCTGCCCCCACCTTCACCCCCACAAATCACCCAAACATACAGCACACACAAATACAGCACACACATACAGCACACAAACAACACACACACATACAGCACACACACACATACAGCACACACACACATACAGCACACACACACAGCACACCAACACACATACAGCACACACACAGCACCCACACACACACACATACAGCACACAAACAGCACACACACATACAGCACACACACCCACACACACACATACAGCACACAAACAGCACACACACATACAGCACACACACAGCACCCACACACATACAGCACACACACAGCACACACACACACACAGCACCCACACACATACAGCAAACAAACATCACCCACACACACACAGCATCCTCACACATACAGCACCCCCACACATACAACACCCTCACAAACACACAGCACACATACAGCACCCTCACAAACACACACGCACACAAACAACACCCTCACACACACACAGCACACAAACAGCACCCTCACACACACACACAGCACACTAACAGGACCCTCACAAACACAAACCGCACACTAACAGGACCCTAACAAACACACACACAGCACACTACCAGTACCCTCACACACAAACAGCACCCTCACACACAGTACATTAACAGCACCCTCACAAGCGCACATATACAAACACCCACATAGCACACTACCAGCACCCTCACAAGCACACACACACAAACACCCTCACCCACATAGCACACTACCAGCACCCTCACAAGCGCACACACACACAAACACCCTCACCTGCATAGCACACTACCAGCACCCTCACACAGCATACACACACACAGCAGTGTATGTATGTATGTATGTGTATGTATATATATATATATATATATATATATATACGCGGCGTGTGCTTGTGCTTTAGGGTGCACACCATAATGCAATAGGCTGTGCACGCCTATGGTCTTCAGCAGCTCCTGCCGCCAACCTCTGGGCTCGTCCACCGGCTGCCCCGCTGTATTCCTTACTCATTACCCGGCTTTCTTGCTTCCGGTAACGGGACCGGCACACACACGTAAGCATCAAAGTGGGAAATAGCGTTCGGCTATTTCCCACGTTCAGGCCTAAAAACGCAGGGATAGGGGTATAATTCTGCTGTTGGTGTACTTCTGCATTCGTGCGGCTATTAGCCGACCGCAGAGTACACACTCATTCGTTTTTCTTTCGTTAGTATTAAATACCGACCGCTTATACTCACCTATGTTTGTCTGTTTCTTACATACGTTCATTAGCCGAAACATGTACAAATGGCTGTTTTACTATCTTTTAGTTTTTCCTAATCTATCACATGCGGTCCTGTTATATCCCTCTTGCACTTTCATTAACCGTACTCATGAGGTTTTATGCAGTTATTTGTATAATTTTAAGTTTGTTCCTCAAATTTGTTCCTTTTAAAAAACATATGTACACAGTTCTCCCTAGTTTTCATTAAATCAGAGTGTCACTTTTCATCACCCATAGTCACATTTAATTATGCATAAATTCTGTTAAAGACACAGTTGGCCCCCTTATGCTTTTTAATGTCAATAGGTCAAGCCCATCAAACCGCTTAAATTTATCCAGCTCCAGGCTCAATTTGTTCATTAGCTCTTATATCTAAAATCTCTATTTATATTAAAAACACTATACTCTGGTTCCTTATTTTTAAAAAGCCTGAAGGGAGTGATTCTACTCACCAGAGCAAATACAATAAGCTGTAGTTGTTCTGGTGACTATAGTGTCCCTTTAATATGTAGAGGACCATATTAACCTGAAGTAAAAAAAGAAAAGTCAAACTTCCTGTGACAAACACTCTTTACCACTTACATTTGCCATGGACTCCTGGAGGAGTGTAGAAGCCGGCCTCCTGCCCACCGACTGTGGTCCAGGTCTGGGACACCGTTTGGGAGTTACCCTGCCCAGCTGCTATTAGTAGCTTTACCTGGGTGCCCTGGTTTGGCACTTTTCCCTTAATGCGAATAGAACCGAATGCTGGCTCTCTGGCAGCTCTTCGCATGAACCAAGCCTACGAATAGTTCCAGCAGTACTTAGCCGCGACCGCTATGAAACTAAATTCAGCATGAGGACTTTGTGGGTTCCCAGTCACCTCAGTGGGACTTAGCCACGAATGTTATGGAACTGTTTTCGTCATGATGTGACCGTACAGTTCCTGGACAACTTGGTTCGTGGTTTTGAACCTCTTTGAAATCTGCCAGGAGAGCACTTTTTGGAGGGAAAGTGTCTGAGACTAAGGGGAACAATCGCTACCTAAGAACCAGGCGGAGAACCCCATATAGCAGCTGCAGGAGCTCCCAAAAGTTGACTGGCAAAAGCATGAAACGCCACAGAACTATTTTGGGCATAGGACCACATGTGCGGCCAGTCAAAACTTTAACATCGTGGCGTTTACCCTACACTGAATGGATCTGAGCGCTATTTGGAGAACTTGGGTGCTCAGATCAGGGCTATTTAAAGATATATTTGTGGGGTTATTTTATGTTTTATGATGTTTTGGGGTATTTTAGATAATTCGCTTATCAGTCTTTAACACAATTATCTCCCAAGCCTAGAGATTCCTGGGAGGGGTTTGTGGTGAAGACAATGGAGACCCCCTTTTGGGGTCTGTGTATAAAAAGGCTGTGTGTGGATGCATTAAACCAGTTGACTCCCAGAACTATGATTCGTCTAGTTACTGGGGGAATGGATATCTGCTTATTTCAATGGTTCCAGAGTGGCCGAGTTAAAGGACCACTCTAGGCACCCAGACCACTTCAGCTTAATGAAGTGGTCTGGGTGCCAGGTCCAGCTAGGGTTAACCCATTTTTTCATAAACATAGCAGTTTCAGAGAAACTGCAATGTTTATTAATGGGTTAAGCCTTCCCCCTATTCCCTCTAGTGGCTGTCTCATTGACAGCCACTAGAGGCGCTTGCGTGCTTCTCACTGTGATTTTCACAGTGAGAGCACGCCAGCGTCCATAGGAAAGCATTGTAAATGGTTTCCTATGAGACCGGCTGAATGTGCGCGCAGCTCTTGCCGCGCGTGCGCATTCAGCCGGCGGGGCGTAACGGAGGAGGAGAGGAGGCAGAGAGCTCTCCGCCCAGCGCTGGAAAAAGGTAAGTTTTCAACCCTTTCCCCCTTCCAGAGCCGGGCGGGAGGGGGTCCCTGAGGGTGGGGGCACCCTCAGGGCACTATAGTGCCAGGAAAACGAGTATGTTTTCCTGGCACTATAGTGGTCCTTTAAGGAATTAGCAAAGGTAACCAGCCAGGTTACCCGTGGTTCACTACACTTCCATTGTCATAGGCTAGGGAATGAGGAATCTAGTCTGCTGTTCCATTTGTATCAGTATGTATTCATTATTTGCTATAATAATATTAAATAATAATAGGAAAGGTACCATAAGCATTTAGGCATCTACAGGAAAATGCAAGAGAAGCACCTGGGCACTCTGGCATTTCTTCAATGGCACTGCAGGGGTGGCAAATGACACCTTTTATTACAAATACCTCGCAGGAAAAATGGTGCCAATCCTGTCCGGAGAAGCTGCTAGGTATGACTTTATAAAGATGAAATTGGGTAATGCATGTTCTTCTGTCCCTAATTCTCCTGTTCCGTTTTTTATAAAACAATATTTTGAGTGGCATCACATCTCATGTGAGTTACGGGAAGGATGCAAATATACACTTCTTGCCTTTGTGAGCACCCTAGACTTAGGTTACTAATGTAAATGTTATGTCACATTATGCCTGAGGTTGTCCAGATGATAAAAGTACATATGTTACATATAATTTAAAGGAACACAAATGTATATTCTTAATGCAATAGTGTCTAGTAGCCATTGAGGCGACTACCCCCCCTTCAAGGGCTTAAAAAGATAGTTCACTTACCTTTTCTCCAAAGCCACGGTGCTCTCTTCCTCGGCTGGTCCCGCCTCCATGGCTGAGATCATCGATATGATCCCATAGGAAAGCATTGAATGGCTAGTGAGCTTACGAAGCAAAACAATGTGCTGCACCAATCAGATTGTCTCTATGAGTCCATCTGATAGAAATAGCAAATGTTTTACTCAACTACTTCTCTGAAAGCCCCTTCACTGGCTGTTAGAGTGACAGGCGCTAGAGGCATTTAAACCATGCCAACATTGCTGTTCCTGTAGAACGGCAATGTTCCCAGCTGCAGGCTTAAAACTACAGGGACATGACACCCTGACCACTTCATTAGGATTGAGTGATCTGGGTTCATAAAGTATTCCTTTACGTATAATATAACTATTTGAATGCAATTATGGTACCAGTAAAGGAATAAGTAAAAAAAAATTATATTCTTTTTATACACCACTAAACATTTGCAAGTCACACCTTTGGGAATAGAGTGTCTTGTGGACCGCGAGAGTTGATTTATAAGAGGATCGAACATGCATGAAAGAATAGTAGTGACGGCTCCTGTGGGATACAGCACTAGAAGTTTTCGATAGAAGACGGAGGTGTCTGCAGAGTAACCCATCATTGATATTATTAAAGAAACGAAACAGCCACAAAACTCCAGCATCATATATCTTTTAATTATTCAGCACCCACACAATTTAAACTGGTGTCTGGTGAGCCAGTGAGCATGGGCAATTTGAGTGTGGTACTGGATACTGGAATACATTGCATTAGTGCTTCATACAGACTTTGTCATAATAACCTATAGAGTGAGTAGCTGTGCTTACAAACAAACAGAAAAATACCACTAGCAATACAAAAACATACAATCTTAGATACGCACTCAGATTCAAATGCACAAATATATATCTGTAATAGTATACCAGTTAGATTGCAAGCTCATTATTCTCAGTTCCATAATAAGATCTCTGTAGTTGCATTTCGCTTTAATGTTTACAACTTTAGTGTGTTCCGTCACCTAATAAAAAAAAATACATTAATCAATAGAGCATAACATTTGAATCACTCTCTCAGTGTGTATTATGTTACATGTTATGTTAACTATTTGATTTTTTTAATTGGCTACTTTTTAATACATTCTCAATTGCACTTTCCTGTAAAATTTGGCTCTTGTGCTGAGAACATTATTTCCCAGCATGCAACTGACTTATTTTGCATATTTATATAATCTTTGCAATTTATTGTAAAGCTCAGAAATCAGAAGAGGGGATGATTTGGCGCTACAAGCATACTGTCATATTTATGAAAGAAGTTCAGCTCGACAGAATTCAATTTTTATGCTCTATTTATTAATGGAAACATCTGGTGATGGATGCACTGCAGCAATCATTATGTAAAAAGTATATTGCAGTCTAAGAACACAGACTAGTGCGATTTTGCCACATAGTGCATGATTACAGTTAGTCACTGATTTAGTGTTTAAGGTGCTCAATTTGTGTTCTTCTCCGCAGGCTTACGTACTCGTGTTTCAGGCAACAGGGATCTACGTTCTATATCACTGCTTTAAACGTGGTCACGTTTATGCTCTTCACTTAGAAAACTGCACAATCACAAAACTTCCATTGTTAATACAATTCACAGAATAATTATCTTCAAACAGATGTGTAAGCCAAGATCAACGGAAACAGATAGTTCCTATATTTCGTGCTGTAGACTTAGTTCTGACTTGGGAGATAGACGAACGATACACAATTGTAAGAATGAACACAATGCTTTTGTCCAGGAAAAATCCAACAGTTTGTGTATTTAGCTAGGAAACCAAGCAACCATGCTATGTATTATGTGTTGTCTGGTCTACAGACCCATCACTCTGGAGCCCTAATGGGGTATTTAGAGTGATGAAATTATTTTTCCCAAGCGTACCATAGCTAGGTTAGTAAATTTGCACCTCTGTTTTCTGAGAAAACACCAGAAACTTATTTGGAAAATTAAGGTGCCATAATAAACATTGCCAATGTAAATACAAACTGCCAACTTATCTGGATCTGGGAAGTTTGAATTCCAGACACTACCTGGCACAATTTATACAGTTACACTATTCCCCAATTTATTATGGGTGGATCACTGAAGGAACTAGGAGGTGAAGTTGAGGGAATAATTTCACAGGGCCTGTTTGCTTCCCATTGATCTTTTAACTATGGTAACTTGACCTTAAATGTTTTATGGGCAATACTGGCAGGTCAGGCAAGGAGAAAAAAAATCTTTTCTTTTTTGGCCCAGGAAGGAAAATATAATTTTATATTCTTTCCCCTCATGTAGGAGAATGCAGCAGACAGACCTTTTGCCTTTTGTTGGCCAAAGTCAGTGAAGAGAGCAGAATATCTTGCTCAGGTCAAGGAAAGCATTTACATTTTCTTTTTTCATCCAGGTTAGGGAAGGGAGCAGAATTTTGGAACCTTGTACGCCAGGTCAGAGAAGGTAGCAGAAGTTTTCAGTCTTTTTTGTTTTCTCATTTCAGGGAATGTTGCTGTGTTTTGTTTTTTTTTTCTAATTTTTTTATTTTATCTAGGCTTATAAAGGGAATAAAATGTTGTTTTCAAATGCTAGCTTCTACAGTTTTAGTTATTATTTGACCAATTCTAAAAAGGTTGGAACCATTATTTCTTAAGTTTTTGAATTAAAAGACTATGGCGTCAAGGTACCTAATGTGATCTAAAACCTCCTTTATCCCCATCACCAGCAGGGCGGCAAACTCTTTATTTCTACAGGTGTGTGTCTTCCTCCACTGCCTCTGTTTCTTCCTTGGAGTTTGTATTGATTAAAGTTTCCCAGCCATCTGCACGGTGAGATGTGCCACCGTTAAGACTTGTCTTTTTCTCTTGCATCTCTGACTGGGCATCAGTTGCTACATCCAGCGTTGGGTTATCATGGCAGCCATTCTCAACAAAGTGCAGCTCCTACACAAGACAATGCAAAATTGGAAGAAATAAAATATTCATAATAGCATTCATAGTTTTCTACAAAGGCATTCATGTAATGTTACAGGCAGAATTTATGATTCAGGCAATCTATACCATGCGTAACAATTTTGTGTTATGACCTCCTGTTTTAGCCATACTGTACTGTTAAACAGTCTTTTATACCCGAGTTTCCCAGATAATTTTTCCCTTGGAACCCTTTGACATGGTATAGCAACACGGTGGAACCCTCTCCCCCCGAAAAAAAAATATTGTGCTGTAGAGTAATGTAGTGCAAACCTTTCAATGAGCAGAGTGTAATGTTCTCTTTTGCTGGTAAATTCTTTTTATATCTGGTTTAATTGTTGACAATTGTATTCGGATGTCTGCAGTTGCATAAAGTAAATTTCAATACTTTGTTTTTGTTGCAGAGTAAAGCGTGAATCTACGTGCTGGCGAATGGCAACAGAACTTTGATTGCCCGCTTGAACAATTCTGGGTATTCTTCACATAAATCACCCCAAAAAAACAATAAGAGAAACTTCTTGAAATTTTTGGGTTAGTTCACTGTCAGAAGTAATATCGATCAGATTCTCAAAACCTACATCAGAAAAATTTTCTGGCTTGTCTTTTATGAATGGATTTCAGACCCAGTCATTATTTTTTTCATTCAAGAAGTTCAATTTCTGATTCTTCAAGAAAATCCTTAAGTGTTGGAAAAGAGTTCAAATAATTTTGCTCAACAGATGAGGTCCAAAACTGCAGCTTACGAGACAGTGGAAATATTTTATCTCTTGCATTAACAATATTAGTGTTTTTTCCTTCGAGTGATAAACATATGTCATTTAATTTTGTGTATATGTCTGCAAGATATGCTACTTTAGATATCCACAAAATGTTTGTTGATCAATCAGATAATCAAAATTTATGATCCTGGAAAAATGCAAACAACTCTTGACGCAATTCAAACATTCTAACAAGGACTTTATCTTGTGACAGCCAACGGACTTCTGAATGCAAAAGCAGAGCAGAGTGGTGACTACCCATATCTTCATATATAATTTTAAATAGTCGTGACTGTAATGGTCGACTTTTTATAAAATTAATAATCTGGACTGCTTCGTCTGGCACAGTTTTAAGTGAGATCGAAATATTTTTATCTACCAGTGCATGTCTATGAAGAACACAATGAGAACGGGTGCTGTTTTTTGCTACATTTCTTATTCGTGTCACAGCGACTGCCACTTTTTCAACTATTTCTTTGGCACCATCACTGCACACATCTACACATTTGTCCCAATTTATACTGTGTGTGTTCATGAACTTCTGGATACAGTTAAAAATGTTCCACCAGTGGTATGAGTTTTCAAAGCTTCACACAGAAGCAAGTCTTCTTCAATCTGTTTGTCAAAATTATATCTAACAAAAACCAACAAAATTAAAAGTCCTGCAACATCTGTCGACTCGTCTAATTGCAGTGAGTACCCATCACATTGATGCAGTTGAGAAATTAGTTCGGTATGGATGTCATCAGCAAGATCATGAATATGGCGCAAAACTGTGTTGTTGGAAAGTGGCAGAGCTTCAATTTCCCAATTGTGTGTGCTTCTCCAGCAAGTGCTATGCGGTAACTTACTCTGTAAGAAGCCTCTGTGGCTTTTTCATTATCATTTTTAAATTATTTGCTCATAAACTGTTTACTTTTCTGATACTCTTGTCTTTATCTTTGTACTTTGTGTGGTTTTGCTCAAAGTAAGTCAGCATTGTGCTTCAGGACAATCTTCATTTCTGGCCATTGTGGATCCAAATGACAAGTAGCTATCTTCATATTTTATTTTCTTTCATTGAGAATAAGATTGGGTAGCATTGTGTGCTTTTCTTTTTATTTTCTTTGACTTGTCACTTGTCTCTGCTATTTGAGGAACAGTAGATTCAATTATTTCGGACATGTTTTCTGGATTTTTAGTTGTATCTTCTTTCTCAGTTTCTATAAGTATTTTTGAGTCAGACTTAGAGCAAAAAGATTTGAACACTTTGAAACAGATCTCACTACCTGACTGAAAAGGATGCAGATTTTTACAAAGCTCTTAGAAATAATTTAACATAAATGCCTCAGTCTTTGAGTAAAACAAACACTTTAATACAGATCTCACTAACTGACTGCACTGTTTTGCTAACAGCTCAGATTTTTGTACGGTTGCACGATCTCTGCTGTTTCGGACCTTCTGGGAAGAGCAGGTAGCGGTGGCCATCTTTGTACTGGCGAATTTCCGCGGAACCCCAATTTTGTTCTCGCTGAACCCTAAGATTCCACGGAACACCAACTGGGAAACGCTGTTTTACACTATGCCTGGGAATTGTAAAAAATGCTTGAGCTCCATTAGCCAAAGTATAAAATAAACAACTATTTTTCAAATCATAATGAAGCACATTACACAATGCTTTGCTTAAAGAAACTTTCTCTGCGACATAATTTCTTTGAAAAGAAGTTGTTTTGGTGCCAGGGTATCCCTGGTGCTGGCTTACCTTTAGGAATTAAACTGTTAATGAATGGTTTTACAGTCTCCTTGCCAGCACTGTTTTGCTCTTACTCCTGCTCATGGCACCATAAAAATTAAATTTTAATAGTGTAGCGGAGCCCTTTCCCGCTGGACCCACCAAAGTACTATCAGGAACAAGAGAAACACCAAAGAAATATCCACCTCCTCCCCAGCAACTGGATGACACACAGTTCTGGGAGTACAACTGAAGTTTATTGAGTCACAAACGGCCTTTATGCCCAGTCCCATACAAGGGGTTTTCAACACAACAATACAGGGGTTTCAATCCGAGGATCCTCTGTGCCTAAGAGATAATTGCGTGAGAAAAATTCTCTAATTTTATTCTCTCAGGTACAGAAAATCCCCCAAAGTACCCCCACCGTACATAGGAACCACACAAAAAGTACATTCCCCAATAGCTCCAATCTGAGTGTATAATATATCCAAGAATTACTCAGATCGGTTTGGTAAAATAGAAATGCCATTGATGTAAAGTTTTGATTGGCTAGGCACGAGGCACTAGCCCAAAACAGTTCCAGGGAAATAGGTGCATTGGCCGGTCTCCGTTCGTGGGGTTCCAGTGCGAACACCATGCAAGGGAATTTCTTCATATCAGGATACTACTAATCCCCCTGTTCGGTAGTTCATATCTCTTCGTCTAGGTGGTCTGGAAATAGAATGGGCAGCAGTCTAAATTTTACCGGAGTTCATGCAAGTGCCTAGCCGAAAAGAGTTCCAGGCACTCAACGACCAAGTACCGCTGCCCATGTTCGGGAGACAAGATGTCCGCCACTCTTTTGTCCGCCATGTATTCGGTTATACGAAATGGCGGCCACCCAGGGAGAGCATTCATTAATTACTTCCCTTGCGGTTTCGCACTTAAGTGGTTGGTGTCAACATTCTAATGGAGTACAGGGGTGGTCCTTGTTCGGGAGATGAAAGAATTCTGTTCGTATGAACAGAAATAGGATGAAGCAGGCAAATCCAAGGGGAAAGTATATATATATATATATATATATGTGTGTGTGTGTGTGTATATATATATATATATATATATATATATATATATAAAAACAGTATTTGTAGGTCTCCATTCTGCTACACTGCTCCCCCTTAACCACAAGGGATGTCCAGGGGAGCTCACGGATCACTTCCCAAGTTCTGTCTGTCTGGACAAGCCGTCAGCATTCCCTTTTTGCTTCCCAGGGCGGTAGTGGATCGTGAAGTCAAAAGGCTGCAGCGCCAAACTCCAGCGCAGCAGCCTGGCATTGTCCCCAGCCACACAGTTCAGCCAGACCAATGGGTTGTGATCCATGAGCAAGGAGAATGGTTGCCCATATAGATAGGGTTGCAACTTTTTCAGGGCCCACACCACGGCCAGGCATTCCTGCTCAATGGCGGCGTAGCTTACTTCTTGAGGTAACAGCTTGTGACTTATGTAAGCCACAGGATGTTCTCCGCCATCGGGTCCCACTTGGCTCAGTACTGCTCCCAATCCAAACATAGAAGCATCTGTATGAACGATCAAGCGTTTAGTTGGATTGGGAGCTGCTAAAGCAGGGGCATTTACTAGAGTTTGTTTTAACTGCTGGAATGCCTGCTCACACTCCGGGGCCAAGACTACTTGGCGCGGAAGGTTCTTGCGAGTAAGATCAGCAAGGGGCTTGGCGAGAGCCAGGGCAGCCATCAGGTGGTGACAACCATGACGGGCCCCACGTGGAGCGGTGTAACTGCCGCAGGTGCATCTGCACCGGGGCCCATCAGGTGGCCCAAGCATTAAGGGCCACCCGATGAGCCCTATATCTTCAGGGGCCCGGTCAGCGTTACTCCGCACGGGGGGACAGACAGCCGAGGAGAGGAGAGGCACCTGCTCCCATCATCCACAGCCACCCACCTGCAACTTAAAGGTAAGGAAGAGAAGGGTGGATGATAAATGAGGTGTGTGTGTATATATGTCAGTATGTATGTATCTATATGTATGTATGTGTGTGTGTGTGTGTCAGTATGTATGTATGTCTGTGTGTATATGCCAGTAGGTATGTATGTATCGGTGTGTATATATATATATATATATATATCTGTATGTATGTATGTATGTATGTATATCAGTATGTACTTATGTGTATGTATGTCTGTATGTCAGTTTGTATGTATGTCTGTATGTATGTGTGTCAGTATGTGAGTATGTATGTACATCAGTGTGTGTGTCTGTATGTCAGTATGTGTGTGCATGTATCTGTATCTCCTTATGCATGTGTATGTGTCTGTATATGTGTATGTGTCTGTTTCAGTATGTGTGTGTCAGTATGCCTGTATGTGTGTATGTCTGTTTCAGTATTTGTGTCTGTTAGGATGTGTGTAAATCTGTCTGTGTATTCCTGTGGGCGGGATTTGGAGGTGGGGCTTGGAGGCGGGCACCTGGGGGCCCAGACCTTGAGCTGTGTTAGGGGCCCCACAATTTCTGATGGCGGCCCTGGCGAGGGCACTATAATAGGGCAAAAACTTTCTAGAATACCCTGCCATCCCAAGAAAGTCTAACACCTGGGTCTTCATCCTGGGTGTAGGCCACTGGGCCACTGCCTCAATCTGAGCGGGCTCAGGCTTCTGCTGCCCGCATACTACTCTGTGACCGAGGTGCTGTACCTCGGCAATGCCTATGTTGCATTTGCTAGGCTTAAGCGTTAAGCCTGCCTCCCTAATCCTATCAAGAACCGCTCCTATATGGGCCAAATGCTCCTGCCAGATATCGCGGAAGACAGCAATATCATCCAGATAGGCACAGACAAAGTCTTGGAACCCATCTAGGAGCTGGTCCACCATCCTCTGGAAAGTAGCCGGGGCGTTTTTCATCCCAAATGGCATGACCTTAAATTGGTACAGACTGAATGGGATGACAAAGGCTGACTTAGGGATAGCTTTGATGGCTAGGGGGATCTGCCAGTACCCCTTACAAACATCAATTGTGGTAAAGTACTGGCCCCTTGCCATCCTGTCTAGTAACTCATCTATCATAGGAATAGGATATGCTTCAGACACAGTCTTATCATTTAACCTCCGGTAGTCCACACAGAAACGAGTCATAACGTCCCGTTTCGGTACTAGGACTACTAGGGAGGCCCAGGGGCTGTCAGAGGTCTCCATAACCCCCAGTCTGAGCATCTCCTGGATCTCCTTCCACATAATCTCCCATACCAATTCAGGGATTCGTTATGGGGGTTGGCGTAGTGGGAGTTGACCTGGTGTCTCTACCTGGTGAGTAGCTAAAGGAGTGTACCCAGGTACGTTGGAGAAGGTGGCTGCAGTACCTGGGAATGCTCCTGAGGGCTCAGCCGTACTTCTAACTTGACCTCCTCTAACTCGCCTGTCTGACTCCCGTCCCCTAGGAGGTCTGGTAGGGGAAGATTGTCAAAATCTTCAGAGGCAGGGGCGCAGATCGGCCCCACTCTTTCATGGTAGGATTTCAGCATGTTCACATGGCGCATACGTTGCCCCCCCGCTCCAGAGAATGGACCGATCACATAGGTGGTGTCGCATTTCTGCTCCACCACCTGGTATGGGTCCTGCCAGGCAGCCTGTAGTTTGTCATTACAGACAGGTTTCAAAATTAAAACTTTCTGTTTCTGTCCTACCTGAAAACTACAGTCCCTGGCTCCCCGATCATACCATGTGCGCTGGTGGCTCTGCGCCACCTGGAGGTTTGTTTGCATAGACCTAGTCAACTCCTTGAGATGGTCACAATACTCCAGTACATATGGAACTATGGAGGTCCCGTCCTGGCTAGTATGCCCTTCCCAGTTCCCGGATAAGGTCTAGGGGCCCCCTCACCCGCCCCTGAAAGAGTAGCTCAAACAGGGAGAACCCAGTGGACTCCTGAGGCATCTCCCGTTAGGCAAACAAGAGGCATGGCAGGAATCTCTCCCAGTCTCAGCTGGTGGCTGCGAATGTTCAGAGCATTTTCTTCAATGTTCCGTTGAACTGTTTGCATAGGCCATTGGTTTGGGGGTGGGTAGCTCATAATCGGCTTAATGCTGCAGAGCCTCCAGAGTTGGTGGGTGACCTTTGCGGTAAATTGGGAGCCCTGATCGGATACTATCTCTCGTGGAAATCCCATACGGGAGAAGATTTGCATCAGGGTTTCCGCAACCGTTTCCACATGGATGTTGGTAAGCGCCACCGCCTCTGGGTATCTGGTCGTGTAGTCCACCACCGTCATGATATATTTCTTGCCGGAGGGGCTAGACTTAGCTAAGGGCCCGACTAGGTCTACTGCTATCCTGCTAAATGGTTCCTCAATAACGGGGAGAGGGTGGAGTTTGGCCTTTCGGCGATCTCCCCTCTTACCTACTCTTTGGCAAGTATCGCACATCTGGCAATACCACCTTATATCTTGAGAGATCCTGGACCAGAAGAAATTTTGGGTAATCCAATATCTGGTTCGGCTAACCCCTAAATGCCTGGATAGCGGGAATATCGTGACCTATCCGAAGCAGTTCCTGCCTATACCTTTGAGGTACTACTAGCTGCTTAGTGGGCATTGGTTTCTTGTCCCACACATACCTCTCTCCTTCTAACCCAGCCTGACTGGAGGTAACCCGGTCCCTGTATACTTGTAGCATGGGGTCAGTGGTCACCTCTTTCCCAAAATCAGTGGGGGTATTCCAGGGCAAACACTCTAGGGGTGGGGACGTGACTCTTACCTGAGCCTCCAGGTGTGAGCTTTGGTCCCTGTTCTGGGCCTATTGCCTGGTGACCACTGGGTATAGTTCCTTCTGCTGCTCTTCGGGCTCAAAAGTGGAAGTGAGCTTCCCCAGATCGTTCCAATAACACTTCTGCCGGCAGTTCCGGTTTCAGCCCAACCTCCACCATTCAAGACCTCGCTCCCCAATTCAAATGTACCCGGGCAGTGGGCAGCCGGTAGACTGCTCCCCCTGCTACCCTAACTGCCACCAAATTCCCTGTCTCAGCTGCTTCCGGCACCAGATGTCGTTCAACTAGGTTGAGGGTGGCTCTCTTTTCTCAGATCCTTTGGACCATCTAGCCCTGAAGGTGCACTGTCTAACAATGATGCTGGTTATTGTCATGCAGGATTTCTCAGTGCTCAACAGGTGGCTCTGTAGGGGCATAATGGGTGGGAGCCTCTGCTTGGTAATAATGGACCTCTGCTCTGGCTGCTGGGGGTGGCCCGGGGCAGATCCATTGTGCCTGGTCTCTGTTCTGGGGCCAATCTCTTTGCATATGCCCCATCTTTTTGCACAGATGGCACTGTAACTGACTCTGCTGTTGGAAGCATGGTGGTGGGGCATTGGAGGTACCTGTGGCAGACCGCCTGGCAACCTGACTGGGTACCTCCGCCAATCGTTGCTTCCTAGTGCTCACCGAGTACTCCAAGCACTCCACCAGACACCATAACCACTATAAACCCGCAGCCAGCATTACAGCTTGGTTGGGGTCTCGCTGTCCTCCAACCACCCTGGACCCAAGACCAGGATCCAGCTTCCAGTGGGTAGATCCCTCCCAATACAGAGAGTAAAGCAGGATAGCTCTTACAAGAGCTTGTGATTATAATCCAATGCAATTCCCAGAGTGAATATAGATATTCCCTCCACACATGAGACGAGGCTCTATGTTGAGGGTGAACAGGTTTAATGGGAGCTACATGCAGCCTTACATGCAACTCCCCATGCATGGGGTTTCCGGATACATATTCCAAGGGCATTCACCTCTGGACCTGAGAGGAGACTACAGTAAAACAAACACATAATTACATTGGCTCTCAGGTCCAGGACACTCCCACACAAAACAGGGTAATCCCTCCCCTGTGCCTGAGAGATAACTGTGTCAGGAACTGTACCAAACTCAATTATCTCCAGGCACAGAAAACATACATTTTAACAACATCCCAAAAGTACCTCCAAAACAGATGGAAACACCACAAAAGTCACATCCCCTGATAGCCCCAATCTGGGGGACCAACATATCCAAAAATCACCCAGATCGGTTCAAGGGTTCGGGATTTCCATGGAAGTCATAATTTCTACCGACCGTGCACATGGTCCTATGCCCAAAACAATTACAGGGAATCAGGGCTAACGGTTGGTCTTCTCTAATTTTATTATCTCTCAGGTACAGAAAATCCAACAAAATATACTGTACCCCAAAAGTACCTTCGTAACCCTTCAAAAAGTACATTCCCCGATATCCCCGATCTGAGTGTTTAACATATCCAAGAATCACTCAGATCGGTTTGGTGAAACAGAAATGCCATCGGTAGTTCATATTTCCCAAATGTCGTTTGTCTAGGTAGTCTGGAAATAGAACGGGCAGCGGTCTAAGTTTTACCGGCGTTCGCACGAGTGCCTAGCAGAAAAGAGTTCCAGGCACTCGACGACCAAGTAAGGCCAAACTAGAAAATTACATTAGAATTTTGTGTTTTTAAATTATCAATAAAGCTTTCAGCATGTTAAATATTTAAAGGAACACTATAGCATTATGGTTATAAAGAGAGGAAAAACAGAACTCTGTTCCAACTACTGCTGTCATAACATTCAGTTTAAATAAATGATATTTGGTTAAAAATCTAGAAGATACTTTATTAATTAAACCAAAAACACAAATGGACACAAATAAACCCTGGCTATGACTGCTTGACTCAGTTAAAGAATCAATTTCGGCAGTACAAGCAAAAGAGTGCAAAATAAGAAATAAATAAAAAATGAAAAGATTAAACATATCTCAATAACATATATCAATAAATCAAGACTAAGTAGAGAAGATCGCCATAGCGATATCAATCCGTGTCTAAGGGAATACAGTAACCCAATAGAATCATCTAGTTAGCTTGGAAACAGATACCCTCTAAATGTGCAGCATAGAGAGTCTAGTAAGCAACAGTGTATCAAGGAGAAATCTGATACAATGTTGTATCCATTGTGATCCTTGTCTGCAGGTAGCACGGTCCTCAAGGGTAAACAACAGGCACCGTCCTTTTATTTTCATATAATCCAGGCACTTTATTTGTAAATCCACACAGAACACAGCAGCAAATGAAAACATAAATATAACACAAATCCCTATAAACAAAAACCTAGCTCGTCTGAGCACTTACCAACTTCAGGTTCCCTATCTCTCAGGGGTTAAACTAGAACAAAACAATATTGGTTTCACCAACCTAGTGTCTTTGTCAGCTCTCTGCACTCCATTGCTAAATCAGCCTGTTGCTTTCCTTTCTACACTCACAGTGCTCCATGCCAGCATTGACTGCTTCCTTCTGCACTACCAGTGCTCCAAGCCAGCCTTAACTGCTTTCCTTCTGCACTCCCAGTGCTCAATCTCCTTGACTTTCTCACTGGAGAGAATAGCCTCTCTCCTACCTGCTTCCAGGGAGGAAGCCAGCAATCCCCCTTTACCTGCCTAGCAGGGAGAGGTTTATTCCCACTGCTACAGCTGATTATCTGCAGCTGAGCAGTGGGTTGGAGACAGTTCCAAAAAACTCTGGCCTGGACCTTATTTCTCCCAGTTGTGTATAAACTGAGGAGTGGAGCATTGGCCCACCCTGCTCTCCAAATGCTCCACCCCAAGGGCCCATAACTAAACTTTGGTTTGTGTTGCCTACAACACATACTACACATACACCCCATGGGGTTAAATGTTATAAGCCTATCTGTCTTCAATTTATCACACCATATATTAACATTGAATCCACTGCGATATAAAATAGCCGTGCACAATAAATAGAGGGAATGCTGCTCAAAAAGACAGTCCGAAACCACTTAGTCTATGATGAGAGCATATGAATATCCTACCTGCTAATATTAACTTTATCCTCAGGCCACTAAGTCAAGGGCATATTTAATATAATTTACATAAGAATAAAGTAATGAGTGTGGGTATAACAAATGATTACTATGATCTATACAAAGATAGTGTTACAGATATAGGTACACCTACAAATGAACTCCATAATCTGTGTCCGTAATCTCATTGATGATAATAAGATATAAAGATATAGTATGAAATGATTGGGCACCTAGTATAGGACAGACTGTAGGAAAAGATGGAATCCTAATACTAATAGAGCCGTTATATTAGCAGAGAATAAGATGGTATAATTGCTAAATCATACTGCTCCTAACACCCTGATCGGTCACTCGTCTATCTGTGATGCCCCGATGGCTGTCAGCCAACTAGGTTCATCGGGTGCCTCAATGGCTATTGGATGTAGCCCGTGGTCCAAGTCCGCCCACGAAAAATGAAGGTGCCCGAAAACACAGAAGACCGAGCTAGAATATAACAGTAGAGTAGCAAATATCGAGCCCCTTGAGTTAGAGGCTCATCAAGGGGAACTCATTCACCGGTTTCCCGGGGTTTAAAAAGCCCGCCCCTGAATCTAATTGGTTACTGATAGAATCAGGGGATGTAAGTGAGTATGGTGGCCGAGATGACTCAAAAAGATGAAAAGTAGCCAGACTAGATGGTGATCTCCAAAATCGGCATAGTTAGAAACAGGTCTGATTGTCTGATGCCAATATAATCTAATCATCAAGTGAATTTATAGATAAATAAATATGAATTGCAAGTCTAATGTAACCCTTATTATAGTGAATTGAAACATGAATAAGTAATCCACTTTTGTATAAATCAAGAATCAGAATCGCATATATGATGGTATAAGTCATCCATAAAAGTCTAGACTAATTTATCATCCCTGTTGATGATCACTGTAATGCAACTTGTAAAAGGTCATCCTATGCAGAATAATATCTGCAGGCCTATATACCAATTTCAATGTTATTAGGTAGTGGAGTTTTTGGTATAACAATAACATAATGCTAAAACAACATTATATCTTGCCAGGTTTAACAAGATAATCCACAGATAGTAATTGTAGTACCACATTGGTTTGTAGACTTTTGTCCTACTATGTTCAAACATTTAGTGATTCTCTGTGTACTAATTCTTGCTTGCTGTTGACTCTGAACCTGTGCCACTCAAACTAACTTTTTGCCTGTCTGAGTGTTTTGGATTTTCTATCTGGTTTGATGCTTTTGGAATAATCAATACTTTTTAAACAAGTGACAGTGCCCCTTTTGCATTCTCCTGCCTACTCAGTAACCCCAAACCTTGACATACGCAGACATGCTACCAGATATGGAATACTCATACATAGCTACATCCAAATGGTTTTCTAACTCTGAGAAAGCTTTCTGGCTTTGTATCCATTGGGTTTGGAATTTTTTGGAACAGATCTATACTGTAGCTGACATACGTACCATATTTTTCAATTTGGGCAAGCGCCTCTGCCAGCAGATATAAATAATTCCTGCAATGATGATCATGACACAGACAGATCCAATAATGACCAAAACAATAAAGAGTTTTCCATAGTCACTGCGGGGCTGGTTAGGGCGTGATTCACAGACCACTGTGCTGGAGTAGCTCTCAATTCCAATCTAAGAAGAGACAATATCACTTTAGTCCTAGCATGCCACATAATCATATTCGCATACCTTTGTTTAACAGTTACTTGCTACAGTCAGGTAAAATGGGAAATGTAGTGAATTGAAACCAAAATTCAGATAAGTAAGATCATATTATACAGAGACATTTTTCAAAGTCAACAAGTTTGGTTTAAAATATTTCAACTCTTACTTTTTCTGTTCATCCCAATTTACTGTTTAGTGAACAGAAACACTATTATTGATTAAAGGGACACTCAACTGCCCAAATACAAACTAAATTAAAATCACTGTTTGGTAGATATACTCCAAATGAAAACTTGCATGCATTAAATTATGTTTTTTTTTTTCAATGAGGTATATCTAAACACAGCTTGCAAAACCCGCAATTATGTTGTCTGCACCCTTAGCAAGCCCTCCCCTTCAAACCCCGCCCAGACTTTCTGTGGCTGTCCAATCACAGACTTCCCAATGCAGCTCAATGAGGTGTCTTTGTAAGGTTGGTGCTCTGGGCAACTGCTGCCTCTTGAGTTTAGCTTCACTGAGCTAAACAAATGGGAAATAACAGGACATGTCTGCTTGAAAGCCAAGGGGGTGTAACCAGGTTAATTTATAAAAGTGCCAATTTCTATTGAAATCTGCACTTTTTACAAAATGAAAAAAAAGAGGACACGCTCTTTACACATAAAGCATTTCAGCAAGCTAAAGTGCTTTAGGGGCCTAGAGTATCCCTTTAAATGAGAACAGTTGCACAAGGTCCATTAATGAGTAGAACACAGTATCTTTAAACTCAGTTTACCTCTGCAAGACTCCTTTTAATGTCCCCGAGAGCTGTGAAAACATCTTTTATTGGAACCACACCTTGAACAGGGAAGAGAGGTCAGGATAGTGATAAATAAATGATAGCATTAGGAAAAGGCGTGGATATAAATCTAACACAAACCCAAGTACTCCGCATGAGAACATGAGAAAAAGATGCTAAGGTGCAAGTAAAATAACAGGTGCCATAAATTCAGGAATGAACCAACTTTTGAGAAAAGGAGGAAACGGTGAATATTCATCAAATTTTTTGCCACTATAACTCTGCCGTACATTTCTCCTTTATTTTTCACTGACACCAACTCTCAAAGTGACAGAGCAGATGTTGGATGACTACTAGATTGTGACCTATAGACTGTAAGCTCGTTTGAGCAGGGTCCTCTTCAACCTATCGTTCCTGTAAGTTTTCTTGTAATTGTCCTATTTATAGGTAAATCCCCCTCTCATATTATTGTAAAGCGCTACGGAATCTGTTGGCGCTATATAAATGGCAATAATAATAATAATATAAGATCCTGGTATACACTATCTCCTTTTATAAAGTATCTGGGGACCAGCTCTTGCATATCACAAATTCTGTTGAGATTGATTCTAAAAAAGTATTCATTCTGACATTAACATGCCCTTTCGACCCATTTTAACTTTATAGAACATATTTCTTTATCTGCCTACAATAAGCTGTGAATCCACTGATTAAAATGAGTCCACTTCATCCAACTCACGTTGCTCTTCTGTGATTGTCATTAGTAAGTGATTGTCATTTTCGTTAGGCTTGCTCAGGGATATGACCCAGTCTTTTTGGGGTGTCTCTGCTTTCCACGACAAAGCCTCTTCTAGCAAGGACAACAGCTGTTGCCCTTTCTGCCATCGAAATTGCTCCTGTAAATAAAAATAAATAAATTAAAAAAAAACACAGATCCATGTATAAATGTTATCATACTATATATATATTTCACTATTCAGATGCATCTCTCTGCAGGGGTACGATTGAATCCAGTCAAATTATAGGATTGGAAGTAGGTTTTTGAAATTGTCTCAGATAATTAAAACCTCTTTCCATACTATGTACATAATAGAAACCAAATATCCACTTTCATTTCAGTGCTCTGTTTACACTCTAGAGCCTATAATCTAAATTACCGGTAGATCTGTCAACTCTTGTTGGACTATATCTCCCATAATTCTTTGACAGTTGTTGGGAGACAGTGTACACAGCTTGCCAGAGGGCCAAAGATGGATAGTTTTCTAAACATTCTAAAATTACACTTAATGGGAGCATGTACTATCCATCCACAAATGAAAAATAAATAATAAATGTAGACATTTATAGGGTATTTAGAATGATTTGTAAATTCATATTGTCGGGAGATGGTGACGTGTAGACACAAGATGCCGCGTACGTCGTGAGGAGGGGAGTGTGTTGGCGGTCTCGGGAGAGGCTTTCTATAGCCATAAAACTCATTAACTTACCGTCCTAGACTGTCGTTTAAAAGAGGTCTGCTAGGGTTCTGTATACAACTGTAGCAGTGCTGAAACAAGCAGTTTTCTGCCCAAAGGTTAAACAGACTAACCCCTGAATTTCCAGTGATTACCTGGTGTGTGTGTCCCGTGCGGTTAGCCGGCACAGTGAAAGTCCCTGCAAACACAGCATATAGAACGGATGAATAATACTCCGTAAAAAAAACTTTCAAGCTCCTGAAGTCTCAAGTTCCACAGTTGATTCTGATGATATTTAGGAAGACTAACCTGGGAAGATCTGATACAGTGTGTTTAACACTAACTGCACTGAAAGCTCTGGAAACTCAGGCACCAGCACTGATCGATACCAGCAGTGCCCAAAACAGATAAGATTATCGGGGTTTTATTAGTTTTTTTCTGTTTTCCTTTCTTTCGCTTCCTTTTCTTTCCTTTGATGTTTGTGCATATATAAGTGACAACTTTTGCACCTAAGCACTGGGACAAACATAAGAATTAATTGTCTATAATTGTTAAATACCTTACTATTCGATATATTTATACCAAACTCAGATTGGGAATTATTATGGCTACTAGAAATACCGCTTTAGAACAGAAACCATCAACTAAAAAAGACATAAGAGAACTCAAACAAGATAAAAATCTCTCAACATATTTCTCTCCTCAATCCAAAGATTTAAAAGGCAACGCACCTAGAGAATCATTATCCAATTCAGATCTATCCTTGATGGAAACGAGCAAGGATAATGAAGATGTTACAATTAAAGTACTCAATACAAGTCTACAATCTATATTAGAAGAAATTAAAAAGGACATTTTTATCAAATTCCATGGAAATGAGACAAGAAATTAAAAGTGATATAGCTAAATTAACAAACAAATTTCAAGCTATGGAAGATCGAATGGGAAATGTTGATTTTTGGATTCAATCATTAAACGAAGATGTAACAAAAATGACAACAAGAATCTCTTATCTTGAAACAAAATTGACGATCTTGAAGACCTAGCCCAAAGAAAAAAACCTAAGATTCCGCAATTTTATGTAAATCCAACAGTCTAAGTAATAGGTAGTACCTCACTTCCTAAATGCAGACCTCAAACTGCCTCTGACGAAGGTGCTTCATTGGATAGCACCGAAAACGTGCGTCAGGCGGTTTTATATTTTCTTCACTTATGGGTATGTTTCACTAGGCACGTTATGGCACTGTTTTGTTTGATTTAAGTAGATACTATACTTTATTGAGCTACCTTAGAGCAGTTTGAGGTCTGCATTTAGGAAGTGAGATACTACCTATTACCTAGACCGTTGGATTTACATCAAATATAGGTTGCTATCTGTCCTCTATATCTTTACCTAAATGACTGCTCTTTACCCTATAATCTATTCATAGAAATGTCATTGAGCACTCTAAGCATCATGACATCTATGTTCTACTTTTGGTACTCCTATTATTTTTTTTTCAAAAATTATTTTCAACTATATGGTCGTGCCTAATTTGTAAATATACCTATAGCCCCTTGGAGATAATTACTTTATGTATATACATTATTTCTTATTATTTTTTATAATTTTTTGGAGCTATTTCTCTAATCACCGTATGGAGCATTTGACCATATTGCATAGTTGGATTTAACTTTAAATTAAGGGGTGCTTATACAATATCTGGCAAACATTTAAGTGGTAGTCTCATCTATTCCCTGTTTGGGTGGTTAGATTAGATCCAGATAAATAGCAGTATAGAATCGTTAAGAGCCAGTCTGAATAAAGCTCAGAATTTCTATCTATTGCTAAGGATATACTGGTAACATAACTATACCACCCAGGGATTACGATATATATTTGTATCTACTTGACTTTTTAATTCACATCCTATAGGGATACTTTCTTATTTTGTATCAAGTATATTTTATGATTTTCTCCTAGACTACTTGTATATGTCCAGGTTACACAGATTTTGCCTTATGGCATGGTGACTAATATCCTGTGTGTCTTTTCTAATTATTAATAAATTGAGACTAGATACCTACTATCAGGGAAATAGAGCTAGTAAAAACTAAACAATGAAACTAAAGAAACAGAATACGCTAAACAGTGTAAATAAATTGTTGGACAAAGAAATTATATACTCCTCTCCTGAAAAAATTGGCCAAATATTCAACAAATTTTATAGTAAATTGTACAATCTAGGAGTATTCTCTGACAATGAAAAAAATACTAAATATCTGTCCGACACAGAAATTCCAAAAATTTCCACTCCCAATCTTAATTTGCTTAATTTGAGTTTACTTCTAATGAAGTGGAAAGAGAGATTGATTGATTGGAACTATTTAAGACCCCTGGTCCGGATGGATATAGCAACTTTTTTTATAAGATCATGAAAAATGAAATAGCTCCCCCTCTAATGGCCCTTTTTAATGAAATGGCCAAAAAAGCCAAAACTCCGAAAGAGCTATTACAGGCTAACATCCTACCAATACTAAAGCCTAACAAAGATGGAAGAGATGTTAGTAATTATAGACCAATTTCATTAATAAATATAAACATGAAAATATATGCAGCAATTTTAACATCCAGATTAAAACCACTTATTGAGAAAGTCATCCATCTGGACCAGGTTGGTTTCATTCCGGGCAGATTCCCAGATAGCTGTACCAGAAGAATTTTGGATGTACTGGATAGAGCAGAACGTCAGGAGATTCCATTGCTGACCCTGTCACTGGATGTTGAGAAGGCTTTTGACAGGGTCAGCTGCAGATTCCTAGACGCTATATTAATTTCCTTTGGATTTGTGGGTTGGATCCGTGGAGCTATTATGGCCCTATACTCTGAACCGACGGCAAGAACAGTCGGGGTAAATATCTTATCTAGCTGGTTTAATTTACAAAATGGTACGCGGCAGGGTTGCCCCTTATCACCTCTTCTCTATATCTTAACGCTAGAACCGTTAGCAATTAATATTAGAACAAATCAAAAGATCAAGTTCCAATTAATAAATCAGAAGCTAAAATATCGCTATACGCTGACGACATTCTATCACTTACATCCCCAGAATCATCTCTACCGCAAGCAATACATGAAATAAATACAGTGAAGTATCAAATTACAAGCTGAATGTATCTAAATCAATCGCTTTAACTAATAAGGTTAAAAATTACAGCTTTAAAGATCTTGGAGACAATTTTAACTTTACGTGGTCAAAAGGCGCTTTTCATTATCTAGAGATGACAATCCCGGCACAGATAGAAAATACTATGGAAATTAATGTTCTAAATCTTTTAAAATACACCAATATAAAGTTAAAATAATGGCGCCTATTAGAATCCTCTTGGTCAGGTAGGATTAACACAATAAATGCTTATATTATTCCAAAATAGTCATATCTATTTAGAATGATACCCGTCCAAATGCCTGATAGTTGGTTAACTATGATTCAATCCAGTTTTCAGACCTTCATATGGAAATGTAAAAAACATAGAATAAGTTCTAAGGTTCTGACGAGAAAATACCAATGAGGGGGTTTGAATTACCCCAACATAAGAAACTGCTATTTTCCAATATCATTTTCCAATATCAAACTACAAGTAGAAGACTTGTGGGGGAGTGGTCACGGACCGCATGGAAGCAGTCGCATAAACCGAGAGCTCTGACGTTTTGTGGGCCCAACAGCGAGGTTAACAGCAACAATCTTACCGAAAATAGCCTAACTTGCTGTCAGGTACACAGAGACTACCATGTCGACTAAATCTGGCAAGAAATTGAAGCAAAAAATGATGGACTCACTTTTAAGCACACAGCAAGCAGCAAACCTGCGGGTCCAAGATGGCGCCAGAGAACCGCGATCACCCGCACATGAATCCGAAGCTGAAGACAGCTGGAGTATGCCACCATACTTCCAGCCACTGATGCCTCAGTGAGTAATATGTTACAAGACCTAAAAACAGACCTACGCTCAGACTTACTAAAAATAGCGTCGGACATACAAGCTGACATTCAGGCCCTAGGGACAGAACAGCTCATCTTGAAGAAAAGACGGAGGGCCTAGTGGAAGCACATAACGACCTGGCTGACGCACATGCAGCTCTGGAGGATAAGGTCAGATTTCTAGAGAGAAAGATCGCTGATAACGAAGACTGAGACCGGAGAAATAACATCAGGCTCTGAGGCATACCTGAAACTATAGGGCCACAAGACCTCGCCCAATTTGCACAAAAGCTATTCAAAGCCTTAATCCCAGCTCTAGAAGACTCAGACCTTCGCTTAGACAGAATACACAGATTACTTAAACCCAGACATCTACCTGCAACTACCCCTAGGGATGTTATCACAAAAATTCATTACTTCACAGTCAAAGACCGGATAATGCAGGCATCCAGACTAGACAACACTCTCCCAGGAGAATACGCGGACATTAAGCTTTTCATTGACCTGTCGGCGGCCACCATGTACAAGAGGCGATAGTTTGCGCCCATCACTACAGCCCTATGCAATGCTAACATCGCGTATAAATGAGGATTCCCTGCCAAACTGCTGATTAACAGAAACGGAGTAAATCGAACAATTCTTACACCAGAAGATGGACTAAAGACGCTGGAAGATTGGAATATACGAATTCCAATAACTGACAAGCAAAGATCGGGCACTTCACCACCACGTAAAATAGCGAGAGACTGGCAACAAGTTCCGTGGAATGTTACGGACCCGCAGACCCGAAGAAACTTCCGTACCTAAGGCTTTGTCCTACCAGCACCAGGATACGTAATCTCTTCAACCACAAATGCTTTAATGTCTTAATATGTTAAATATGTATACTGCTGCAATGTTCTAATGCAAGTAGACACCGTCATGTGAGCACAGCCATAGGTCCACAGGCGGTAGAGAAATACTACTAAATATATAACTCTCCACCTCACACTACCAATTTTATATACAACACTATTTTAGAAATCACCACTACCCCCCACATGGCTTACCAATAAAGCCAACATATACCCGTTTGCAATCTACTGCACACGGCCCCAGGGGCTAACGGGCAATTGTACATAGTTTGTTCCACTCTACCCCTCTTTAACTGACCCATTTGGGTCTACACCATGCATTCAAGGTACCAGGTGATCAACACACGTAGCTTTCCCTATTTGAATCAGCGTCCTACTCCCACCTGCCTCTCAAGATCAACAGAGAGGCAACATGCCGTTAAAAATTCTCTCCCTCAATACCAAAGGGCTGAATTCACCTAACAAGCGTAGACCAACTCTACGAGAAGCTAAGAGACAGGGTGCACATGTGGCATTCTTCCAAGAAACCCATTTTAAATGGGGGTTCAAATCCAGATTTAATTTCCCTTGGTTCCCGGTAGATTACCATACAGGCTATGATATAAAAAAAAGAGGAGTGTCAACATTAATAAGCAAAACTGTTGCCTTTGAATTAATACGTAAAATTGGAGACAAAAAAGGCAGATACCTTATCATACAATGTCACATTAACAACCAACCGTATACATTAATGAACGTCTATAGCCCTAATGAAAATCAAACTGTGTTTATTGCTAATGTCTTCTCTCTCTTGTCAATGTACAGTTTTAGGGAGGTACTCATTGGAGGCGATACTAATTTTCTCTTAGACGTAAATATAGACTCATCCGCTTCTGGAACGGTAAATACAACAACTTAAAAAAAATGACATACACAGACAGCCAACATTCGCCATACATTAATGGCACACAACTATGTAGACCCATGGAGGATCTCGCACCCGACGGAAATCGACTACACCTGCTATACAGCAGCACAGTTACTCCAGGATAGATAGATTTCTAATCAAAACCACATCCCTAGAGAAAGTATCACACACAGACATTGGCGTTATCACATGGTCTGACCATGCCCCTATCACCAGGGCCGGTGCTTGGATTTTTAGGTACATAGGCGAAGATGCATTTTTCCGCCCCCCCCCTCAAAAAAAAACATCTTCACCTATGTGCCTCTTAACCAGCCCCTCTCCCCTCCCTGACCATTAGTAGTCCCTTCCCTTCCCTGTCCCTTAGTGTTCTTCTCCCCCCCCCTTTTCCCTGTCTCTTGGTGTTTCTCTCCCATTCCCTCCCTGTCCCTTGGTGCACCCCACACCCCTTTAGTGGTCACACTCCCCTTCCTGGTGTGCCTACTACCTCTATTGTTGCATTGCCGAGCGGAGCAGATCCCCTAAAGGAGCTTCAGTTTTCTGTACCCGGCCGGACTGACAGGGAGTGCTCTCTCTTTGAGCACCTCCTGTCAGTCTGGCCAGGTACAGGAAACAGAAGCTCCTGTACCGCGCTCTGCTCCGCTACACTCTGTACACACTGACAGTCACACACTCAATGACAAACACACAGACGTCACTGACAGACACAGACTCATTGATTTGTCACATACTCATTCATTGACACTGACAGACCCACACTGATTGACACTCATTGACAGACACACTGATAGTCACACACAGACTCAATGACAAACATACTCTCACTGATTTGACAGACACACACTCATACACTGACAAACACACTCATCATACACTGACAGACACACTCATATACTCACATGCAGACACACTCATACAATCACTCACAGACACACTCATACAATCACTCACAGACACACACACACAGACGCACTCACTCACACACACACACACTCAGTCACTCACACACACACACACTCAGTTACTCACAGATACACGCTGTCACTCACAGACACACACAGACGCACAATCACTCACAGACACACACTCTGTCACTCACAGACACACACACAGACGCTCTGTCACTCACAGACACACACACTCTGTCACTCACACACACTGTCACTCACAGACACACGCTCAATCACGCAGACACACACACTCACTCACAGACACATGCTCAGTCACTCACAGACACACACACTCTGTCACTCACACACACAGTCACTCACAGACACACCCATCTGTCACTCACACACACAGTCACTCACAGACACACACGATCAATCACTCACAGACACACACACTCTGTCACTCACACACACAGTCACTCACATACACACACGCTCAGTCACTCACAGACACACACACTCTGTCACTCAAACACACAGTCACTCACAGACACACACACTTTGTCACTCACACACACTGTCACTCACAGACACACGCTCAGTCACTCAAACACACACACTCACAGACACACACGCTCAGTCACTCACAGACACACACACTCTGTCACTCACACACACAGTCACTCACAGACACACACACTCTGTCACTCACACACACAGTCACTCACAGACACACACACTCTGTCACTCACACACACAGTCACTCACAGACACACACGCTCAGTCACTCACAGACACACACGCTCAGTCACTAACAGACACACACACTCTGTCACTCAAACACACAGTCACTCACAGACACACACACTTTGTCACTCACACACACTGTCACTCACAGACACACCCTTAGTCACTCAGACACACACACAGTCACTCACAGACACACACGCTCAGTCACTCACAGACACACACACTCTGTCACTCAAACACACAGTCGCTCACAGACACACACACACACGTTGTCACTCACACACACTGTCACTCACAGACACACACTCACTCACAGACACACACGCTCAGTCACTCACACATCACATACATTCACTAATTATTTTATAAATACACATTTTCCACCCAGCCTCCCTACCTGGAGAGCTGGTGTGGATGATGGATCGGTCCCTGAGGGCTGGGGCTGCTGAGAGGCGCGCGGCAGTGCTGTGATCAGGCGCGGCGAGGGAGCTCTAATCTCCACCCTCTGCTCCCTCGCGGGCTGCCTACTGATGCTGCGGGATGACGTCATAGTCCGGCTCCCGCTGCATCAGCAGACAGCACGCGAGGGAGCAGAGAGGTTAGAGCTCCCTTGCTGCGTCTGATCACAGCACTGCTGCGCCGGGTGTCGAGATGGTGGCCTGGCAGGAGGGAGTGCTTCCCTCCTGCCGGTCACTGAAATATTGCGCCCCCAGAGCCTGCGGGCCCTAAGGCGGCCGCCTGTGCCGCCTTATGGACGCGCCGGCCCTGCCTATCACGCTGACACTATCAGAATAATTCCCCTCAACTGGTCGCACCGCTTGAATACTGAATGAGTCCCTACTCAATGATCCGGTAGTAGTCTCCCAAATCACAACAGACCACCAACACTATTTTGCAGAAAACGTACAAAATAACACAACACCAGATTTCATTTGGTTAGCACATAAAGCGGTGATAAGAGGCAGCTTCATAAAACACGCGAGCAAGGCCAAGAAAACACACCAGGCACAATATCTACAAATCATTACAGACAACATCGCTTACACACAGAAATAAACATACGTCGTCGCCTAACATACAAGCTGCCCTACTCCAGGCACACTCCGAACTATGAGACTTCGAACTAGCCAAAACCACATACTTACTGCAAAAAGCCAAACACAAATTCTTTGCATATGGCAATAGAGCAGGAGCAAAATTGGCTTTGCAACTTAAACAAAGATCAGCCGCCTCCAGGATTGCCTTCCTAAACAATAGCAAAGGTCAGAAAATCATAGACGCAAAAAAAAATCGTAAATGAGTTCTCAGACTATTATCACAAACTGTATAATTTGGGAAAGGGAGGGGAGGTGAAGGTTCCTACACACGAGGATATGAATAGATATTTAACGGATATCCAACTACCTTCCCTTTCAGCAGATGAAGTTAAACAACTTTAGCAACCACTAACCCCTGAAGAGATAACCAAAGCTATAGCAGACCTCCCCCCAAACAAATCACTGGGACCCGATGGCCTACCGAACCGATACTACAAAGAGTTCTCCAGACTACTAACACCACATCTAACGAATCTCTTCCAACATAGCATGGAAAAGGGAGTGTTACCAGCAGAGATGCTCTTAGCCCACATTTCCACCTTGCCCAAACCTGGTAAGCCCCCTACTGTATGTAAATATTTCAGGCCCATATCCCTCCTAAATAGCAACCCCAAATTATAAGCAAAAATAATTAGCAACCAACATACACCCGTATTAAACAGCTTAGTGCACAATGACCAATCCGTTGTAACCCTGTCGAGTCCCATTTTTTATCGGGAATGTGTTGGAGAGGAAGCCTCCATGTGAAACCCTGGCCGCTGGTGCTGCGTATAATGCCATGATACCTCTAATAATTTCAGGGGGTAGTCCATATTTCATTAGAGGTATCATGGCATTATACGCAGCACCAGCGGCCAGGGTTTCACATGGAGGCTTCCTCTCCAACACATTCCCGATAAAAAATGGGACTCGACAGGGTTGCCCCCTGTCTCCCTTACTCTACATCCTCTCCCTAGAACCTCAAGCCCCAAAAATACGCTCCCACCCTGACATAGAGGGCATAAAAGTCCTAGCACATGAATACAAATTGGCACTATTCGCCAATGATATCCTAGTGACGCTAGGAAACCCTCAAACGTCGGTGCCACACCTTATGGAGACCCTAACAGAGTTTGGCGATATATTACACTACTGCCTAAACCAAGACAAGACCCAAGCTCTACCTGTTAGACTCCCCACAACCACTAAAGCCTCACTAAAAGAAAAATTCTAGTTCGATTGTAGAACGTCCTCCCTGACATACTTGGGGGTAAAAATAGCTCCCTCAATAGCCGAGATAACAAAACTCAATCACTGCACCCTCCCACAACAATGTACAAAAGAAGTTCATAAATGGACACAGACAAACATCTCATGGCTTGGGAAAATCAACGCATATAAAATGGTGCTTCCCTTTCAGATCCCGCAAACACTCATCAAATCCCTCCAAACTATATGCAATAGGTATATCTGAGGAAGTAAGAGACCACGCATACCACATACTATATTACAGAAACACTCATCACAAGAAGGCATGGGACTACCTAACATAGGCCTATATCACAAAGCCTCTGCCTTGACAGCGGGAATATTACTGCATACCCCAGTAGGGAATATCCAATGGGTTGACATGGAAAAAGCCCAATTCCGAGAAAACACTACACTAGACTACATGTGGACCCCAAGAAAACTTAGGCCACCCAGAGCCGACCTACTCCCTACTACAAAATGTACCCTCCAAGTTTGGACAACCTTCTTAGAGACCCTAGGAACCAAGCATACTTTCCACCCTAAGGCAACATTGACAGCCTTAAAGGACCACTCTAGGCACCCAGACCACTTTAGCTTAATGAAGTGATCTGGGTGCCAGGTCCCTCTAGGATTAACACTTTTTTTTTATAAACATAGCAGTTTCAGAGAAACTGCTATGTTTATAATAGGGTTAATCCAGCCTCCAAATCCTCTAGTGGCTGTCTCATTGACAGCCGCTAGAGGCGCTTGCGTGATTCTCACTGTGAAAATCACAGTGAGAACACGCAAGCGTCCATAGGAAAGCATTGTAAATGCTTTCCTATGAGACCGGCTGAATGCGCGCGCAGCTCCTGCCGCGCGTGCGCATTCAGCAGAAGGGGAGGAGAAGAGGCGGAGAGGAGGAGGAGAGCTCCCCGCCCGGCGCTGGAAAAAAGGTAAGTTTTAACCCTTTCCTCTCCCCAGAGCCGGGCAGGAGGGGGACCCTGAGGGTGGGGGCACCCTCAGGGCACTATAGTGCCAGGAAAACAAGTATGTTTTCCTGGCACTATAGTGGTCCTTTAAGGACAATCTCGCCAGACATTCACATACAAAAATGGTTGCACGCAGGAATCACACATATACACCACACAGAAGCGATAATAGAGCGATGTAGGAAAACAGCAACGAAGTCAAAAGCCATCTTCCTCTAGATATAAGCGGCAATGAATGGTGTTGTACCCTTAAGGAAATACGAAAATGTATACACTGCTTGAATTTAATACAATGCCAATATAAGATCATGTATACATGGTTTTTGACGCCATATAAGATCTCTAAGTTGTATCCAGATCAGAACCCGCATTGTTGGCGGTGTGGTTGTCTAGATGGATCCTTCTTACACATATGGTGGTATTGTAAATTGGTAAAAACCGTTATGGTCGTGGGCCTACGACTTACTCAAATCCCTTTTAAAAATAAACATAAATATAGGACCAGAGACAGCCCTATTACATCTAAATTGGGATTTATCTTCCACTTCATCAAAATGCCTTTTTATCAGGGCCGGATTAACATAGGGGCTGATGGAGCTGCAGCTCCAGGCCCAGGCCCATGGAATAGGCCCATTGACTTATAAAAAAAAAAAAAAAATTTTTTTTTTCTCCACACACTACTCTTAGGGATTCCACCTGGCTTTTATTTTATTGACACAGCCAGTATTTGAGGCTGCCTGGCTGGTGCCAATATTGCAGTGATACTGGCAATACAAATGCTGGTATTTTTCTCAGTATAAACTAGAGATTACTCTGCAATAACAGCACTGGCCAGTAGGTCGCTGTGTATGTGGAGAGAGGCAGGGATAGGAAGTTCCAGCATATCCCTCCCTGCCTCTCTCTACTCACTGATCTGCAGGGGAGCAGCTACAGAGAGTCCAGACAGCAACTCCCACCCTGCAGAGACAGCCTACAGCTCAGGGAAGTAAGGGATGGAGGGAAAGACTGCAAGGAGACATACACTGAGACACTAAGGGACATTGGGAGACATTATGGCAGACACTGAGACACTAAGGGGCACTGGGAGACATTATGGCAGACACCGAGACACTAAGGGACACTGGGAGACATTATGGCAGACACTGAGACACTAAGGGACACTGGGAGACATTATGGCAGACACTGAGACACTAAGGGACACTGGGAGACATTATGGCAGACACTGAGACACTAAGGGACACTGGGAGACATTATGGCAGACACCGAGACACTAAGGGACACTGGGAGACATTATGGCAGACACCGAGACACTAAGGGGCACTGGGAGACATTATGGCAGACACTGAGACACTAAGGGACACTGGGAGACATTATGGCAGACACCGAGACACTAAGGGACACTGGGAGACATTATGGCAGACACTGAGACACTAAGGGACACTGGGAGACATTATGGCAGACACTGAGACACTAAGGGACACTAGGAGACATTATGGCAGACACTGAGACACTAAGGGACATTGGGAGACATGGCAGACACTGTGACACTAAGGGGCACTGGGAGACATTATGGCAGACACTGAGACACTAAGGGACATTGGGAGACATTATGGCAGATACTGAGACACTAAGGGACATTGGGAGACATTATGGCAGACACTGAGACACTAAGGGACATTGGGAGATATTATTGCACACAATGAGACACTAAGGGACACTGGGAGACTTTATGGCAGACACTGAGACACTAAGGGGCACTGGGAGACATTATGGCAGACACTGAGACACTAAGGAACATTGGGAGACATTATGGCAGACACTGAGACACTAAGGAACATTGGGAGACATTATGACACAGACACTGAGACACTAAGGGACATTGGGAGACATTATGGCAGACACTGAGACACTAAGGGACATTGGGAGACATTATGGCAGACACTGAGACACCAAGGGACATTGGGAGACAATATGGCAGACACTGAGACACCAAGGGACACTGGGAGACATTATGGCAGACACTGAGACACTAAGGGACACTGGGAGACATTATGGCAGACACTGAGACACTAAGGGACACTGGGAGACATTATGGCAGACACTGAGACACTAAGGGACACTGGGAGACATTATGGCAGACACTGAGACACTAAGGGACATTGGGAAACATTATGGCAGACACTAAGGGACACTGGGAGACATTATGGCAGACACAGAGACACTAAGGGACATCGGGAGACGTTATGGCAGACACTGAGACACTAAGGGACACTGGGAGACATTATGGCAGACACTAAGGGACATTGGGAGACATTATGACACACACACATGGGGACACAGTATCCCCATGTCTCCCAGCCAGTGTACCTGGTGTCTCAGTGCCCCTTAGTCTCCCAGTGCCCCCAGTCTGCCAGTGTCTCACTGTCCCCATGTCTCCTAGTGCCTCCATGTCTCCCAGTGCCTCCATGTCTCAATGTTCCCATGTCTCCAAGCTAATGTCCCTAGTGTCTGTGGCCCTGGTGTCTCCTTGTCCCCATGTCTCCCAGTCAGTGTCTTTAGTGTCTGTGTCCTTGGTGTCTATGTCCCCATGTCTTCAAGTGTCCCCTATTTTCCCAGTGTCCCCATGCGTCCCAGCCAGAGTCCCCGAGTTTCCCAGTGTCACTGGTGTCTCCGTGTCAGTAGGTCTCCCTGTGTCCCCAGGTCTTCCCGTCTTCCTAGTGACATGGGGACCCTTGGATACATGGGGACACAGGGAGACATGGGGCATTGAGACACTGTGATACATAGGATCACTGGGAGACTTGGGGACACGACACTAGGGGACACTGGGAAACATGGGGCACTGAGACACTGATACATAGGAACACTGAGACCTGGAGTAATCGACACATGGGGGCACTGGGAGGAATCCATCTATACAGCAGAATCAAACTAAGTAGTTTTTGGTGATTTTCTCTTATATCACTCCTTGTGATTTACATCATGTGATGTCACCCATACATATTTAATTATGCAAATTAGCAAGGCCGGTATGTTTTTCCAAGAAAGGTGGCAACCCTAACTACATTTCACATACTCTTACTTAAGTATGGAAACTTAAGAGGGATGTATGGGAACAAAACTTGTGTGGACTGGCTGACAATGAATATAGTTAAAGGGACACTATAGTCACCAGAAGAACTACAGCTTATTGAATTTGTTCTGGTGAGTAGAATCATTACCTTCAGGCTTTTTGCTGTAAACACTGTCTTTTCAGAGAAAATGCAGTCTTTACATTGAGTGGAAGTGTCCAGGGGATTTCTCTAGCCCCCCATATCATCAGGGGTGGCACCATATATGCCTGAACTGTCCAATATCCTGTGAGTGCATTTTATATTGCGCAGTGTTAATATTGTAAAACTGTATTACACTATACCTCTTTTATTTATCTTCATTTAGATAATCAGCCGGTTCCCTCGTTGTGTTTTGTATATTCTTGTGTTCAAGTTGATTGCTGGCTGGGAGCGATCTGAGGGAGGCTGCATTCACTAACCACTGATAAGTATCCTTGTATATAAGTGTGTGTATAAGGTGCATTTCTTTTTAGTCTTTACATTACAGCCTAGTGATAACTTCACTGGCCACTCCTTAGATGGCCGTTTAAGATCCTTCCTGGGTCATGGCTGCCTAAAATGCATCCAAACATTCAGTGTCTCCTCCCTCTGCATGCAGACACTGAACTTTCCTGATAGAGATTCATTGATTCAATTCATCTCTATGAGGAGATGCTGATTGGCCAGGGCTGTGTTTGAATCATGCTGGCTCTGCCCCTGATCTGCCTCTTTGTCAGTCTCAGCCAATCCTATGGGGAAGCACTGTAATTGGATTAGGCCACCACTTCTAATGATGTCAGCAGACTGCTTGTTTTCCTGAGTATAACAGCATGCAGAGTTACAGCTCCAGGCTTGAATACAGTAAGATTTTGCTATATTTATGGAGGTATGAGGGGCCCAGGGGGGGCTAGATGGTGCTGTTAACACTATAGGTTCATGAATTCATGTTTGTGTTCCAGACCCTATAGTGATCCTTTAAGGTAATGCTGACTTTGGTCTCTCTAACACTGTGGCATGTTCCTTTTCTTCTACACTCACTACATACGGCTTTTTTCTGTCCCAAACTATATACCAGGAGCTTCTGCCTGCTAGTAAGAAGGTAAGGAGACAAGTGGACCAGCAAGTGCTAGGGGACAGTCCTTAGAAAGCGTTGAGCGAGCGCATCATTAGATGCATTTATGCCAAGCTCAGGGTGCTGTCTGCATAGTATGCCCTTAGTTGGCTAGCTGCATGATTGGCAGGCAGTCTGACATGCATTCATACCAGGCTGGCCTTCTAATTATTTGGGCAGACATATCCTCTTTTTGGGCATGTTCGCCCTTTTTGGCAGGTTACGTGATTTGTGTCTGTGGCACACCCTTTTACCCCGCCCATTGACTTCCTGCTTGACTGGACACTGCTGTTAGGGGTTATGGATTTACTTAAAAGATGAAAACATAAATTAGAGAGAGATTAGCCTATGGTATGTGTTTTCTTATAGCTGCTGTTTTTTCTTTCTCTCCAGCACCATCTCCATCAGATACATGACGCTTGGGAGTGATTCACTGTTTTTGGTCGATATGATTCTGTAATTAGGCCCATCATAATTGTCAGCACCAGGCCCACTGGGCTCTTAATCTGGCCCTGCTTGTTATGCACTGTTTCTTAGCAACTAAAATTATCATAGCTAGACAATGGAAATCAAATCTTCCCTTCCAGAGGAGGCACTTAATAAACCAATTTTCATTTCAACTTTGTATGGAAAAGGATCTGCACGGATCCTTTCTATACTCCTTAAATAAACAAGAACATTATAAAAAAAGGCTGGAAGTTCTAGGAAGTGATTAACTGAAAAATAGGATTTGGTTGAAAATTGTTAAAACATCCTACTACTAGACTGACCATGAAATAGACCTCTATTGAACTGACCAAGTTTTAGATCTGTAAATTTGCACTGTTATGATGATATATAAAATGGTACTTTTTTGGGAAATTCTACTAAACGTTTAAGGGATATTTCTGATTTGATAATATTTTCCCAATTACCTGGTAATTGCTGTTAATGTAATTTTTTGTTTACTTTTTTTTTTTTGTCTACATGTATATGTTGTCCAAAGTAAGAAAATGAAAAAAAACTTTTTATAATAAATAACATTTAAAAAAAATAAGAAATGATTTGCAATACAAAATGTTACATCTAATTATCTTTATTTAAAGTGGCTTTGTCATTTCAAATATACCTTTTGTGGCGAAACTGACCTCGCCACGTGTCCTTGGAGGGGGCTGCTTGCCCGCCTCTTGCCTTTGGACTATGGACCAGACTTTATGTGAATGTGTTAACCTAGATAGCTATGCCATGGAGCCCATTCGTGTAGTTAAAGACTTCGGCTCCATGGCAATTGAACTGTGAATAGGATCTGAGCGCTATTCGGTAGTTTTGAGCGCTCAGATCTGTGTCTGTGTGTTATGTGTAAAAGGTGACTTTATGTATTTTAAAGTGTTTTATGTCTTTTTGCTCTCTACCGGCCCTACAGGGATGCTGGGCAGTCGGGCCAGATCCCCAGCGGCAGGGTGAAGTGCAGGGAGTGGAGAACCTCGTCTCCCCTCCCCAGCGGCAGTGTGTACCCCAGGGAGCAGAAGGTGCTGTCCTTCCTCCCCAGCGGCAGGGTGAGTCCCAGGGAGCCAAAGGTGCCGTCCTCCCTCCCCAGCGGCAGTGTGTACCCCAGGAAGCAGAGACCGTCTGTCTCGCACCCCAGCCGCAGGACAAAATATTGAAAGGGGAGACAGTTGGTCCCCCTCTCCACCAGCAAAGAGAGTGTCAGGGAGAGGAGCAGGTTACCCCCTCTCCCCAGCGGCAGTCTACAGTTCAGAGAGAGGAGCTTGTTACACCCTCTCTCCAGCGGCAGCCTAACCCACCAAGGGGAGATGTTAAGCCCCACAACTATGCAGATGGGACCGTAGTCTCTGCACTTGCAGCACCAGGGGTAGGGACGGTCGGTCCTGTCCCCCAGCCACAGAGCAGTGTATCTAGAGGGGAGACAGTCGGTCTCCCCCTCCCACAACCAGGCTCCAACCAGGCTACTTCAGTGGTAGCGCTGGCACCCGGGCAGAGTACCGCTGGTCTCTGCCCACTCAGCAACCCACCAAGGCAGTCTACCAGCCCCCCGCACAGCCGTGGTGAGGCACCTGGACATGGACAAGTTGCTATTTTATCCAGGTGTAGTAACCAGTTATTGTGGGTGGGCTGTATTGCTGTTTGTGCTTCGTGGGTGGGTTGCTGGACTAACCAGGGCACTGACCGGCAGGAGGTCAGATATCCTGTTAGTCTGGATGGTAAAGGGGAGAAATGTGGTGGAACCGTCCTCGCCACGTGTCCTTGGAGGGGGCTGCTTGCCCGCCTCTTGCCTTTGGACTATGGACCAGACTTTATGTGAATGTGTTAACCCAGATAGCTATGCCTTGGAGCTCATTCGTGTAGTTAAAGACTTCGGCTCCATGGCAATAGAACTGTGTGAATAGGATCTGAGTGCTATTCGGTAGTTTTGAGCGCTCAGTTCTGTGTCTGTGTGTTATGTGTAAAAGGTGACTTTATGTATTTTAAAGTGTTTTATGTCTTTTTGCAACCATGTGCTCAATGGAGTCTGCCTCTATCCCTGGATAATTGGATTACTTTCCCCCATTGTCTCCAGGATAGAGGGCTCTGTAAAACCTGTTTGAGCCAGATAGCCATGTGCCAGCCAGGGCCCAAAATATACTTTTACTAACTTTTGAACCCCTGGTCGGATTCATGCCATTTTTAATATGTTGTTCCCCTGAATGGATTGATTGTGAATATGTAATTTTATGTGAATGTGATGTATGGTTTTAAAGTTATGAAAGTTGGGTAGAAAGTATGTTTTAACTGTATGTGTAATTGAGTTTCCTCTCAGGATAAGGGGAGGGAATATGTGGGATGTAACTGATATGTGATTGGTTGTTTTATACCTCCCTGTGGGCGGTCCTGTATGTGAAAGCACAGGAGTTCCTGTTTAACCCTTAAAGTGAAGTGATGTCTCATTATTGGGGGAAGGATTTATTGTATGCCGTTACAGTTTGACTGCTAGGAGAGTAAACCTATTCGTATGGTTCCCATTCATATGCTTGGGAGAATTTATTTGTTTCTCCGGTTCGGTGATTGTGGTGTCTGCCAGAGTGCTTGGAGTCCTCAGGAAGCGCTAGGAGCATCCTTCAATGGAGGTACCCAGTCGGGGTGCCAGGCGATCCGTTACACCTTTATCCTATTGTTTCCTCTTCTCTTCCTCTTTCAGAATCTGTTCTTCTTTTCTTAATTACTGCTCAGTTTCTCTTTAAAACATAAGAGTAAGGGGCTATTTTGTCTTATGTATTTTTCTTACACCTGCCAAATCTTTACAAAGGATAGTGTTTAAGACAAACTCCACTTTCTTCGCCACACTAACAAAGAAAGTAGAGATTGTTTTAAAGAACAACTTAATCTAAATCAAGTTGTTATGGTGCCAGGTGGACCCTGGGTGCACTCTTACTTCAAGGTGTTAACCGTTCTTGACTGGTTGTACCCCAAAGATCCTTAGGTCCCCAGCAGCATTCGGCTTCTGATATTTCAGTTTCAGGAAGGCGGGTGGATGTGCGGACGGGCGGCCACGCTTAGCTGTCAGCGAGGGAGCTGTGATCTCCCTGCTCAGCTCCCTTACGTGCCGCAGAGTGATGCTTGGAGTCGGAATGATGTCATATTCCGCTCCCAACATCACTGCGGGCCACCTGCCCAGGAAACAACAGGCTGCCTGCCCTGTGGGGGCCCAAATGTGGCCAGCCGGCCAGCTCTTGGGCCCCCATATAAAACGAGGTTAACAAGAAATTAGCCTGGGCATTTGGAAAGTACCGCCCAAGGCAAATGCCTTGGGTATCTGGGGGCGCCACGCCCTATTTTTAGGTCAACATTTTGTGAGAGATTTGACTGAAACATAGGGTTCTAAGTTCAACAGGAAGGAGTGTGTGCTGATCCGTGACTGTGTGTCTGTCAGTCAAAATGTGTGTTAGTTAACATGAAAAGGTGTGACCTTGGCAGGAAGGGGCAGATAAATTTAAATTAGAGGGTGCCCGAGATCTGTCATGCCTAGGGCAGCACCATTTTAAAATACATCACTGCTACTAGCTCCAGAAGAACTATGACATCAAGCAGTAGTTATGGCACTTTGAAGCTTTAACTGACCAAAGCTCAGGCAGAAAATAAAATTGCACTACTCCAGTAATAATGAATACATTTATGTGCCTGATAAATATCACTTAAATCAGAAAATGGCACAATTAAAGAACACATGATTGTGTAATTTTAATGTTTGGTTAGTCAACATGCTAAATGCTAATATGGTTCTACTTTATGAATATGTTTGCGCAGTTATGAAACCGAATGTCAATTTACTACTTAATTAGTAAATTACTACTAGTGCTAAATGTAAAAAGTAGCAATTTTTTTTTTTATATCTAATTTTATATCTACTTCATTAGTGCACATCCAACGTGTACAAGTCTTTTCTGAATATTAACAGTGTGATTAGTACTAAATATATTAGAGATTGTTGTTCTGTTGTATTTCATTTGTTTCTTTCCTTTTGTGTCACTATACCCCACTCCCTCTAGAATGTAAGCTCATTGAGCAGGGCCCTCAATCCTTCTGTTCCTGTGTGTCTAACTTGTCTGGTTACATCTACATGTCTGTTCGTCCACCCATTGTACAGCGCTATGGAATTTTTTGGCGCTTTATAAATAGTAATAATTTGGCAAAACAAAGTAAAGCATGTAGTTGTATAATAAAATATATTTAGTTATTATATAAATATAATAAAGTATATTTCTAAGTTCATCAGCCTTGAGACCAGTGGTTTCTTATTTATCATGGGGTTCTTAACATCTGCATCTGTCATTGTAAACGTTCCAACATAACTGTTTACAAATGTCCTGCTCCAATGTAACAGAAGCATTGACATTATCAAGAAAGGTTAAACTCATTTAGCAAAAAGGTTCATTCAACCGAAAAAGGTTAAGTTCAGTTTTTTGCTCGAACTGTGAATTTATCATGGGTCACTGATGATGATTTCACAATACTTGGGGAAATCTCACCCAGAAGATCAAAGACTGGGAATCTTTAATGTCAGAAAAGATTTCAGTGTTTCCCCCTGGAGCTGACATGCTCACTGAGCCAGTAAGTGAGATTTTGTAACAGTTTAAGTCAAGGGTGTTAGCAGATTTTGTGCTTAGTGTAGCCTGAGATACAAATTTGGTTTTCCTGCTATCCCAGACTTTAGCAGAGGACAGCTACTAGGACACTCTGTATGTCCCAATTTTCACTTTTAAGTTAGATGTGATGTCACGATGATGGCACATTAAAGAGTTACTCCAATCAAATAAAGTATTGTTTTAAAAAAAAAAAAAGAAAGAAGAAAGAATAAACTCACAATTTTATAATGTGCCGAGTCCAAGTTTTCCCTGCAGCCCGATCCTCTATTGTTGACATCATAGCAGAGGTAGGAAAGTCAGGGAGGACATTGTGAGGAGAAGTGGTTAGTGGTGTGTCGCCATCAACCTATGAGTGCTGATAAAGATGTCAAATATGCACAGAACTGACATTAGCTAGCCCAGTTGTTTCGGGCTGTCTAATGGCACTGCCAAAGGTGGAGTTACACCGATGGCACCAAATGACCTTAAATGGGAGCAATTCCATACATGGCCACTTCAAATCACTGAAGTATTGCATGGAGAAACAAGTTAAGTGTGGAATTGTAGCATAGAGTCACTGGACACAACCACCAATGCAGTCATTGTTATCAAAGCAGCATTATTGTAAATATGAAACGCAAGAAATGTCTTATGTTGTTTATTCAAGGAACACAGTGTTTTTTTACTAAAGTGAGAATTGACGGGAATTCAAAGGGAATATAAAATTATAGATAGAAATGGCTGAACTGAAAGCATGGTTATCAGGGAGAGGTTTTTTGTTTTTTTACCAATTCAGTTATTTTGGCCTTAAATTTTAACTTCACTTTCAATTACAGATAATTCTCAGTTTAATAAATAATCATGAGAATTACTGACATAAGAAAATAAATGTAGAGAAATAATCAGAGAATTGCAAATTTTGGGCCAAAATAGCTCAGATGGAAAAATAGCTGTGCTAAAGACTTTTTCTTTTCAGTCTTTTTAACTTTATGACAGGGGAATTTCCAAATTTATTTTATTCTATAGTATAAACTCATATTATAGAATAAAATTTTAAAATTCCCCTTTCATATAGTTAAAAAGACTGAAAAGAGACATGCGTCCATCAAGTTCAGTCTTTCTCACATCTATTTTTGCTGTGTATTCAAAAGAAGGCAAAAAATCAAAGTCCTTTTTTAATTTTGCAACAAACTATGAAAAAAAAATCCTTCTCAACCCCAGAATGTTAGAATGTTAGTCAGAACTCTCCTTGAATCAACAAGCTTTTACCCCACATACTAAAAATGATGTCCCTGAATATTATGTTTTCACAAGTAGTTGCTGTTTAAACATTTGTCCAGTTGCTGTTTAAACATCTGTACAGACTATGATGAGACCACTTATTCAGGCAGAGAATTCCACATCGTTATTGTTCTTACTGTAAAAAAAAACCCTTTCCTTTACCTTAGACTAAATCTCTTTTCTTCAATGTGTCCTATGTATAGTCCTGTTTATTAATAGATTTCCAGAAATGGTTTGTATTGGCCCCAAATATATTTGTATAATGATATCATATCCCATCTGAGGTACTGTTTTTCTAAACTAAACAGATTTGAGTTCGTTAAACTTTCGTTATAACTAAAGTCTCCCATTCCCCTTATTATAATTTTTAAAATCTGTATTTTATTATTATTTGACTGAAGATATTAACAGGCAAATATTAAGAAAAGTCGCAGTTGTAACAATGCATTGTTGTACAATATATGTAGTCAGCAACAAACTGTTTGGCATGGACGTAAACCTCTTCAGGCAGACAATTTTAGTTAGTTGAACATATCAATCTCGTCCAGTTCTTGTTCAGTAATATACAGGGGTGTACCTAGAGAATGTATTGAACAAATTTGTAAACTTTTTCAAACCCCTGCCCCTTCTACAAAATCCCTGCACTCCCTCACACACAGTTACAGGCAGACAGTCACACACAGGTACAAGCAGACAGTCACACGCACACAGTCACATGCAGACAGTCACACATATAGTCACAGGCAGTCATACACACAGTTACAGGTAGAGAGGTAGAGAGTTACACACACACACATAGTCAGTTACACACAGTCACGCACACTGTTACAGACAGTCACATATACAGTCACAGGTATAAAGTAATACACATAGTTACAGCCACACACACACACAGTTACAGGTAGACCGTTACATACACACACACACAGTTACAGGTAGACAGTTACGCACAGACACACACACAGTTACAGGCAGACCGTTACACACACAGACACACACACACTGTTACAGGCAGACAGTTACACACGTACACACAGTTACACACACAAACACACACATATTTACAGGCAGATAGTTATACACACACACACACAGTCAGTTACAAGCAGTTACACACAGTCACGCACACTGTTACAGGCAGACAGTCACATATACAGTCACAGGCAGAAAGTAATACACATAGTTACAGCCACACACACACAGTTACAGGTAAACAGTTACATACACACACACACAGTTACAGGTAGACAGTTACGCACAGACACACACACAGTTACAGGCAGACCGTTACACACACACACACACACTGTTACAGGCAGACAGTTACACACGTACACACAGTTACACACACAAACACACACATATTTACAGGCAGATAGTTATACACACACACAGTCAGTTACAAGCAGTTACACACAGTCACGCACAGTGTTACAGGCAGACAGTCACATATACAGTCACAGGCAGAAAGTAATACACATAGTTACAGCCACACACACACACACACTTACAGACAGACCGTTACATACACACACACACAGTTACAGGTAGACAGTTATGCACACACACACAAACACACACAGTTACAGGCAGACCGTTACACACACACACACACACACTGTTACGGGCAGACAGTTACACACACGTACACACAGTTACAGGCAGACAGTTACACACACAAACACACATATTTACAGGCAGACAGTTAAGCACACACACACAGTCAGTTACAAGCAGTTACACACAGTCATGCACACTGTTACAGGAAGACAGTCACAGGCAGACAGTATTATACATAGTTACAGCCACACACACACAGTTACAGGCAGACCGTTACATACACACACACAGAGACAGGTAGACAGTTACGCATGCACACACACACACACATACAGTTACAGACAGACCATTACAAACACTATTACAGACAGACAGTTACACACACGTACACACAGTTACACACACGTACACACAGTTACAGGCAGACAGTTACACACACACACACATATTTACAGGCAAACAGTTATACACACACAATTACAGACACACACACAAGACAGACAGTCACACAGTTACAGACAATCAGTCACACACACACAGTTACAGACAGACATTCACACACACACACACACAGTTACAGACAGACATTCACACACACAGTTACAGGCAGACAGTCACATACACACACACACACACAGTTACAGGGTCAGGCAGACAGTCACACACACAGACACACACTCTTACTTACAGACAGTGTGGGCTGGAGGAGTGGATTCCCTGGCCTGAAGTCCTTCCCTGGCTGGAGCCTGTTAGGTGGAGGAGCAGGGATTTCTTCTTGCTGCACCTCCAGGCGCAGCATTAACAGCAGCTTGTAAGGGCTGTGTTAAGCCCTGCCCCCGCTGTTAGGCTCCACCCCTAAATGGCAGTAGCTCCACCCCTTCTTCCTCCCGTGCGGCCAGCTAAGCTTGTTGGTCTCCGTGTGAGTGTGCGACACCCCAGCTGCCATGGGGCACAGCTCACACAGCCCCTTCCAGCCCCAAGACCAGGGTCAAGGCACCCCCCCTACAAGGTGGCACCCGAGGCGGACCGCCCCCTCCCTTAGTCCGCCACTGGTAATATATGTGGCATTCAGACCAAATAACAAAATTATTTATAAAAACAAGAAAAGGAAGTGAACAAATCTTAGTTAAATTAAACTAAAATGAATAGAAAAAAGAAAAGTAAAAACATAATGGTCCCCTGTCTGCCCCAATATATACTCCCTGCTTCCGCCCTCATGACTGTATTCAGCACCACCTTATGCTTTCACATTTGCCCATTACTCCCCTCTTCTATCCTTTCCTCCTGACAAGACATATCTGGGTCCCACGGTGTAGCGGAACGCCAATATAAAATCCACGAATTCCGCTGGTCCAGAACGAATCCACAGTCAAGCGCTGAAAACACCAAGGCAATATCCCCAACCTCCCAATAACCGGACGAGACACAGTTTTGGGAGTCAACTGACAATCCTTTATTCAGCACGACAATTTATACAAGTCCCCATGCAAGGGGTCTCCTGAGTCCCTTCCCAGGGGCATTCCCAGAGGGGACTACATGGGGGACTTACAGTATAACATATTTCTCCCATCAGGCACTGCTGCACGAGAGGGATCATCCTCCCAGAATGCACCGTTAAGGGGATTATCCCCTCGTGCAGCAGAACCGGCAATTCATATAAAAATACATAACTTTTAAAATACACGGTGGATTTACACGAATGGACGTTCGGTAGATAGCTGGGGTCTGGGCGCATCATTCGTGAGATTGCTGCTCAGATCCCAGCCAAATTAACCGAACGCCGCACAGAAAACACATTTCTTACAAAACCCACAAAAGGAACCGATTGCTTTGGGTGAACTTGGTCCTGAAACTCCCGAACGTCTGGGAGGCTCAGCGGTGTTCGTGCCGTCGAATAACTATTGGTAGTAGTATGCGTTCGACGACACGAACCCGCTGACGAACAAGGGATCCAAGATGGCCGACCGCCGCATGGTCGGTAGTCGAACGACGGCCACCCAGGAGAGCCTCTAATAACCGATTGCAACAATGTTGCAATCGGTTAACTAGCGCCACACGCCTCTAAGTGTGTGGGCTATTAGGGGGTATCGCGTTCGGTTCACGAACGGCTTTCTAAAGTGCCGTTCGTGAAACGAAAGAAAATCCCCATACAAAACCGCCAATTGCATTCGGCGGAAACAGTATTACAGGCAACACGGAAAATACCTTAACATCTACATATGTGTACAGCGCATATCTCGCCCGACCTAGTGGCAACCCTTAAAGGCACAGTCTCTGGTTATTGTCCAAGTGGCTAGGTTTGCCACAATGCTCCCCCAGAACCAAGCCGGCATACACAGCCTGATCCCAACGGATCGGCTTGGGGATGTCCGGGGGAGTGCTCACAGATCATTTCTCAAGGTCTGTTTGTCTGGACAACCCGTCGGCATTACCGTTTTGTTTCCCTGGGCGGTAGTGTATTGTAAAGTCAAGGGGCTGCAGCGCCAAACTCCAGCGCAGCAGCCTGGCATTGTCTCCCGCCACACGGTTTAGCCACACCAACGGGTTGTGATCTGTGAGCAAAGAAAAGGGTTGCCCATAGAGATACGGCTGTAACTTTTTCAGGGCCCACACCACGGCCAGGCATTCCTTCTCTATGGCGGCGTAGCTCACTTCTCGGGGTAACAGTTTCCGACTCAAGTAGGCTACGGGGTGTTCTCCGCCATCGGCTCCGACCTGGCTCAGTACTGCTCCCAATCCAAACATTGAGGCGTCTGTGTGAACAAGAAAACGTTTAGTTGGATCAGGAGCAGCCAGTACAGGGGCATTGGTCAGAGCCGTCTTCAGCTGGTTGAATGCCTGTTCACACTCTGGGGCCCAGACGACCTGCCGGGGCAGGTTTTTCTTCGTCAAATCAGTCAGGGGTTTGGCCAGGGCACTGTAGTTGGGTACAAATTTTCTGTAATACCCTGCGGTACCTAGGAAAGCCAGGACTTGGGTTTTGGTCCTAGGGGTAGGCCACTGGGCTACAGCTTCAATCTTTGCGGGCTCAGGCTTCTGCTGCCCGCTACCAACCCGGTGTCCTAAGTACTGGACCTCTGCCATCCCTATGTGGCATTTGCTGGGTTTCAAGGTAAGCCCTGCCTCTCGAATCCGGTCTATTACTGCCCCTATGTGTTGTAGGTGTTCTGCCCAGGTCTGACTGTAGATGGCAATATCGTCCAGATATGCACACGCATAGTCCTGGAACCCGTCCAGTAGCCGATCCACCATCCGCTGGAATGTCGCGGGGGCGTTCTTCATCCCGAATGGCATGACTCGAAATTGGTACAAGCCAAACGGGGTGACAAACGCCGACTTAGGGATGGCGTCCTCGGCTAGTGGAATTTGCCAGTATCCCTTACACAAATCTATGGTAGTGAGATACTGACCCCTGGCCATCCTATCAAGCAGTTCGTCTATCCGAGGCATCGGGTAGGCGTCCGACACAGTTTTGTCGTTCAACCTCCGGTAGTCCACACAGAACCGGGTGGTACCATCTTTCTTGGGAACCAGGACTACCGGCGATGCCCAGGGGCTATCTGAGTGTTCAATAACCCCCAACTGCAACATCTCTTCGATTTCCTTCCTCATATGTTCCCGCACGGATTCAGGAATCCGATATGGAGTCTGTCGCATGGGAAGCTGTCCCGGGGTTTCTACTCGGTGGGTGGCTAGTGGAGTGTACCCAGGTAGATTAGAAAAGGTAGCGCTCTTTGCTGCTATCAGTTCTCGTACCTGAATACGCTCTTGAGGACTTAGCCGCTCCCCCAGTTGAACCCCCTGGGAGGGTTCCTTCTGCTCCTCCTGCTCTAACAGATCGGGAAGGGGCAGGTTCTCCTGATCTTCGGAGGCGGGCGTGCAAATAGCTGCCACGTCCTCCGTCCGCTCGTGGTAGGGTTTGAGCATGTTCACATGGAGCATGCGTCTCTTCCCTACTCCGGAGCATGGGCCGATCACATAGGTGGTATCGCATCTCTGCTCTACCACCTGGTATGGGCCCTGCCAGACGGCCTGTAGTTTATCGGTGCGGACTGGTTTAAGGATTAGCACCTTCTGCCCCACTTGAAAACTACGGTCTCTGGCCCCTCTGTCATACCAACGACGCTGTCGTTGTTGGGCGGCCTGGAGGTTGGTGCGCACCGCCTGGGTCAATTCCTCCAGGCGATCCCGGAACGCCAGCACGTAGGGTACAATAGGGGTCCCATCTGCACTACTCTCTCCCTCCCAATGCTCCCTAATGAGATCCAACGGCCCCCGGACCCTTCTCCCAAACAATAGTTCAAAGGGGGAAAAACCCGTAGACTCTTGGGGCACCTCTCTGTATGCGAACAACAGATGGGGAAGGAATCGTTCCCAGTCCTTATGGGTCTCTCCGAATGTTCGAAGCATCTGTTTTAGGGTACCGTTGAATCTCTCACATAATCCATTGGATTGCGGGTGGTACGCGGAGTTAATGATCGGCTTTATGCCACATATCCTCCATAACTGCTGAGTAACCTCAGCCGTGAATTGGGTCCCCCTATCTGAGACCATTTCCTGTGGGAACCCTACTCGGGAGAAGATTTTCATCAAGGCTTCGGCTACGGTCTCCGCATGGATATTAGTTAGGGCAATCGCCTCGGGGTACCGGGTGGCGTAGTCCACCACGGTCAGGATATACCGTTTCCCAGAGGGGCTGGGCTTTGGTAGTGGTCCTACTATATCTACTGCTACCCGGCTGAACGGTTCCTCAATTATGGGGAGGGGACATAGTTTTGCCTTATGGCGATCCCCCCTTTTGCCTACCCTCTGGCACACATCACAGGAGGTACAATATTGCCTTACGTCTTTGGAAATCCCGGGCCAAAAGAATGCGTGCGTTAAGCGATAGCGGGTCCGGGTCATCCCTAGATGGCCGGACAGAGGGATGTCATGGGCGATTCTTAGTAACTCCTGCCTATATTTCTGGGGTACTACTAGCTGCTTGGTTTGGAGCGTCACAGAGCTGCCTATGGCCCGTTCCGCCACCCGGTACAGTAACTTCTTTTCCCATACGTACCGTTCTCCCTCCCGCCCCACCTGGTCCGTGTCTACCCTATCTCGGTACACCTGCAGTGTGGGGTCTGTCTGAACCTCAGCTTCAAATGTGGTCGGGGTGTCCCAAGTCATGTCGGTCAAGGGGGGGTCATGGTGTCTTACCTGAGCCTCAGAGTGTGCGGGGGATGCCGTGGTGCGAGCCTGTTGCCGGGTGGTTACCGGATGCGCCTCTTGGGAAGGGGCCTGGGGAAGAAACGCAGAAGTCATCGGGCCCAAGTCATTCCCCAAAACAACATCGGCCGGTAGTTTCTTCATTATGGCCACCTCTACAACCCCCTCCCCAGCACCCCAGTTCAAATGCACTTTGGCCGTGGGTAACCGGTACATAGCTCCCCCTGCTACCCGGACTGCCACTGATCCGCCAGTGTGGGCCGTATCTGGAATTAAATGAGGGGCCACTAAGGTCAAGGTGGCTCCCGAGTCCCGCAGCCCCTGCACTTCTTTCCCTCCCACAAATACAACTTGGCGATGATGCTGCCGGTTGTCCGTGGCTTGCACCGACATCACCTCGTACAGAACCCCCAATGGTTCTTCGGTTGATAGACTTGTCAGCTCCGAGTGGTCCGGTTCGGTGTGGTAGAAATGGGCCACTGCCCTTGGCGCAGAGTTTTGCCGTACTTGGTTCCACGCCTGCCTGCTCCGATTCTGGGTGCACTCCCGGGACATATGCCCCCACTGCCGGCAGGTATGGCATTGTATGTTGGCCCTGCCATTGTAGCGTGATGGCGGTGGGGGGTTTCCTGATGGTGGCCGGAATGGAGTAGCGTTGGCGGGTGTGGAGATGGTTGGGTGGTGTGGTACAGCTGGTCTCAGGGGAGCCCTGTTGGGAAGCCCATGATGCCTTCGGGCGTCAAAATGCTGATCCGCCAACCGGGCGGCTTCGGTTAGGGTGAGGGGTTTCCTGTCCCTTACCCATTCTTGTGCCTCAGGTGACAGTCCGTTAAAAAATTGTTCCAGCAAGATGAGCTGGCGCAGTTCCTCCATTGTGGTAGCTTGGCTCGCCTGAATCCATCCTTGCGACGCTTGGTCGAGCTTATGTGCCCACTCAGCGTGGGAATCTTTCTCGGGCTTCCTCAATCCTCGAAATTTACGCCGGTATGCCTCCGGGGTTATGGCATACCTCTCCAGAATTGCCCTCTTAACTTTAAAATAGTCCTTGCTATCTTCTCTGGGCACAGCGCGATACGCCTCGGCTGCTCGTCCTGCCAACTTGCCTGCCAGTAGGGGTACCCACATAGCCTGTTCTAGATCATGTAGGTCGCACAACCGCTCAAAATCCTGCAGGTATCCGTCAATCTCGTCTTTCTCCTCGCAGAATGCTTTAAATGCCTGGTAAGGTATTTTCTGCTTCACTGGAGCGCAGAATGAATTGGCGATGGATTCTGCCCTGGATGGTGACCTCTGGTGTTGCTGTGCCATAATATAATCCTGGACGTCCGCCATCAGTATAGTTAAGATGTCCAGGGTTACTGGCTGTGGTACAAATTCCAGCCGGGTTCTCAGTTCCCTCTGGTATGGTGTTTCCTCTCTGGCAGGTGGGGGTGGACTGCTGTGTGCTTGGTCGCCCTCCATTAGCTCTGCAATCAGGACTGCTTTCGATTTATTGCTAGCGCTTTTCCCTCTAGCCTCCAGCAGCTCCTTTAGCGTCTGTCTCTTTAACGCCGTGTAATCAGTCCCCATTCACTGATCGCTTTCGTCTGCTTGTTTCATACGAATTGCCTTTCCGTTCGGTAATTCCTTTCATTCGAATGCGCTGTATTCGGCTGTAGAGTTGGATCCCGTCGCTTGCCACCAATTGTAGCGGAACGCCAATATAAAATCCACGAATTCCGCTGGTCCAGAACGAATCCACAGTCAAGCGCTGAAAACACCAAGGCAATATCCCCAACCTCCCAATAACCGGACGAGACACAGTTTTGGGAGTCAACTGACAATCCTTTATTCAGCACGACAATTTATACAAGTCCCCATGCAAGGGGTCTCCTGAGTCCCTTCCCAGGGGCATTCCCAGAGGGGACTACATGGGGGACTTACAGTATAACATATTTCTCCCATCAGGCACTGCTGCACGAGAGGGATCATCCTCCCAGAATGCACCGTTAAGGGGATTATCCCCTCGTGCAGCAGAACCGGCAATTCATATAAAAATACATAACTTTTAAAATACACGGTGGATTTACACGAATGGACGTTCGGTAGATAGCTGGGGTCTGGGCGCATCATTCGTGAGATTGCTGCTCAGATCCCAGCCAAATTAACCGAACGCCGCACAGAAAACACATTTCTTACAAAACCCACAAAAGGAACCGATTGCTTTGGGTGAACTTGGTCCTGAAACTCCCGAACGTCTGGGAGGCTCAGCGGTGTTCGTGCCGTCGAATAACTATTGGTAGTAGTATGCGTTCGACGACACGAACCCGCTGACGAACAAGGGATCCAAGATGGCCGACCGCCGCATGGTCGGTAGTCGAACGACGGCCACCCAGGAGAGCCTCTAATAACCGATTGCAACAATGTTGCAATCGGTTAACTAGCGCCACACGCCTCTAAGTGTGTGGGCTATTAGGGGGTATCGCGTTCGGTTCACGAACGGCTTTCTAAAGTGCCGTTCGTGAAACGAAAGAAAATCCCCATACAAAACCGCCAATTGCATTCGGCGGAAACAGTATTACAGGCAACACGGAAAATACCTTAACATCTACATATGTGTACAGCGCATATCTCGCCCGACCTAGTGGCAACCCTTAAAGGCACAGTCTCTGGTTATTGTCCAAGTGGCTAGGTTTGCCACACACGGGTACCACAGCTCAGTTTGTTTAACCACTGTGCCTCACAGGGAATATCTTGTGTAGGAATTTAGGGGTGCAGTATCACCAAGAGAGGAGCTTGTATTTGACCTCCTGGTACTGGGAACTAATGGAGCTTTTATGCTAAATTATGAGATTTTTTGTCCATTGGTTGGCTGTGAGGGAGATGTTCCATAATTAATTTGGTAGCCGACCTCTGCACTTATTCTAGCGCCAAAATATCCTTTTTTTTTTAGAACAGGTGCCCAAAATTACACAGCATATTTAAGGTGCAGTCTTACCATTGATTCATAAAAGGGGAAAGGTATATTTCCATCCTAAGAATTAATGCCCCTTTCTGTGCATGACAATACCGACTGGCCTTAGCAGTAGCAATTCTTATGAGTGAATGGTTTAAATCACTGGTTCCTATCCCAGTTCTCAAGGCACTCTAACAGTCTTTTGGGTATTTCAAAATTCTGTTCCTAGGATGATCCTGACAAATGTATGCCTCGAAGACTGGGTTGTTTAACAACTAACAACCAGCTTGTAAAATTCAAACAAAAATATTTGGCAAAAATTATTTAAATCAACTGTGTTCAAAATATCTAAAATGTCATATGAGGAGAATCAGTAAAACAAAAACAAAAAAAAAGACAAATGGAGTTTCAGGTTTTTTTAATGAGTATTGTCTTCATAAAGAAGGAATATCAAATGATAGCTCTAGAAATTGAGCAGAAACTTTTCTGATAAATACGTGGCATAGTGGGGCCTTAGTACCACTATTGTCTTCTAGAAAAACCACAAAAAGTCAACATCTGTGTACAGCTCTATCAATGAACCCACATGGTCAGTCCTATGCGCACTCGCTGAGTAAGGCAGATAGTGCAAGCTTGTGACATCATGCCTAGGAAATAAAACTAGCCAATTTCATAGAAAAAGGAGTGGATCTAATCAAAAGTTACAAGAGGAATGGTAAATCAGGCATCACTGGGCAAGAGAGTGATTTAACTTATTTTTTTCCTTTTAATTTTACCTGTTTTAAACCTTGTGAGTGCTGAGAGCTTAGTAATATGTTACTCCCTGAGCCAATTGGCACCAAAATGGTTAATTAAAGACATTTCACTGCTTTTTATGAAAAAATAAAAAAAAATAGTGGGCGATATCGGGTTTTGATTTAAAGCAGTACTGTCAAAAAATATTTATTTGTTCCCTCATCCCAGTGAACGTTATCAAGACACTTACCGAGAGCCTCCATCAAGTGTCTCTGAATTTAGGGGCACTTGGTAGGGACAGACAAGAGAGAATGACTACCGTACTACGGTAATTTAGACAAGGTGCTGAAAGGATCCATTAGTATAGAAAGGTCACTGAGCAGTTTTAGACTCCCCCTCCCTCTCCAGCCATCTAATCATGCCTGCTGTTTCCATGGCAACACAAAAAACCCTGGAGATGGTTAATAAAGACAGCAGACTGTTGTCATAGTGACCAGTAAATCCCGGGGCGGGCTCCGGACTGCGGATTGGGAGTAGTATGCAGGGATGATGACAGAGTCACGACTATCAGGAAAACATACATACATTCAGGGACAGAACACATAAAAGCTACAGATGTGTTAAATAAATATTCTTACATAAATAGGGAAAAACTGATCCGCATGCTTACACCACTAGAACTCCGTGATGAAGGGCTATTCATTTAGCTGGGAATTTCTGGGGAATCACAAATTGCAGATCAAACTAGCCGAGCTGGGAGAAATGAATAGGAGAATGTTTCCAATGCAACTAAAATGTGCCTTACCCTTGCATTCCCTTACAAACACATGGTTTAGTGAAGTACAGCAGCACACAAAGCTTGCTGAGTATTTGGATAAATCTACTGCCAAAGCAAAATGTGGCTGAATGTATACACCATAAAAACTGATATCGGAGGGGCTTATTCAATAATCACAGCAGGAAAAAAATTCAGGGTTATTTAGTAAACTGTGACTTGTTGGGAGAAGACCATATTCTTCATATTTAGGGCCTAAGAAGTGTAAAAAAATCTCCAACTACAGTCAGATCCATAAATATTGGGACATCAACACAATTCTAATCTTTTTGACTCTATACACCACCACAATGGATTTGAAATGAAATGAAGAGGTGCTTCAACTGCAGACTTTCAGCTTTAATTTGAGGGTATTTACATCCAAATCAGGTGAACGGTGTAGGAATTACAACAGTTTGTATATGTGTCTCCCACTTTTCAAGGGACCAAAAGTAATGGGACAATTGGCTGCTCAGCTGTTCCATGGCCAGGTGTGTGTTATTCCCTCATTATCCCATTTACAAGGAGCAGATAAAAGGTCCAGAGTTCATTTCAAGTGTGCTATTTGCATTTGGAATCTGTTGCTGTCAACTCTCAATATGAGATCCAAAGAGCTGTCACTATCAGTGAAGCAAGCCATCATTAGGCTGAAAAAACAAAACAAACCCATCAGAGAGATAGCAAAAACATTAGGTGTGGCCAAATCAACTGTTTGGAACATCCTTAAAAAGAAAGAACGCACCGGTGAGCTCAGCAACACCAAAAGACCCGGAAGACCACGGAAAACAACTGTGGTGGATGACCGAAGAATTATTTCCCTGGTGAAGAAAACACCCTTCACAACAGTTGGCCAGATCAAGAACACTCTCCAGGAGGTAGGTGTATGTGTGTCAAAGTCAACAATCAAGAGAAGACTTCACCAGAGTGAATACAGAGGGTTCACCACAAGATGTAAACCATTGGTGAGCCTCAAAAACAGGAAGGCCAGATTAGAGTTTGCCAAACAACATCTAAAAAAGCCTTCACAGTTCTGGAACAACATCCTATGGACAGATGAGACCAAGATCAACTTGTACCAGAGTGATGGGAAGAGAAGAGTATGGAGAAGGAAAGGAACTTCTCATGATCGAAAGCATACCACCTCATCAGTGAAGCATGGTGGTGGTAGTGTCATGGCGTGGGCATGTATGGCTCCCAATGGACCTGATGAATTCTGAAGTGTTTCGGGCAATATTAGCTGCTCATATTCAGCCAAATGCTTCAGAACTCATTGGATGGCGCTTCACAGTGCAGATGGACAATGACCCGAAGCATACTGCAAAAGCAACCAAAGAGTTTTTTAAGGGAAAGAAGTGGAATGTTATGCAATGGCCAAGTCAGTCACCTGACCTGAATCCGATTGAGCATGCATTTCACTTGATGAACACAAAACTGTAGGGAAAATGCCCCAAGAACAAGCAGGAACTGAAGACAGTTGCAGTAGAGGCCTGGCAGAGCATCACCAGGGATGAAACCCAGCATCTGGTGATGTCTATGTGTTCCAGACTTCAGGCTGTAATTGACTGCAAAGGATTTGCAACCATGTATTAAAAAGTGAAAGTTTGATTTATGACTGTTAATCTGTCCCATTACTTTTGGTCCCTTAAAAAGTGGGAGGCGCATATACAAATTGTTGTAATTCCTACACCATTCACCTGATTTGGATGTAAATACCCTCAAATTAAAGCTGAAAGTCTGCAGTTAAAGCACATCTTGTTTGTTTCATTTCAAACTCATTTTGTTGGTGTATAGAGCCAAAAAGATTAGAATTGTGTTGATGTCCCAATATTTATGGACCTGACTGTATGTTTCCAGTTCAAATATATTTGTCCAAAATGTGACATTCCATCATCAATTCACATCCACTGACAGTTTAGCAAATTCCCTACCGTTTCAATCAAATTATATAGTTACGGCAATACAACATACCCCAAAACAAAGATTCCCACTTTCAATACATTCCTAGAAGCAGCCAGAAGAACCCATGAACAAGAAATGCTCCATTAGTAAGAACCCACTCATTGTGATCTACAAGTATTTTGTTTCTAATCCCATAAGCTTGTATCAAGCAGAAGTTTATGAGATGAATAGTATTGTGCTCAGCTCCAGGTCCACACACCATGCAGGATGATTGGAATTGCCCAGTACGCGGACTACAATTGCAATATGCTTGCTATCAATCTATTCAAAGTTCTGTTTACAGAACATGACTGTGTGCTCCCATATCTTGAGCTGCCAACCACACTTGTATAGCTGTTTCTTGGTGGGTGAGAGGGGCTTGTGTGGAATGCCTCCACACCTGCAATCTCACTGTAACTATACTTAGGCATACTCTGAACAGGTAAGGTGTGGGACAGCTTACCAGTAAATTCCCATACCAGTTTTTTTTATTTTTTTTTTTATGTGTTAGCAGCCATGGTTTGAGAGGTGGCAGTGGTTTTGGGTACTTACACAATCAATGTCATCGGACATGTTGAGAATAACATAATTCTTCCCAGCAAGGTTAATCCAGTCATTACAGATTACCTGGGATAAAAGAAAGATAAAGTGTTTATTGGTAATAAACTAAACCTGTTTCTCAATCCATCCAGGTTCTACACACTGAACAACAATGCAATCCACTTCGTCAACTGTGGAGTTATATTCTTCAATGCAAAATCAAAAGTCACTTTAACCATCTCAAGTATTTAGGTAATCCACAATAATTAGTGTTGTCGCGAACCGTCCGCAAACTTTTCGCGAACGGTTCGCCGTGGTTCATGGCGAACTCCGGTCAGCTGACACATCCCGGCCAATCACCAGCAGACCCTCCCTCCCAGACCCTCCCACCTCCTGGACAGCATCCATGTTGAAGCTGCCTTCAACATGGATGCTGTCCAGGAGGTGGGAGGGTCTGGGAGGGAGGGTCTGCTGGAGATTGGCCGGGATGTGTCAGCTGACTGGAGTTCGCCACGAACGGTTCGCGACAACACTAACAATAATCCATCAGGTAAATTATCTACTTGATCAATAAAATGCACTAATACAGTGTGGGAGTACTGCCATATATATTTATCTAAATCCATACCTTACGTAAGATCTTAGGAAAAGTCAGCATCGAGCACAGTATTCAAGAAACGGTGTTTCCATAACTCTCCCAGAATTCAAAGCTCAACATGCAAATTAGCAAAGACAGGTATTATGTTTCAGACTTCACACTGCAATTCTGCAGGCACCCTTAGCGATGGAATAATGTTTTAAACACAGTTACACCAAAACATATGTTGTTATCCAAAAAGACCAGTGGCCATCAACATGTTCTACAAAGAAGAGGGCAGCACTAAACTGGAGACAGTTATGTTTATAAAAATCCTTAAAGTCCGGGAAAAATATGCTGCTACCAATAATAAGTGTTGCAATAACCACTCATGAAGATGGAAGTGTCTCTTTACTAGGGATCTGGTGTTATAGGGGCTACATACTGTTGGCTTCATAAGAGACAAAAGCATTATTAGCTGGAGGCTGGAGCAAGTTTAAGTAACAGTGGCAGGTGCAAGGTCTCCAGTCTAAGAGAGCAAGAAAAAGATTGACGAGCAAGAGGCAGAGGGGACTGTATATCAACTGAAATCATTTTTATCTTATCAACCAAGAAGTGTGGTGTAACCTTTAAGCCATGATAATAATATAGAGCCAGGAAAATGCAAAACTGGCACCTTGTACAAATGCTTTAACATGGCCATTTTTAAATATTGTTGAAAAGGACAGAATGTAACACCTTTTGTTTTATTTTATATATTTAATTATTTGCAATAATTACCTGCTCTGACCCCCACTGTAACTCAGTAGGAACAACTTTCTGTGTACTGCTCTTATCCCATTGGGTAAACAGCTTTGGCAGATTCACATTTTCTTTTTCTTGAGTAGTGTGAGTTGGCATGCTTTTGATATCCTCATCTAGGAATGCATGAGTGTCATCTACGTTTAAAAGGGAATCCAAAGGATGTTCTGTCTGGGGCACAGATTTTGGGTTGTGGTTGGCATGATGTTTCCTCGAAGTTGAATGCTTCTTGGTCTTTCTAGGTGGCCTGGGTGTTGGTTGCTCAGGAGTACCAGATGTGACTGTGAATACTGTCCACTCATGCTCTGGATGTTCAGAGACATCACTATGGTTTGTTGCTGGGTGTATGTTATCTTCCTCTGCTAAGGTCTTGGTAGAAACATGTCTGGGCAATTCTCCTGAGTCTGTAGACAACCATGATGTTGATGTTTCTTGGTTTTGGTTTGGGGAGTTGCTTCTGTTTTCACCATGAATAGTGCCATCGCTGAAGGTGGTAGTTGGGTAATCTGCCATAATCAGACACAATAATAATGAGCTATACATTGTGATATTAACATTATGATACCTTTTAGAAAACAAACTACCTACTACTAACCTTACCACCCATTCCACCTTCTTCACTATACCGAGGCTTGCACACTGTAGAATACTTAATACTTTATTTAATATTGTTATATGTATATTGCTATGGATTTGTATATGTTTAAAAAGTCAACAAACATACACATTTATTGTAAAACATTAAGCAGGGACCATTTGGAACATCTTAAACTATGGAAACAAACAAGTGTGTGGTGAGTGGTCATGAGTATCTAAGCCTGGCATCTTTAATGAGTCATATAATCACCTTGTCTCCTACTCATAAACTTTCCACTTTTTATTTAACTTCATACACCATCCATTTGGGCTACGGTTTAGTGCAGTTTTAAATTCACTACAATTCATCGTTTCAAGAATAAATCCAAAGTGAAATGAAATATACATACAAATTTAATTGAAAATTTACTACTAGTAAATCAAATACTAAAATCAGCCCTGTCACTTGTGGGGTCACCCCAAGGTGACATGACTGCTTGTGTGATGGTAGATTGGAGGCAGTATGTAGAAAGATATAATTAATGGGTATTTTACCTCCTCGACACTGACACCTTCTCATCGCCAGGGCCGGTGCAAGGATTTTTGCCGCCCTAGGCAAAAGAAAGATTTGCCGCCCTCCTCACCTCCCCCCCCGGGACATCGCAATGCCCCACCCATATGATCTGCCATATGAACTAATGCCAGTGCTGCACACAGTGTGTGTTTACATTAAAAAGCCTGCAGGGACAAACTATAGACACCAGAACAAATTTATTAAGCTGCAGTGGTTCTGGGGACTATAGTGTCCATTTAATGTGAGGTAAATTAGAGATTAGTGTCGCTAATAATATACTAGATTGCCTACTTACAATCAGATGAGGATGGTGATGGGCTCTGGCTGCAGTCTGGCTCCACTGGTCTGGTGTAGAACAGGATCTCTGGAGGCTGTTTGTAACTGTGGTCACAAAATTCAATGTTCTGGGAGAACGGGAAGCAGCTCCATTTTTTGGGGCCTCTTACATAGCTCAAGGTCTGGGCCCCAGAGCCTGACGGTGAGTATGCCCATAAAGCCCACCCATAAGTCCACCTACATGTTCCACCCATGAGTTCGCTCACAGGGAGTAGAGTGTGTAGGGGATGTGTTATGTGTTACTGTAGAGGATCTAATGTGTGTGCTTATGGAATGTAGTGTATAGGGATGCCAGTTTGTGTAGGTGATGCAGTGTGTTTGTGTGTAGTGGAAGCAGTGTGTTTTTGTGTAAGGGACAGAAAGCAGTGAGTGTTTGTGTATAACAGATGTATTGTGTGTTTCTTGTTGTGTGTAAGGGATGCGTTGTGTAAATCTGTGTTTGTATGCATAAGGGATGCAAAGTGTGTTTCTGTGTATGTAAGAGATGCAGTGTGTGTGTCTGTAAGGGGTGCGTTGAGTGTGTGTAAGAGATGCATTGTGTTTCTGTGTGTGTGTAAGAGAAGCAGTGTGTGTTTGCATGTGTGTGTAAGGGATGCATTGTGTGTTTCTGTGTATTTGTGCAAAGGATGCATTGTCTTTATGTGTAAGGGTAGCATTGTGTGTTTCTCGGTGTGTAAGGGAAGCATGTTGTGTTTCTGTGTGTATAGGAATGCATTGTGTGTGTGTGTGTGTGTGTGCGCGTGGTGTGAAAGAGCTCCCTGTCCTGCCCCCTGTCCTATAGAGCTCTCCCTTCCATTCCTTAGAGATCTCCCCTGCCCCTAAGTGGTCTCTCCTCTCCCCCCCACCTCCCTTAGTGGTCTCCTTTTCTCCCCGACTTTCCATTAGTGGTCTCTCATCTCCCCCACCCTCCCCTAGTGGTCTCTCCACTGTCCCCTCCCTCCTTTAGTGGTCTCTCCCTCCCCTACGTTCTTATCTCCCACCCTCGTGTTCTCCTCTTCTTCTCCTCCGTCCCTGTAATCTCTTCTTCTCCCCCCTTGTAATCTTCTCTTCTTCTCCCCCCTCCCTGTAATCTTCTCCCCTCCCCCCTGTAGTTTTCTCTTCTTCTCCCCCCTTCCCTCCCTGTAATCTCTTCTTCTCCCCGTAATCTTCTCTTCTTCTCCCCCGTGTTCTCCTCTTATTCCCCCCTTTCTCTCCACTTCTCCCCCCTCCCTGTTTCTTCTCTTCTTCTCCCCCTCCCTGTAATCTTCTTCTTCTCCCCTCCCTCCAATCTTCTCCACTCCCCTCCCTCCCTCCAATCTTCTTCTTCTCCCTCCTCCTCTAATCTTCTCCCCTCCTGTAATCTTCTCCCCCGTAACCTTCTCTCCCTCCCTCCCTGTAACCTTCTCCCCTGCTCCTGTAATCTTCTCCCTCCCCTATAATCTTCTCCCTCCTTCTCCCATCTTCCCCCCTTCCTCCCATCTTCTCCCCCCTATAATCTTCTCCCCCTCCCTCCCATCTTCTCCTCCCCCCTGTAATCTTCTCCCCCTCCCTCCCATCTTCTCCCCTCCCTCCCTCCCATCTTCTCCCCTATAATCTTCTCCCCTCCCTCCCTCCTTGTAATCATGTTCTACTCACCTCCCCTGCCCTGTAGCGTGGCCGAGCTCCTCTCCGGTCCGCGCCCCCTCCTATATGGCGCCCTAGGCGGCTGCCTAGTTCGCCTTATAGGAAGCGCCGGCCCTGCGTCATCGCCATGTTTCTTCAGCTAGACCTTACTTTGTCTCAAGTATATCTTTGCATGGCATTGGAATATCAAAGGAAATTTAACACAGTAAAAAAGAGTCTTTTGTGGACATTATGGTCTTTTAATCAGCTCTGAGTTTTTTTTATATAATAGGAGTAGGAGTTTTTATGTGATATCCTAAAGAGTGGGAACCCTACGTCGGCTTGACCAGGGTAAAGAAAAATAACTAAGAGGTGGAAATCCACCCTAAAGTAGAGAGCAATCAAACTTAGCCAATTCTTTCACTAGGGGTTACACCCCATTCAGGAGATCAGCTATTTTGTACCGTGACTCTTTTTTTGCTATTTTTATTTAATAGGTTCATATTAAGAATATGCATAAAAGTATTACAAACATTTTCATTTATTTTTATTTTTTTGTTAAGCTCCTTCCCTTTCATAGCTTAGTGCAAGATAAAAATGAGTTCACTGAATAATTTAGGGATTTGACTGCTTGCTGTGTGCAGAGCAAGGACTGCAAATATCTCGCTCTGGCAGGTGGCCTACAGTGGATTTGTTTATATTATTATTACCTGCCATTTCTTAGAATCTATAACTAGATTACAGTAAGGAAAAATTAAGTGCATTACATTGTTCCACCTTTTGTATAAAGAGCTCAGCTGTCTTAAAAGACCTCACGGTATTCAAGTTTTAATCATCCCCAAACAACTGTGAGGATTGTAAAATGGTGGACTCTTCCGTTCCTTGGCTGGAGAAAGAGTCTTGATGAATGTGGAGACGATTGTGCTTTGTTAAGCAATCAATTTAGGAAAGTTACCCAAAAGGTTCTCTCGCACTATGCGGCCCAATTGCAGAGACAGAAGTTTTTCCCCAAGTGGATTGCACAGAAGCACCCACAGACCAAGCCTCCTGAGTGACTGCACTGTTGGTTCTCTTTGCACTCCACAGTGATCTGAGGTCGGCTTATGTCATCCTGATACAAAAGAGTACAAGAGGAACCAGTAAGACCCCATTAAGAAACCCTCCTGGGGTGTAAAAGTACTAAAATAGGAGGATGGCTAGAAACATGTGAAGTATTTCAATGTGTGTGTGTGTGTCTGGCAATGTTTTTTGTGTGGAAGTGTGTATTCATGTTTCTGTTAGTGTGTGTGGCAGAATGTATCTGCGTGTGTCACAATGTGTGAATTTGTATGTATGATTTACAGAGTGTGTCTGCCATCAAGTATCTGTATTTCTGCCTGCCTGCCAGTGTGCATCAGTGTCTATATGGGAATGTATGTAGATGTCTGTGGGAATGTACATATTTTTCTGTGTCTAATGTTATTGTCTAAAATTGGGGGTCATCTTATACACGGAATGTCACAGTAGGGGTTTTAAAAAAAAAAAAAAACACTTGTGCGCGGGGCCTAAGTTAAGATAGTGTCTGTCAAATTTCAGTGTGCCACAGGCAAGGAAGAAGAGCACCCTATATGCGTGGTAGCTGCATCAGACGTCAGCACTTACCACCAACGGAGCTCCTGAGACATGCGACACCATTAAAAGAGCTGCCAAATTAAGGTTTGCTCTACCTCAGGTAGGGGTTGCTTTCTGATTTAAATTTATGGGGGAGGAAATGGGAATCAGGGAGTAGAGGGAATACTACGGTGATGTCCCAGCATGCCCTCACACCACTTGCTGTATTGTGGGAGTTGTCTCCTAGCATACACTATAGAGCCATTAACTTCACAGAGTATGGGAGCACAGGGAAGCATGAGATTCGGAAGTGTGTTGTTCTCCTCAGAAGTCACCTCTAAAATGTCAAAGTTGTTCTATTTTATTATTTTTTTAATTTTGGCCTCAAAAAATAGGGGTCGTCTTATATACGGGGGCGTGTACACTGAAAAATATGATGCTACTCTGAGTGTATTTAAAAATGTCTTTGAGCAGATAATTGGGGGTGCTGGCCAGTATTTTTGTAAGGGTCTCAACAGTTCTGACAGCCCTGAAACTTTAAAGCTGCCAAAACTTATTTCTCCCTCAGTTATACTTTGAGAGTGCCTTTAATTTGTACATACTGCATACATACATGTGACTAGCTTGGATTTACACTGAAACGTGTAATGTGTCACACACAAATTCATACATACATGTAAGTCCTCCAAACTTGTATTTACATGATCCTATAACCTTGCAGTTAGATATTTTTTCTCACTTAAACATGAAATGTGCTCGTGCCTGGACAAAATAATGATTTCATGAGATTACATTTGTGTTCCAAATTAGTTAGGTTTTTTTAAATGACAATTTTATGTTTGTGGCTTGAATATCAATGAGGGCATCTAAGATTTCTTTGCCTACAGGCGCCTGAAATATCAATCCAAATCTGAGACAGATAGATACATTGGAAATGTTTTAAATTCAACTATTTAGGTTTGACTTCTGAAAAATTAGGTGAAGTGCTCAAAACACATCTCTGTTTGGAAAATATCATCTAGTTTTAGTGTACAGTACTTTTGGAGTTAGACCATGTACTGCTCTCACCTGTCTGTAGTGCACTGTTACTGTCACTGGTCCCATTCACCCGTCTCTCCTCATCATCACTAAACAACTGTGAGGATTGTAAAATGGCGGACTCCTCAGTTTCTTGGCTGGAGAAACCAGAGCCTTGATGAGTGTGTAGAAATTCCTGAATGATGTCTGGCTCTTGGTATCCTTCAACCTCATGTTCTACCGAGTCTACACCCCTCAAGTGAGATGGGGGTAAATCCAACAATGAGGTGGACGAGAGGCCTTCAGAATGGGATTCCTCCGCATTTGCAGAGACGGAGCACAGGAACCCTTTAAAAGACATACAAAAATATATATTCAAACAGATAAGAATTAGTGACAGTGAGCGGGCTAAGTGGCACAATACATTTTTTTACACAAAAAATAAAACCAAAAATTACACGATTAACGGGCATTTTGCAGGGGCCGTATTTTCCCCTGGTCCAACCTTTGTTAAAAATATATATATATTAACTGCAGACTGGATTTCTGGACATTGAAGGTGGACCTCTTTTTTTTGTCATCTATGGCTGATATGCATGTTTTGCACATATTTTTTTCTTATGTGCATTTCTGTTTGAGAGTGTTATTCTTAACTTTGCTTTATTTTTGCTGTGTAGTAAATGTATTCTGCCATTTGGTGCCGTCATATTCATGGCGTGTGTGTTTTTTGTGGAGGATTTTTTGGGAGGTATCCTTAGCATTGCAGCATGTCACTAGTGTCTTTTATCTATTATATCACCTTAAGCTGTGTGTTTCTTTGGTGTTGGTAAGAACTCAGAACTAGACAGATAGATGCATGTTAAGGCAGACAGGTGGATATATTGGGTGGATGGACGGTCGGACAGAAAACCTCGAATATATGATTTGTTCATTTTAGCACATATCTGTTAATACTGTGGACACAGAACTCAATAGACTTGTGCATTCACTTTCCAACAAATCGGTGGGTCGTGTGAATTCTGTAACTCCAAAATGCTATAGAGATTCTTTTAAGATCTTGTTCTCCCCTTCCAGCAGCTCTATCTCTTCAGATAGTCATTGTTTTTGTTCCTAAGATCTAGGACTTTTTTCCAAAATAAATTTTTCTATCGCACTAAAGCGAGTTAAGGACAGATTTTGATCCAGTGACTATATATAGTTATTCTAGAGTTCTGTTTATCTGTCATTGGTTTGGGCTACAAGTTACATATTAAGTTTATACTTTAAATATTGAACATTATGATTTATTTTAATTTATTTATTTAGATTATAAAGGCTACATATCCTATAAATTATATTGGATTAGATCCCCTTTTTTAAGGTAATAATAATAAAAGTTATATTTTAATACTTACAAGGCTGTATTTTGCGCTGTCATTTTTCTACACTCTATCCACTGGATTCATGCCCATCTCTTGTTTTCAGCCTCTTTTTTAATTAATATTCCCGCTCCAAATGTATCTTTCTAACTTAGTTTAGCTATAGAGATGTATCACAAACAAATAAGGTGGACAATGGACGAGCATGTTTTTTTGTTTTGTGATTTGCCTCCAAAAAAGAGATGATTGATGGGGAAAAAAATATTTATGGCTAGGGGGCAGCCATTAAATGTTCATTTTATTCACAGATCAAGTGAGAAGTGACCAACAGAGGGGAAAAAAAGGAGTAAAAAAATATGTATTTATAAATATATATGATATGATATATGATATATGATTGATTTTGTTTTACTGCTCCTTGTTTTTTAACATCTATTAGTTACTTTTTCTCACCTAATCTGTGAATCAAATGGCGTGAAAATGAGCGCACACACTGCAGAGCTCTGAGAAGGTGGTATGCCTGCCTGACACTTCCGTTAATTCAGAGAATCTAACAGAACTAGGAAACAAACCTCTCTGGCTGTCTGACTGATTATTTAACTATGAAAGTGCTGATTTCTCATAGTCTCATATGGTGCCCCCTGGAGCTGGCAGAGCGATCAAAAGATCTCCCTAAACATCCCTTTAAAAATGACTCCATGGTGGTCTGTGGTGTAATCGCAGTGGTAGCGTTTTGTGAGGGAGTCAGGCTCACAGAGTACCAGGCCGGAAAGCCTGCGGCTGCACAGAGAGCTTACTGGACCACCAGGGAAGTCATCGGACCACCAGGGAATACAACTAACCACCGGGGAAGGTCTTACTTCTCTCTTCCTACCCAGGAGATAAGCGGGTGGGGGAAAATGGTATAGAATCTATGATTGATATTTGCACATGTTACGCAATTGTTACTGTATTTGTTACTGTGTTACATACGTCAATTGATACCTGCGTGTATCACTGTATCCCATTTCCTTTATTTGCAAACCAAATAAAAATCATATTTACAAAAAAAAGAAAATGGTATAGAAAAAAAGGCATTACAGTGTGGGAAGACTGTGTTGAACACAGCCTCCCCACATGATGTTATTCCCTCCACACACTTAGCCCTCATACATTGTCACCCGCTCACTCACCCTGCCACAGTTAGTCACACCCCAACCTTGTCACCCTTTACACTGTCACACACACTCCCCCTCACTCTACCCCACATATACCGCTAACCCAGTAACACGCACTCCCCAAGATTGTCACACTCACTACCTCTCTCAACTGGCCAAACTGACCCTATAACACGCACCTCTCAACCCTGTAACACTTACCATATCTTACCCTGCTACACAACCACCCACCACATTCACCCCACTAATTCTGTCACACTCACCCTTCTCACCCTGTTACACCTACCCCCAAACACTTTCACATTCATCCTCCAAACCCTGTCACAAACAACCCTCATCCTGCCACAGTCATCCCCCAACTTACTCTATCACAGTCACCCCTGAAGATAGTCATCATCATACAAGGTAACCTCCCACACATGAAACACAGCCTCAAGCAGCCCCCCTTACACGCAGCACAACGCAAGCAATTACCCCACACACATACGCTCACAGATATACGCATGCACATAGACAACGAGACACGCATTCACACACAAGGATGCCTAGACACATACAAAGGGACACAATACCAGAAGCAGTGGCACATTCAGTCAGAACTGCATGCACACACACTAAGGCACATAAAACTAGATACACATACAGCTCTCGGCCTACTACACACACTCACACACCACTCACAGAAAAAGACTGCAGAGCTCTAAGAGGGGGTTCTAATCTGGCTAGGGCACTAGTCAACATGAATCCCCCTTAGCTTTTAGACATACCTATTTATACCGGAAAAGTACCTGTGACAGGCTGAATGCAGTCAGCTGACACTCTCCTAATTACAGCTGCCCAGCTTTGTAATATATTATATAGTATATTACAATTATAAACTGCTTCAACTTTGATATAGCTTTAAACATTAAAAACAGATTAACACTGAATGGAAGGATGGCACTAGGGGACTCCAGATACTATAACCACTTCAATCAGCTGAGGCAGTTATAGTGTCTACAATGTTCTTTTATTTAATTTTTTCTAACATGACCTACTAAATGAGCATTTCAAGCACCATAACCACTACAGTGCACTGTACAGTAGTTTTGGTGACAAGGTGCTCTGGTGCTTTCAAGTGTAAGTAGTCAAACCATTTTAAAATGGTTTAACATCTTAACCGGGGCTCTTCTAGAGACAGAAGCTGTTGGTAAGCTCATTGGCTGACAGCAACATAACTCCCAACATTGGGAAGTATGAGATTGGGACAGGTGGGCAACAGGTAGGCAGGTGGGCCTCTAATAGGGGGTGTCCCCAGTGATGTGTTTGGGTCTCTGGTGACACCCATAATGGGCTGTACTGCTCAGAAAAGGGACATTCCCCTGCACTGAAGGGCCTTTCTGGCCGTCCCCTAACCTGCAGGACCTTGCAGAAAGAACTGCTGAAGTGCCCAGTGAGAGTGTCTAATGATTTGCTTGCACTGTACTGTCATATAACAGTTCTCTCGTGGTCTGGGTGTGGAACACAAGGGAACAAGTTCGGGGCCTGGATCAATCAGCTGACTTTCTAAGTCAGTGAGCTAGCCCTGCACTGCAGAGATTAGTTCGGAATAGCTTTCGGCATAGGTAACAACATTGGCAGCCCACACATATAACAAATACAACACATGTACATACATACCACACACAGGGATCATAACACATACAACCCCACACAAAGCAGCCACCGCACATACATAACACAAGCAGAATTACCCAACATACACACAATTAACTTTTTTTTTTTTTTTTAAATATGTCTGGCACTACAAGAGACCTGTCCTATGGCAAGGTGAGACCACCTTTAGCACTCCAGATGTTGTGGACTACACCTCCCTTGACACTTTGCTAGCATTGTGGCTGTAAGAGCATTATGTGAGATGCAGTCCATAACATCTGGAGGGCCGAAGGTTGCCTACTCCTGGCCTAGGGATTATGGGAATTGTAGTGTAAAACATGTATTGTAGTTATTATTGGCTGCTCAGTGCTTTTCAGACCACCACAGGGTCTATACCAGGGCTGTCCAACCTGCGGCCCTCCGAATGTTGCTGAACTACAACTCCCATGATTCTTTCAATGAAACATATAGCCAGGGAATCATGGAAGTTGTAGTTTAGCAACATCTGGGGGGGCTGCAGGCTGGACAGCCCTGGTCTATACAGTACTGTATTTGTAACCAAGTTATATTTATACGTGCTAGAATATATGAAATCCCATGTATTATACCTATCATTTATAGATCACCTTAAGAGAACATTAATAGGCCAGCACTGAGAGATCAACACATTTAGGGTCTCTGAACAGTGCAGTCTGTTTACTGTGACCATGGGGAGGGAATTTTACCAGCTTTAAATTACACGCACCACACAGCACCGCTTAATGGGAGACAGTGTGTAAGTGTCACGCAGACACATCTCTAAATTAATTAGGAGATCCTCCAGGGTCTGCTTAGCATGATGAATCTCTATGAGCCACAGAAGGCTTTAATCTCATTACACAAAACACAGCCCCATAGAATAAATCAACAGAATGGCCGGCCCTGTGCCAGCAATGACTACTCAGCATGGTGACTACACTCAATACTGTAACACTGAGCCTGTATTTTACAATGATGCTCTAGCAATCAAAGCTAATATTTTGTTGTATACTCATGTGATTAGGAGCAGGGTTGGATTTCACTTTTCAGAAGTTCTAGGGTGCAGGTTGCGTGGCTTAGGGAGAACAGTGTATACAGAGCCATGGATATTTGGGAAAAGTAGAATGAATTGAATAGTTAGGTTAGGGGATTCTATTTGGGGGAAGAAGGGACTAGAAGTGGTTTGGGTAGGGATGTGTTGTTTGGGGGTAGTAGGGTGTAGTTGGTGCAGAGTGTGCGGTTATTGGGGTGTATGGTGCTGAAAGTAGTTGGCACAGAAGGGTGCTGTTTTGAGAATGCTAAAGGTATTTGGGGAAGGGAGGGGTGCTGTTTTGGGAATGCTGGAGGTATTTGGAGAAGAGAGAGGTGCTGTTTTGGGAATGCTGGAGGTATTTGGAGAAGAGAAGTGTGCTGTTTTGGGAATGCTGGAGGTATTTGGGAAAGAGATGGGTGCTGTTTTGGGAATGCTGGAGATATTTGGGGAGAGAGGGATGCTGTTTTGGGAATGCTGGAGGTATTTGGGGAAGAGAGAGGTGCTGTTTTGGGAATGCTGGAGATATTTGGGGAGAGACGGGTGCTGTTTTCGGAATGCTGGAGGAATATGGGGAAGAGAGAGGTGCTGTTTTGGGAATGGTGGAGGTATTTGGGGAAGAGAGAGGTGCTGTTTTGGGAATGCTGGAGATATTTGGGGAGAGACGGGTGCTGTTTTCGGAATGCTGGAGGTATATGGGGAAGAGAGAGGTGCTGTTTTGGGAATGGTGGAGGTATTTGGGGAAGAGAGAGGTGCTGTTTTGGGAATGCTGGAGATATGTGGGGAGAGACGGGTGCTGTTTTCGGAATGCTGGAGGTATATGGGGAAGAGAGAGGTGCTGTTTTCGGAATGCTGGAGGTATATGGGGAAGAGAGAGGTGCTGTTTTGGGAATGGTGGAGGTATTTGGGGAAGAGAGAGGTGCTGTTTTGGGAATGCTGGAGATATGTGGGGAGAGACGGGTGCTGTTTTCAGAATGCTGGAGGTATATGGGGAAGAGAGAGGTGCTGTTTTCGGAATGCTGGAGGTATTTGGGGAAGAGAGAGGTGCTGTTTTGGGAATGCTGGAGATATGTGGGGAGAGACGGGTGCTGTTTTCAGAATGCTGGAGGTATATGGGGAAGAGAGAGGTGCTGTTTTCGGAATGCTGGAGGTATTTGGGGAAGAGAGAGGTGCTGTTTTGGGAATGCTGGAGATATGTGGGGAGAGAGGGGTGCTGTTTTCGGAATGCTGGAGGTAGTTGGGGAAGAGAGAGGTGCTGTTTTGGGAATGGTGGAGGGATTTGGGGAAGATAGGGATGCTGTTTTAGGAATACTGTAAATGATTAGTACAGGTTGTGAATTCAGAAGAATGATTCAGGGAAGAAATAGGAGACAGAGTTGTTTGGCTACTGAGAGCTGTTTGTTAGAAGGGTGCAGTAAGTATTTGGTGCAGGGCGTGCTGTTTGGGAAGGTTGGGGCAGGGGATACTGTTTGCGGGAAGCAGGGTACAAGGAATGGTAAATACAGATAGTACTGTCGAGTGAATAGGGTGCAAAGGGTGTTCTTTGGGAAAGTAGAGGATTACAATTTGGAAGGATTACGGTTTCCTTTCTGTGAATGCAATTTTTGTGACGTGTACCTTTATCATACATGATTATGGCAGCAACATTATATTATACGGTAAGAAAATCAAAATGAAATGCAAACATTAAAAAACAGCTTTCCAGTTATATCGATAGCCTCCTTATCGATCTATCCATACAAAACAAGGTGCCTGAATGATGAGTTAACAATCACAGAAGATAATTACCTTGCTGACAAAGATACAGGCTGCTTAAAACTGTATTGTTTTGTGTGCACTGTTCCTTAACCCCTTAAGGACCAAACTTCTGGAATAAAAGGGAATCATGACATGTCACACATGTCATGTGTCCTTAAGGGGTTAATCTGTATTTTATATAAATTTTCCTCTCTATGGCAGCACCATTTCTTAGAAACGCATGTTCCAGGTGTGCCCCCAATTCCCTTTTTTTCTAAGACTACAGGCTACTCCACACATTTTGCATTTTAGGATTTAGTTATTTGTAGTTGTTTATGAGAATGCACTGACTTATTATATAAAACTGTACAATGGAGAGATTGATTAATTTTTTTTAAAATTGGTATAAAAAAACAGAAGGTTGTTGTTTGTTTGTTTTTCCTTTTATAGGTATTAAGCATATGTTTCAGGCATGTAAAGCAACATTTACAATAAAATTTTTTTTTTTTTTTTAAAGTAGCAGAGGTTTGCATACAGAGGCTTAAAAATGTAAGTGGCACACAGATGTGTATCGCATTTGTCTGAATGATCTGGCGAATGAGGGATTAATGCTGCAGGTTCTCACATCACTGACTAGAATTTTAAACCAGGGTGTTTCAAATAATATGTGTTATACCATGGCAGAGAAATATAAATAAATTATAACAGAATTGCAACAGGGGAAAAAAAGCTTACCCAAGATAAGATGCCAAGGATGGTGCATGGTGATTTCAGTGTGTGTATACCCACTGCAGAAAGGGCATCTCCCCCCAGAATGGGCACCAGATGCCAGGCGTCTTCTCACAGGTTTCTAAAGATGCTCTCTGTCTCTGAGGACCTTCAAGGAATGTCAGCTTTGGGAGGAATCCAGCTGGGTGATGGAGTAAGTAGATGGATGTAAGTCTCTTTACATGCTACACTCCACACCCATGGCAGTGATACCCTCGAAATGCCCAGTGCTGCTGGATACTCAATGACAAGGTGGTGATGGTGCTGGTCCCAGAGGGGGAATCTCCCTGAAATATATTCTCTGTGTATTTTAGAGACTGCAGTGTTATAATGATGTACAGCCAGCAGTACACAGCATTGATCAAGCAGCCAACACACAGGTTCTAGTGATGTGTTTGGGGATTTTGGTTTGACCCCATTGATCTAAAAAAGTGAGCATTGTGTAGGATAGAGATCCAGGGATGGGATCTATAATGATCTGAAACAAGTCGTGTTCTGTGATGGAGTGATGTACTGCAGAGTGCAGGTTTTCCTCCTCATCTCCTCTATGGCAGGGGTGACGTTATCTTTTTAGGGACCAGAGAACCCTCTCCCCTCTCTGCAAAATGATGGAGCAGGTGCGTGGCTGGACTCCAGCAGCACATTGGGGCTCTCTCCCTGCTGGTCCCTCTTCCTCACAATTACAGACTAATAGCTCACTCTTCTTGACCCCCACCACCCCCCATGCTGTTGCACTGCCCCCTCACCTCTGTTAGCCAGATGCCCCCCTCCTCCTTACTCCCCCAGAGTCCTTCTCCTTTGCACAGAACTCACCTCCCTCCCTGCAGGGTTGGTGCATTGTATGTCTGCAGCTCTCCTGGCTCCTTCGCGGTCCTACTGCACACCAGGTTTACCAACTGCTCTCCCAACACCCAGGATTACAGGAGAGCTCGTAAAGCATTTACTGAGCCCAGGCAGATTAACTCGTCAAACACTGAGCACTTCACATAATTGCATTGCTAGGACTGCCCTGGTGTATGGAGACTTGGAAAAGAATTAACCCTTTGACTTCCAAAGAGAATCTAGAATGGACTCTAGATTGAATAATCACACTACAGAACTGCTGCTATGGCCCCATCTAAACACAGTTAAATAAATAGGGGTCTGTATAATACACAAAAATAAATAACCTTTAGTTGTATTGATATAGTTTGCATGATAGTATTGAAAAGAATGGTTGGCTATTTAAAGTACCGCCTTAATACTCAATTGGAGATGTACAGAAGCATCATTAGTAGAAAAGTGGTGCAAAGTTTTGAACATGAACCTTTAAAACCATGGAATCTGCGAAAAAATTAATTGGTTTCCATGGTGACTGACACTTTTATAAATATTCTCTTAGCTCCTGCCGAGCATTAACCCAGGGACGGCCCAAGACATTGTGCTACCTGGTCCAAGGATGAAATGCTGCTCACCCCTCACTAAAACCACGCCTACCAAAACCATGCCCACATCCCAATTTAGTTTTTTTCTTCTTAATCTCTCCGATGTCGCTCAGAGATAAGGCTGACCTGCTGAGGAGGACGTCCCACAGAGCGATGATGTGATGTCTGACATCACTGCGCTCCTTGGCAGTACCTACACCCACATAAGAGCTTAACCTGCAATCGGAGGAAAAGCTCTGCATTCGGCCTGCAGACAAGTAGATAAACGCTTGCTGCAGACTCGATAACAAGTACAGGGGCGCAGTGGCAGAACTAATGTAGAGAGGGGTCTGATACAAGAATTTCTTTTGGACCCCCCCTCCCAGTGCAAAGGTGGCAATGGTAGGTTACCATATGTCATACATCTTCCACAATTGCGTTGCCAACTGGGGATCTACCATTTGCCCATCCTTGCAGGGTTTTACTTGTGGGCATTGTTTGTATATTTGAATGTTAGCCTGTTTTTTTTATATAGTATGTGTGTGTGAACACAGGGATCTATTTTTGTAGTGTTGAATGCAGTTGAGTTTGTATGTACTGTTGCCACTTGGATGCATTGGCGTAGTTGTGTGTAGTGTGTTTGAATTCAGGGGTATGTGTTTGTATCTATGTAGTGTTCGTGTTTGTATGAAGGGATATACTTGGTGTTTTAATACAAGAGTTTGTTTGTATGTAGTGTGGGTGTTTGATGGCAGTAGTGTGTTTGCATATAGTGTTGGTGTTTGACTGGAGGGGCGTGTTTGTATGCAGCATTGATATTTTAATGTTAATGCTGGAAACTGTGTACATATACATATATGCAGGCACACACACACACACACACACAGTGACACACTGATACACATAAATACACATGGTAAGACTGGATATTTCTCAGTTCTCTCCCAATGCCATGGACTTGTCATTAGGTTTCTGTGTTCTCTTATCTCTCTCAGATCTGGGAAAAGGCCCGTTAGAAATAACACACACAGGACAAAGAAATGTATTTCATTTTAATTCCCCATAACAAAGGGGATATATAGGTTTTCAGTGTAGGGTGATACACATTATTCAACCAATCACAGTTGGCACAGTTTAATTTGCAAGCCAAGCAGTTCTAACATTAGGCACTATTCTGTATGTTAGGAGTAGATAAGCAAGCCCAAAAGTGTAAGGGGAACAGGAGAGAAAGGATATTGGTAGAGTATCCAATGGAGTGGAATACCTTACTAGATGCAGGAAACAGTAAGGGTACAGTAGAGAACTTAACGTGCAACCAGTGGCGTACATATGACCCATGGGGCCCCGGTGCAAAAATTGGTCGTCCTCCGGCGCTTACTCAGCGCGGGCTGGTGCCGCAACACATGGCAGCGGGCACCTGGTATGTACGCCAGTGCATGCAGATGCACACACACTTAAAGGACCACTACAGACACCCAGATCACATCAGCTCAATGAAGTGGTCTGGGTGTCAGGTCCCTCTAGTTTTAAAAAGTGCAAAAACAGAGTGGTAAACCGCGCCACAGAAGAATTAAAAGTGGTTAAAATATGAAAATGGTATATACATACATACAGGATATTCCAACAATATGATGGTGAATATAAACCTTAAGAAAATACAAATATAAAACAATGATCCAGTCTCTCACTCTACTTAACGCGTTTTGCCCAGTTTGGGGCTTCTTCAGAGGTAGAGGAAGTATTACTTCTGAAGAAGCCCCAACCCGGGCGAAACGCGTTAAGTAGAGTGAGAGACTGGATGCTGGACTTTTATAGATAGATTTTATTTTTTATTAATAAAGTTGCAGTTTTTTTCCTATTCCTCTCTTTGGTTTACTTTTTGTTCCTGGTGCACTTTGGATTCTTCCCAAATCCCTTGGTGGGGATTATACCACCATAAGCTTTCATCACCAGAGCAAGTTATTGCTCTGGAAATCATAAGTAGGATACTTACTTTTCTATTTACCAATATTTTATAGTACATACTACACCATTAGATTTTATTTGTGCTCTTGTTTTTATGTACGGCTGTGGAGCTTTGGATATTACATCCCACCATTATCCCTATATCCCAAGACGGGGATTATACCGTCCAGGCGCTATACGGCAGAGCTCTCAGTAGCTCTGCAAAGTGTGAGTTAGCCTTTTTACTGGTTCTCCGTATATTTTATTTATAAGCCATTCAATTGACATATTGCACTATCATTGTTTATGTTTATATTCACCATCATATTGTTGGAATATCCTGTATGTATGTATTTACCATTTTCATATTTTAACCACTTGCAATTCTTCTGTGGCGCAGTTTACCACTATGTTTTTGCACTTTTTGGTTATTAGCAGGTATTGGAAAGTCCTGCTGGTTCACTGCTGCCGTATACTTAGTTATTTTAGAGAGCGCCTATACCTGCTTTTTCTATTTACATTCCCTCTAGTTTTAACACTGCAGCTGAAAACATAGCAGTTTCAGGGAAACTGCTATGTTTGACTGAGGGTTAATCCAGCCTCTAGTGGCTGTCTCACTGACAGCCGCTAGAGGAGCTTCCGCAATTCTCACTGTGAAAATCACAGTGAGAAGACGCTGGATGTCCATAGCAAAAGAATTGAGTAATGCTTTCCTATGGGCGGTTTGAATGCGCCCACGGCTCTTGCCGCGCATGCGCATTCGGAGCTGAGAGGCGGAACGGGGCAGAGGGATCCCCAGCGCCAAGGGAGTCCGGCGCTGGAGAAAGGTAAGTGCTGAAGGGGTTTTAAACACACACACTTTCACGAACAGAGGCATACACACTAGCTACGACACACACACATTTACTGACAGAGACACACTCAGCGACATACATACATACTCACTGACAGACAGATACACATACACACTCACTTACAAAACATACACTCTCACTGACAAACACACACTCAGTGACACACAAACTAACACACACACTGACACTCACTAGCAGACACACACTCAATAAAAGACACACACAAAGTAACACACTCACTGACACTCACTAGCAGACACACATACACTCTAAAACACACACACTCTAACACTAGCACACTCACACTCTAACACACATACACAAACACTTATTTTTTTTTTTTTAAATTTAATCCCCTTACCTTTGGGAGAGCTAAGGGGATTCCCTAGAGTCCAGTGGTGCTGCTGGGCGGCCGGTCACTGGGCGGGCTGGCTTGCGCGCGAGGGAGCACTCTCCCCTGAGCGTTCTCTGTTCAGCTCCCTCACGCGCACCGCACTAATGCTGGAGCCGGAATATGACGTCATATTCTGGCTCCGGCATCAGTACGCGGCACGCGAGGGAGCTGGGCAGAGAGAGCTCAGGGGAGAGTGCTCCCTCGCAGGCCCGCAAGACCGGTCGAATTAGAATAAAATCAACACTTGTCTGAGACTTGCATAAAGTACCCCACATACGTGAGGGGACTATTGTCTAAACTGTGTGTGGAATACGACAAAATAAAGAAAGACGGAAAACGGAACATCTTACCCCGTACCAACAAACCACCATAAGAATAGGCACAACGAACCGACTAAGAATCCACCGACCAACCGTGAGTGATACACTGGCAATTGTGCAGGGGGAGAGAGGGTGACGTGAACGTGAAAAACCTTCCTCCTCTCTCCCTCACCACAACCCACAGTACCCCCCACAAGGGGACCACACCACACTTACCCCAACCCCAAAGGCACCACTTACATCCCCCCAACACCACCTGGCGATCCTATAGTAAGACCAGGGCACACCGACACCCTTTTCTCCACCCCTTTTTAGACACTAAAACCCCATAATCCTCACCTCTACCCCACCCTCCACAAACCCCCCTCCTCGAACCACTCACCCTAAAGGGCGAGAAACCCCGGGTCCTCCACACTCTAAACAACTAAACAGACCCACACCCAAAACTAATATGAAAACAATGAAATGCATCTCACTTAACTGCAAAGGCCTAAACAACCCGGCTAAACGCCACCAGCTGATGCGATGGGCCAATAGAACAGGAGCGGACATAATACTCCCCCAAGAAACACACTTTGAGACCTCGAGACCATTCCCACTTTAAAACAGACACTACAAAGAATGCCACTTAGCAAACTCCCCAACCAGAAAACATAACGGAGTAGCGATACTCGTCCGGAACACATGCCCCATCAGCTTCACAAACACCACAGCTGACCCTCAGGGCAGATTCCTCACCATAACAGGACAGCAAGGTACTCACAAATACGCGATCACTACAATATATGCCCCCAACAACCCAGACCCATCCTTCTGGACAACCATCCAAGCCCACCTCAAACTGTTCCCCTCCCACCACGTGATCACAGGGGGAGACTTCAACGCGGTCATCAACCCCCAAACAGACCAACAACGACAATCCACACGCACTGGCAAAACAACCCCAGTGGCCAAAATAGACAAACTATTCTCGAACTTTGTACTCCACTCAGGTCTCCAAGATATCTGGAGAATGCAAAACCCCACAACTATTGACTTCACATTTTATTCCCACCCTCATCTCTCATACTCTAGGATTGATATGTTCCTGATATCCCCTTCCCTCCTAACCCAAGACATTACAACAACTATAGGCACGATCACGTGGTCCAACCACGCAGAGATAACCCTAACACTCTCAATCCCACAAACAGCTAGAACATGGTCATGGTGACTAAACCCAACACTCCTAAATATCCCCGAAATAAGGGCGTCCACTCAAACGACACTCACAGAGTACTTCCAATTAAACAAGGACTCAGTAGAATCCACAGGCATATTATGGGCAGCACACAAAGCGACCATCAGAGGCAAATTGATAGCTGAGGCCACAAAACACAAAAAACAAAAACTAAAGGAACTGAAGGACCACCTCCTCTCGCTGAGGGCCCTAGAGATTCAACACAAACAACACCCAACCCCACCACTTTTAATACAGATCAAAACTCACCAACAAGCCATTAAATCCTACATGACCAAAGATTCACAAAGAGCCCTCCAATGGAGCAAACAGCTCTTTTACGAGAAATCAAACAAGGCAGACACTCTCTTAGCCCGTAAACTACGCGAAAAAACACACAACAAACGCATTACCAAAATTAACTCCCCGTGAGGAAGCACACACGAAAGCCCGGATCGTATAGCGAGGATTTTCTCCCAATACTTGACAACACTTTATAATCACAATCCTGATCCATCGCCAACCCTAACAC